AGGCCTACCTATCATATCACCTGATCTTTTGTTGCTGAAACTGTATAGGTATGGTGTAAGCATGGTAAGGGCTAGCAAGGCCTACCTATCATATCAGCTGATCTTTTGTTGCTGAAACTGTATAGGTGTGGTGTAAGGGCTAGCAAAGGCCTACCTAACATATCAGCTGATCTCTTGTTGCTGAAACTGTATAGGTGTGGTGCAAGGGCTAACAAGGCCTACCTATCATATCTGCTGATCTTTTGTTGCTGAAACTGTATAGGTGTGGTGTAAGGGCTAACAAGGCCTACCTATCATATCAGCTGATCTTTTGTTGCTGAAACTGTATAGGTGTGGTGTAAGGGCTAACAAGGCCTACCTATCATATCAGCTGATCTCTTGTTGCTGAAACTGTATAGGTGTGGTGTAAGCAAGGTAAGGGCTAGCAAGGCCTACCTATCATATCAGCTGATCTCTTGTTGCTGAAACTGTATAGATGTGGTGTAAGGGCTAACAAGGCCTACCTATCATATCACCTGATCTCTTGTTGCTGAAACTGTATAGGTGTGGTGTAAGCATGGTAAGGGCTAGCAAGGCCTACCTATCATATCAGCTGATCTTTTGTTGCTGAAACTGTATAGGTGTGGTGTAAGGGCTAACAAGGCCTACCTATCATATCACCTGATCTTTTGTTGCTGAAACTGTATAGGTATGGTGTAAGCATGGTAAGGGCTAGCAAGGCCTACCTATCATATCAGCTGATCTTTTGTTGCTGAAACTGTATAGGTGTGGTGTAAGGGCTAGCAAAGGCCTACCTAACATATCAGCTGATCTCTTGTTGCTGAAACTGTATAGGTGTGGTGCAAGGGCTAACAAGGCCTACCTATCATATCTGCTGATCTTTTGTTGCTGAAACTGTATAGGTGTGGTGTAAGGGCTAACAAGGCCTACCTATCATATCAGCTGATCTTTTGTTGCTGAAACTGTATAGGTGTGGTGTAAGGGCTAACAAGGCCTACCTATCATATCACCTGATATCTTGTTGCTGAAACTGTATAGGTGTGGTGTAAGCAAGGTAAGGGCTAGCAAGGCCTACCTATCATATCAGCTGATCTCTTGTTGCTGAAACTGTATAGATGTGGTGTAAGGGCTAACAAGGCCTACCTATCATATCACCTGATCTCTTGTTGCTGAAACTGTATAGGTGTGGTGTAAGCATGGTAAGGGCTAGCAAGGCCTACCTATCATATCAGCTGATCTCTTGTTGCTGAAACTGTATAGGTGTGGTGTAAGGGCTAACAAGGCCTACCTATCATATCAGCTGATCTTTTGTTGCTGAAACTGTATAGGTATGGTGTAAGCATGGTAAGGGCTAGCAAGGCCTACCTATCATATCAGCTGATCTTTTGTTGCTGAAACTGTATAGGTGTGGTGTAAGGGCTAGCAAAGGCCTACCTTTCATATCAGCTGATCTCTTGTTGCTGAAACTGTATAGATGTGGTGTAAGGGCTAGCAAGGCCTACCTATCATATCAGCTGATCTTTTGTTGCTGAAACTGTGTAGGTGTGGTGTAAGGGCTAGCAAGGCCTACCTATCATATCACCTGATCTCTTGTTGCTGAAACTGTATAGGTGTGGTGAAAGGGCTAACAAGGCCTACCTATCATATCAGCTGATCTCTTGTTGCTGAAACTGTATAGGTGTGGTGTAAGCATGGTAAGGGCTAGCAAGGCCTACCTATCATATCAGCTGATCTTTTGTTGCTGAAACTGTATAGGTGTGGTGTAAGCATGGTAAGGGAAAGCAAGGCCTACCTATCATATCAGCTGATCTTTTGTTGCTGAAACTGTATAGGTGTGGTGTAAGCATGGTAAGGGCTAGCAAGGCCTACCTATCATATCACCTGATCTCTTGTTGCTGAAACTGTATAGGTGTGGTGTAAGGGCTAACAAGGCCTACTTATCATATCATCTGATCTTTTGTAGCTGAAACTGTATAGGTGTGGTGTAAGGGCTAACAAGGCCTACCTATCACATCAGCTGATCTTTTGTTGCTGAAACTGTATAGGTGTAGTGTAAGGGCTAACAAGGCCTACCTATCATATCACCTGATCTCTTGTTGCTGAAACTGTATAGGTGTGGTGTAAGGGCTAACAAGGCCTACCTATCATATAAGCTGATCTTTTGTTGCTGAAACTGTATAAGTGTAGTGTAAGGGCTAACAAGGCCTACCTATCATATCACCTGATCTCTTGTTGCTGAAACTGTATAGGTGTGGTGTAAGGGCTAACAAGGCCTACCTATCATATCAGCTGATCTCTTGTTGCTGAAACTGTATAGGTGTGGTGTAAGGGCTAACAAGGCCTACCTATCATATCAGCTGATCTTTTGTTGCTGAAACTGTATAGGGGTGGTGTAAGGGCTAGCAAGGCCTACCTATCATATCAGCTGATCTCTTGTTGCTGAAACTGTATAGGTGTAGTGTAAGGGCTAACAAGGCCTACCTATCATATCACCTGATATCTTGTTGCTGAAACTGCAAAGCGGTGGTGTAAGGGCTAGCAAGGCCTACCTATCATATCACCTGATCTCTTGTTGCTGAAACTGCAAAGCGGTGGTGTAAGGGCTAACAAGGCCTACCTATCATATCACCTGATCTCTTGTTGCTGAAACTGCAAAGCGGTGGTGTAAGGGCTAGCAAGGCCTACCTATCATATCACCTGATCTCTTGTTGCTGAAACTACAAAGCGGTGGTGTAAGGGCTAACAAGGCCTACCTATCATATCACCTGATCTCTTGTTGCTGAAACTGCAAAGCGGTGGTGTAAGGGCTAACAAGGCCTACCTATCATATCACCTGATCTCTTGTTGCTGAAACTGTATAGGTGTGGTGTAAGGGCTAGCAAGGCCTACCTATCATATCACCTGATCTCTTGTTGCTGAAACTGTATAGGTGTGGTGTAAGGGCTAACAAGGCCTACCTATCATATCACCTGATCTCTTGTTGCTGAAACTGTATAGGTGTGGTGTAAGGGCTAGCAAGGCCTACCTATCATATCACCTGATCTCTTGTTGCTGAAACTGTATAGGTGTGGTGTAAGGGCTAGCAAGGCCTACCTATCATATCACCTGATCTCTTGTTGCTGAAACTGTATAGGTGTGGTGTAAGGGCTAACAAGGCCTACCTATCATATCACCTGATATCTTGTTGCTGAAACTGTATAGGTGTGGTGTAAGGGCTAGCAAGGCCTACCTATCATATCACCTGATCTCTTGTTGCTGAAACTGTATAGGTGTGGTGTAAGGGCTAACAAGGCCTACCTATCATATCACCTGATATCTTGTTGCTGAAACTGTATAGGTGTGGTGTAAGGGCTAACAAGGCCTACCTATCATATCACCTGATATCTTGTTGCTGAAACTGTATAGCTGGATGTAAGGGCTAACAAGGCCTACCTATCATATCACCTGATATCTTGTTGCTGAAACTGTATAGCTGGATGTAAGGGCTAACAAGGCCTACCTATCATATCACCTGATATCTTGTTGCTGAAACTGTATAGCTGGATGTAAGGGCTAACAAGGCCTACCTATCATATCACCTGATATCTTGTTGCTGAAACTGTATAGGTGTGGTGTAAGCATGGTAAGGGCTAGCAAGGCCTACCTATCATATCACCTGATATCTTGTTGCTGAAACTGTATAGCTGGATGTAAGGGCTAACAAGGCCTACCTATCATATCACCTGATATCTTGTTGCTGAAACTGTATAGCTGGATGTAAGGGCTAACAAGGCCTACCTATCATATCACCTGATATCTTGTTGCTGAAACTGTATAGGTGTGGTGTAAGCATGGTAAGGGCTAGCAAGGCCTACCTATCATATCACCTGATATCTTGTTGCTGAAACTGTATAGCTGGATGTAAGGGCTAACAAGGCCTACCTATCATATCACCTGATATCTTGTTGCTGAAACTGTATAGCTGGATGTAAGGGCTAACAAGGCCTACCTATCATATCAGCTGATATCTTGTTGCTGAAACTGTATAGCTGGATGTAAGGGCTAACAAGGCCTACCTATCATATCAGCTGATATCTTGTTGCTGAAACTGTATAGCTGGATGTAAGGGCTAACAAGGCCTACCTATCATATCACCTGATATCTTGTTGCTGAAACTGTATAGCTGGATGTAAGGGCTAACAAGGCCTACCTATCATATCAGCTGATATCTTGTTGCTGAAACTGTATAGCTGGATGTAAGGGCTAACAAGGCCTACCTATCATATCACCTGATATCTTGTTGCTGAAACTGTATAGCTGGATGTAAGGGCTAACAAGGCCTACCTATCATATCACCTGATATCTTGTTGCTGAAACTGTATAGCTGGATGTAAGGGCTAACAAGGCCTATTTCCCCTAACATTACTGTCCCTGATAGCATCATCATCATATTAACGTGGAAACACCAGTGATCATAACTGTATTGGATAAACAAATGGCACTGGAGTATACTAGATCAACGTACCAGAACATATTCTTCATAAAGAAACTGATAGTTGACTCTATCCATGGATGGAAACTGCATTTAATTTGTAAACAAACTTGTAGATTTATTTAGGGGCTGGTATTTTTAATTTTATTGAACATGTTGAACACATGTAAATTCCAATGTGTATTTACATGTTGTACCGACCTAATTTATCAATTTAGGAAAATAATACCTGCGAAGAAATGACGAAAATAGTAAAAATCTTTGTTCAACTTGTCAAAGCAATTTAATCAAATCACATAAAAAACACATGGTGAGAATTTATCTTCCAGTACTACCCAATATTTTTCTGAATCAATAGTTGTCAATGACTATTAACATGATAAAACAACTGTATGAACATATTACCAGTGATTTTCTACATGTATAATGAATAAAGGCTTTTCATAACAATCAGTAATGAGGTAAAGATGTATAGAAACATAAACAATGTTGTAATACAAACTGCTAAACTGAAGTATCATTGACTTACCTTGTATTCCAGTCAATTTGTTTTGCCAGTGGCATATTCCTGTACCCTTCACACATTCGCAGTGACAGCGATGGGGAGACATATTTATAAATACACAGGAAAAATGCACAGCTTGCAAATGCAAATGGGTAATAGGTTGTATCAAATGCGATCACTTCGATTCTGCGACCCATCATTTGTTCGAAGTTAGCATTGCAGATCTGAAACGAATAGAGTGCTCATGACAAACTTCAGAAGTCCAGACAGCGTGATAAACGACACAACAATGACTACTATTTATGACATAAGCTGGTACATTTTTACACATTATTAACATTAATTAATGTTCAGTGTGATTATCTATGCAACTCAAGTACAACTTGGCATTATCATGGTCATTGTTAGTTTCAAAGTAAAAAAAGTTGAATTCTATTACAGAATTGGTGACCTTTGCAAGGAACATATCTAGAAAAAGCTATATATTATGTATTAAGCCAAAGGGGTTGGCAACCACACTGTTGGCAATCAGGTATCAGAATCATTATACAAAGGAATTACATATAACTGAAACAACTTTTCCACAAACATTACCTGTTAAATAAACTAAGACTGAAGAACGTGGGCACTACTGACAACAATACATGTGTTGCAACAGATTTCGGGACTTATGTACGACTGCCAGGTGATATCTTAACGTGTCCTGTAACTCTACTGAATTCGTGTAGTGTAGAGATAAGATAATAGGTGCTACGTTGATGTTCCTACACAGGCCTGGTTTTATCAGCTGACTCGTAGCTCAGACCTTTGCCCTAGTATATGGTCTCTGCCTAAATATCTTGTCATGAATGTTTATGTCATTTCCTCAGACGTGTGTCCCTCTCAAGTGTTTAGATCACGCTGATCACATGCCTAATTTATGAATCAATGCACACAATGACAACATCGTAATCATGTTTCTGCATTTCAACCTCTGTTTAATTCAAAACCCTTATCAAAAGGACCTACACAATCATAGATGCATTATTCCGCATTTTGACAGGTGCTCTTCTGTGAAGCCACGTTAGTTTCCGGAAGTCACAGTAAAAGGAAGTAAACGACGCATGACGCGGTATGTATGAACCAAAATATGTCGAATATTGCCTTTCGTCTCAGTTGGTGCCTCACGTTATCGACGGAAGAGCAATATTCTTACATTCTTTGTAGGTATGACCCCATAGATTCAAACAGCATATTACAATTGATGCATGAACTCTTTGTTTTGGATTAATCCGATTCACGGTTGTCTCCCTTCTGAAAAAACGCGTTGTCTACCCTTAGTTGAACAGCTGAGAACATGTGGATGCACGTAGCTTTGTGATTTATGGAAATCGTTTAAAGATGGACGTGTTTATATTTCTCATTCTTGTTCCTGTGTGTATTCTGACATTTCTTCTGTATAGAATATATTTTGTAAAAGTAAATGGAACACACAATCCATTAAATACAGGCAAAAGAAAAGTTCCAGCTTCCTTGATGGTAGTGGTAGGTTCAGGTAATATACCAGCTTCTGTATTTCATCTGTGATAATAATTTATATTAAAATAGGTCATCAGTACTTCAATGCTTTGTCAAGATCTGGGGATCATTCATAATGCTGACAGACAATTGGGAATGATGCATGAGTGCCAAAAAGGACCCCCTCATTATTATTATTTATATTATTATTATTATTATAGGTTGGGGGAAACGTAGTGTAATCTTTGCATGATGACCAAGTAAATGTTAAGTGGTTTGTGTGGTATGTGATGATCTGTGTGATTCTATATAGAAAGACATCCATCAACATCCTTATGAATAACCAATCAGCACATTCTAGCTTATTAAGTCTATATTCAAAGTTATCACAACATTAATCAACCATAGCTCCAAAGAATGAAGCTATGTGCCAGAGAAACCAACCCATCAATGAGGCCTTATTTGCAAAATGTAAATACATCCTCAAAAATAATGTTCTTAGTTTGGGTGGTTTGTTTTCTAGGTGAATGATTAAATTTGAAGATTTCCCCCACTGGTGTTATCTAGCATGAACACTTAATGTTTGGATTATAGGAGGTCACACGAGGGAAGTCCTGTGTCTGGTGCGACAGCTGGGGAGCCACTACTCGCCCAGGTACTACGTTATTGCAGACACCGACAAGATGAGTGAACATAAAGTCCATGCCTTGGAAGAGAGTCGGAAAGAAGAGCAGGAACAGTCTCAGGTATGTATCATCAGTCATTTACTATTGAAGTAGACACGTGAAGATCCGGGGTAGAATAGGTCTTCAGCAACACATGCTTGTCATAAGAGGTGACTAACGGGATCGGGTGGTCAGGATCGCTGACTTGGTTGATTGATGCATGTCATTGTATACCAATTGCGTGGATCGATGTTCATGATGTCAATCACTGGAATGTATGCTTCAGACTCAATTATTTACGGACCGCCATTATATAACTGAAATATTGCTGAGTGTGGCGTTAAACAACAAACAAACAAAACAAAACTTTTGAAGTTGCATTCTTAGACAACTGGTAGGCTTTATTTTTTTTTGCAAACTAATATATTATAGTTTTTTTTAGGCTTTGGCAGTCGTATTTGCTTGAATAATATTGTGTACCTCTCTTGCACCATGTATTCTGAATTGAAAACTACTAGAGTTCAAGGGGCGGTCGGGTAGCCTAGTGGTTAAAGCGTTTGCTCATCACGCAGAAGACCAGGGTTCAATTCCAGACACGGGTACAATGTGCAAAGCCCATTTCTGGTGGTTCCCCCCCCCCATGTGATTTTGCAGGAATATTACTAAAAGCGGCATAAAACCATACTCACTCACTCACTCACTCACTCACTCATATTAACATATTAACAGCATATTTGCTCATCTGAACTAAAGGTCTTTTGTAGTGTGCATTGTCAGTTATGATCCCTCTTTTAGGAATATTGCTAAAAGCGGCGTAAAACCATATTCACTCACTCGCTCGCCCGCCCGCCCGTCCGCCCTCTTTCATTTTTTCTCCATGACTGTTTTGACTCTGGTACATAGAGTTTCAGATAGTCTTTGGTCACCGGTCATAGACCAATATAATTTCAGTTTGACAGATAGTTTGTTTAGGTAGTTGGACTTTTGGCGGCCGATAAACACATGATAAAAGTGCTAAGCTAGGTGTCACATGTTTCAGAAATTCAGAAATATTAAGTAAACAGTAAGGATTAGTCCTACATAAACTATCCATTTAATAAAACAATGCACAGCCATCAAAAATCATTATTGAAATTCTGAGCAGCATCTGTCTTTGTATCATACTTTCAGTATTATAAGGAAACCCAAGAGCTTTTGTGACTTAGTCAAGTGCTTTTCTAATCGCAAAATTCATTGGCCAGATCATATTTATTCATCCAATCATGATGGGTATTGTATTGATTTGGTGTTATGGTTTGTTCGCCATTTTTATTTAATTGACTTATTGACTTTTGCCGATGACTTATTACATTTCTTGGGTCCAAGTTATTGACCTATATACAGTAAACTATGTTTTTAACGAACACACTTAATTCGAACCGGTGGATACAACACACTTATGTTTGGGTCCCGGCCATTAGCTGTATATATGCTGTATATATGCTTATAACAACCTATGGCTATAACAAACTAATATTAGTGGTCTCTTTGAGTTCATTATACAGTAGTTTACTGTACAGCTTTTTGTGTCAAAATCCCTGGTTATCGGGGTGAAACATGCAGTGTTGGAGGATGTAGTGGGGTAACAATGGGGTAACAATGGGGTAACAATATGCTGTGATGATGGATACAAATGCTGCTTGTTTCTTTTGTTACTATCTAATCACAGTTACTATAAATCAGGGTTGGCAAGAGTGGCAGAGTTGCATCCCTTAGTTGTGCCAGGATCACTCTCAGAACTGTTCAAAGGAAACATTATGGGCTTGTGAAAGTCCGAGTCATCATTATTATTCTTAGAATCTCAGGAGCCCCAACATCATGGCATTTGTGGACATGTACTTGATATGCAAATGAACATGTGAAAGCGAAGCAAATGTATAAAAACAGGATCTTTTGCTTTCAGTATTTTGTGATAAGAATTCCACGGAGTCGTCAGGTGAAACAGTCATGGGTGAGCACAGTGCTGTCGACTCTGTACGCTGCCATCTACACCTTTCCCGTTGTCTTCCGACGGAAACCAGAAATAGTAAGTTCTGTGATAAGATATAACATGTTTATTGTCATAACTTTACCTCAACAGACAGGAACTTGATGCAGTCTAAAAGACTTTCCTTGGAAAACATAAGCCATGTGATATCTCAAATAGTGAATCAGTAACATCAGCAACTGGAAGGTTTGGTTAGGTTTACATGCCAATATGGAAGCAGACGGCACATCTCCACTCTTCATGGCCGCCACCGAACCAGGTTACAGCTGACTGTGGGTGAAACGATACAGCAAGGTCATGATATGTATCAACATGCATAGGTCACGATATGATATGTATCGTGATATGCATATTTACGTTGAATCACATGGTGACATCTTGCCTAAAAATATTTCAGGACAGGTTCCAAAGGAAAAGCTAGCTGTAGACACATATTCGTAGAAGCTCTTTTTAGTAGTGAACTTGAAAAGCTAATTACAGCATATTTTGCAATATCTGACTGACAAAACGCTGGAATGGGAGGTCATTAAATGAGTAGGAAGTAATTTATTTGGAATGGGGGAAATCAAGTGTGTAGTAAGAGTATCATCTTGTATCCATACAGTAAAAAACGTGTTGAGTATTGTATCGTCACATGAAAACTCACGATGCATCGATACACTGATGTATCTTTTCACCCCAAGCTATCTTTCCATATAATACTGACAATAATTACATGAGTAAACGACCTTCTGCCAACGACAATGTCTATGTTTATAATGGAATGTTTATCTCTGAGCTGCTCACGTGTCGCCAATCAGCCAATCAAAGCATCTGTGACAACCTGCGACTGTTCAAAGTAGCATAAACAATCGAAGGCAAGTGATTACCTGGATTAAGGACGGACACCTTGTCCTCAGTTTTCACTATAGCCTTTGGTGTGGATATATTCAGTCTTTAAAATGCGACGACTTGAGTGAGGAAATTGAAAATTGATAAAATTATGACGGCAGACACCTTGCAGAAAGCTTTTGTCTGTGTGTCAATGAAACTGTATCAATGATATACTACTTACTTGTGTTATATATTTTATGTCATTTTCCAGATGAACAAGCATAGTTTGTTTGTTGTTTAACGCCGCACTCAGCAATATTCCAGCTATATGACGGTGGCAGTAAATGGTTGAGTCTCAACCAGACAATCCAGTGATTGTTATTTATCGAGTTACCTGTGCTTACATGGCTTGATCCAAGATGTCTGACAGTCGAAAAGCACATAACTAACTAAAGTTAGTGGTCCCTTTCAGTTTGTTAAAACCATAGTTTAGTGTGTATTGAAATGAAATTCCAGCTGTTTCATAATGTGACCTGTTGAGCCTGACCTGATACACACTAGTGGTGTGTCAATTTTGTCAAATTCCAGTAATCTCTGCTCACGTTATTGAGTAAGCAAGCTGTTTAGATGCCTAGTTCATACTGAGTGACCTTGACCTTGGATAATTAAAAAGGGGTATATGAGAGGTATATCACGTATCCAGGGGCAGCTTAAATATCATTCAGTTGCTTGGTCTATCAAAGGAAACTGATCATACATCTTTGCTGTTGCAGATCTTGTGTAATGGCCCTGGAACATGTATTCCAGTTTGCCTGGCTGGACTTCTACTCAAGGTAGGTACAAATATAGGATAAAGTCATCGTGTCGGTGACATGTAGATTTTAAACTTATCCTATCTCACACAATGCATTTCTTCTTTTTTCTTTTGAACCTATGTGGAAACATGCTGGAACAAGGTTTCCAGCTTCTAAAAACAAATCACCCAAACACATCCCAGCATCACCACGGTCACCACCCACCCAAGCAAATGGGTCATGCACTGTACTCCTGGCTTCTCTGCTTCTTGTTCGGTTTCCTCTTATCTCGCTTTGCCGACCCCTCCTGTGATTCTCCCTCCACCTACACAGTCGCTACCTACCTCACAGGACCATTGAGACGAGGCTAACGATCCAGTGCCGAACTTGGAATTGTTCCCTCAGGCAGTGACCTCTGCCCTCCAGAATATTTCTTCTAGTCGTCCCGCATTCAGCAAAGCACCCACTGTACTGGTTATTCTAATGCATAGAATCAACGTAATCTTATTGGAATTTTGCTACAAGCGATGTATAATTTCTCACTCCTTCATCTACGCATCGCTTGGATTGGATTAACTATGTCGGTTTGGAGATGTTATGACAGTCTACATTGGCATCCCCCTCCCTTACCTGCATCATGGAATCACTGGACTCTCTTCTCAGTTTACCTTTAATCTGTTTGCAAACTTATGAAAGATCAAGATCAGGAAGTTCACCCCTCTCAAGAGAGACATTATACAGGAAATGAAGATCGACTGCATCTTGCGCTGCATTTTTACTTTTTGTTTGTTTGACGCCACACTCAACAATATTCCAGCTATGTGACGGCAGTCTGTAAACAATTGAGTCTGAACCAGACAATCCAGTGATTGACATCATGAGCATCGAGCTTCAACACAATTGGGATTGATGACATGCATCTTCCAAGTCGTCGAGCCTGACCACCCGAACGCATTAGTCGCCTTTTATGACAAGTGTATTTTTACTTGTGTGATCGACAGGGATTTGACATTTTAAGTTATTTACATGCATCAGACATCTTGGCAATCAACTTGCTGATGCACCAGTCACGTCACACATTCTACAGGGAATTGGCTGCATGTACACTGTTCTCTCTTCCAAATTGGGATGCTGTATCTTCATGTGAGGGAGGTGTGGAGTTTTTCACCAAGTGTGAGGCAAGAACATAGACTGGTTTGCCCACATTACAGCCCTCTTGTCGGTTAGCTCTAACAAAAGAGAATGACATGGCAGGGGTAGTCATGTGATCATGTTTTGTAGGTCCCTATGCACCGGATTACATTGCATGACCCATTTGCTTATGTGGTGACCATGGTGATGAGGGGTGAGTTCGAGTGATATGTTTTTAGAAGCTGGAAACCTTGTTCGAGCACGTTTCCACATAGGATCAAAAGAAAAAAGGAGAAAAAGCATAGTGTGAGATAGGATAAGTTTATAAATATCCAATTTAATGTAAACTTTACAATTTGTATAATTGTTTGCAAAGCAACCTTTAGCATTATGATATATGAATGTGTTTGCCTGCCTGGACTTTTGCTCAAGGTATAGAGAGTATCACAGAGAGCCATCATGTTGGTGAAATGTAATCTGTTTTATTCTTTGCAAAGCAGCCATCAACATTGTGATGTCATATGAAAAGTCATTGTTACATATAATTAAAGAAAACATCATACATCGATGTCAATGTGATATGGTATCCTGAAAGAGCAAGCGAGTTTATCCTGTTCTAGGTCGACTCGTTAAATATCCCACAATGTCTCCTCACTCAACAGGTTCAAAAACAAGTCAATTTAAGTCTCCCTGTTACCATGGTTAAGGGGAGATTTGTGTACGTGACAATCTGTGGTAATCTTTTTAGCCGAATCTTATTATTTATGGTTTCATGGATTTGTTTCAGTGGCTCCACTTCCAGCGCACCATGATAGTATATGTGGAGAGTGTGTGTCGCGTCACGTCCCTGTCTCTGTCGGCCAAGATACTCTATCATTTTGCAGACCACATGTTTGTTCAATGGCCGACTCTACAACAGCAGCATCCCAAGTGTCAATACATTGGAAGAATTGTATAGTGCTCCTTCTCATCACAACATGCATTTATGTGATATGTTACAGATATTTTTGTGTTAATAAACTTTTCTTTCGTTACGTACCTTGTCTTTTGTATTATGCAATGACATGGACAGATACAGGCTCGGAAACTGAACACACTGTTTAGTTTAGTGTAGGTATGATTGGTTTACCTTCCCAATGGCGAATTAATCTTTCTGCAGCCAAAAAGTCATAGCAAATTTGGAGTCATGATCAGAGACATGTACTTTGCCTTGGAGTTATGAAAAAGTGGACAAAAAACCCTCAAACTCCCTGCACAACTCCATGGTCATAACTCAAAAGAGGTCAATTTCAAAGAAAATACTTTATGTGAAGAGAGGATCCACCAAAACAATAATATTTTGCGTTTGTTCTTCAAACCAAACATACTGCCTCAAGCAATAATATTATATAATAAGATTTTATCACATTCTGAGGCAGTTTGATAATAGCCTTCAAAGCAGTCATCCAAGGCACCACAATTTGCTTTGTGCGTTCCTTATGGATACACGAAACCTATGATCATGGGTTTCACAAATATGGTAAACATTTAAGACCTGCATCACATTTGGCTTTCCTTCCACATCAAGCTGACATGCCATGTTATAAGTGGAATACTGTTTAATGCAGCGTTAAACCCAACTCACTCACACTCATCGGGAACTGAAATATCAGGTATGTCTCACACCCTTACCACAGACTTTTCACTCAGTCTTACGGAAACATGGCAGTACGTCTGTCCAAAGTTTTTGAATTTACCTCCGTAGTTTGTTGTGTAATGCCTTACTCAGCAACATTCCAGCTACATAATTGTGGTCTGTTCATAATTGACTCTTGACCAGACAGTCCAGTGATTGATGTCATGAGCATTGATCTATGCAAGTGAGATACGAAGACATGCATGAAGCAAGTCAGCGAGTCTGACCACCTGATCCTGTCAGTTGCCTATTAAGACTAGTGGGGGCTGCTGTAGACCAGTTCTGCCCTGGATTTTCAAATCTAAATACATCTACCATATCTCAGTCAATTGAGACAATCCACAGGGATTAGAGAACCACCATAGGTCTGAGTCGTGCAGCAATTTTAGCATCAACGGCTCAGGCTCTCATCCATGTTTTCACAAAAAGTCAGTGGCATTTGTCAGTAGCATCCTCAGAAATACATGCATTCACAACATGATTGTGTACATCCTTATATTTTCTGTAAGAAGAAAATGTATAAAGCAAGTTCCAAATGAAACAATGAGCTGGTAAGCATTTATTTCCCATGACTTTGTACACTATATACAATGTTTATTGCACTGTGGGATAACAAGGAATGCATGGTCACACAACTGTGGGATAACAAGGAATGCATGTTCACACAACTGTAGGATAACAATTAATACATGTTCACACAACTGGGATAACAATGAATACATGTTCACACAACTGGGATAACAATGAATACATGTTCACACAACTGTAGGATAACAATGAAGACACATGAACACATCACAAACTTACACTGTCGAAGTAACACAATGGAATGACTTTTGCATAATTTACACTTGTCACAATTATCTTCCCAAGGCAAAGGTGCTAACTGACTGTAACAGTTTTAACCCTTGCTGAACTAGGCTGGAATTTCAAGGCTCAATCACAGTGCCACCAGTGGCAATTACATGTTATGTCCCTCCTATTGACCAATCAGATTGTACCTCATAATACTTGCATTTGCTTCAAACAAAATCGCAGCACCCAGTCAAGACGATCTGATCAATCTGTCAATGACCAACTGATGGTACACATGCTTTGTATTAGATTCATTAGTTCAGGCAAAATGTGACAACAGAATGCCAGCCTAGTTCTGTCAAGGGTGGAAACTACTTTTATAGTCAGTTAACGCCCTTGCCTCAGGAGGATGTCTGTTGATCTGTATAAAAATGGTATGAAATTGATTTTAACTTGGTTTTGAACAGTATTACAGTTTTATCATCATATATCTGCTGGAGACAAGCCTAAGTGACATTGAGGTTGGAATGGAGCAGACAGCGGAGTGGATGCTGAGCAGAGTTTGGCTGACAGAATATGAAACAATGGGAATGAACATTATCAAACAAGTTTTTTCACATTTCGTCTTTGCGTGGCCCAGAGGAGGCCGGCCACAAGTATAGTTGATCCCACCATTCCAGCAGTAAACACTGTTGTGGGAAATGTACCCTGCAACATGAAGGGGAGGTAACTGAGAGAGTGAGTGGGGTTTGGTTTTGCCACTGTTAGTAATATACCACTAATTTCTAGGACACCAAGGCGTCAAACAGTGTAAGGAATCAAGACCAGGTCCATGACAAGCACCTGCTTTTAAAACTACCCTGCTAAAACACACTGGACATGAGAATAACAAAAATAATGATGTAACAGGTTTTCTTAAGTGTTATTACTTTGTTTCTTTAAAGATGATCAAAATGATAAATTTCCATGACTACCAGTTAATAATGTAACTACCTTTCTGAGACACTTGTATCCATGGTAACCTGGTAAACACAGGCACTCACTCATCCCAGGCGCTGTATTAGCACAGTAGGAATTGGAGGGGCAAGACACTGAAAGAAGAAAACATTAATGGCATGTATACAAAGGCATTACCATTTACGAGGAGTCATACCCCTTCCTCTTCGAACCCCCGACCTTCTGCTCTCCGTGCAGACACTCTACCACCAAGGAGGGGGTCCCATACAGACATAATATAAGTACATGTTTGGTATGAACAAGGAACACTATGCTACTGGTCCCCTGTGTATGTAGACACATTGTGTTTGTTACACAGGTACATCAAATTTGCACAAGAATTATGTTTTTTCTCTCACATAAATAAGACAAGAGTCATCAGAAAGATGACATATCCCCCCCGGCAGCTGTCTGTAAAGTAACCACAAGTAAATGTGCAATTCTGTATGTAATGAGTCAAGAGTTAAATGTTCTTGAAGAAGCATACATTGTTTACCCACAACAGTTCCACCATGGTCGCATCCATATGAAATGGAAAGTAAAACAAGTGTGTTTCTGTGGTTTTTTTATGCAAACAAATGACACATTACAAGAAACAATAACTAAACAAGCGTATAGTCAGCGAAGTCATCTATATCCCCCACCCATTTTAACACGTTATTGTCCCAAACCAGGTAACTGACCCAACATTTCTCTTAGCCCATGTCAAAATAGCTGCCATGGAAATTCTAAAATAAACATTTCTAAAACTCCTTAATGTTAAATGGCAACAGTTCAGTATGTTCTTTATATATAGACATGCAATGTTTGGCAAGGAAACAGTTTATTTGTTATACCCCATAAGTGAACCCACCCTATATTTAAACTTCAATCCAACTTGTTGCCATGGAAATATAAACATTTATAAAAATTCCTAAATAGCAAAAGGCACCAGTTCAGTATGTGCCTGGTAGACATGCAAAGTTTTGTAAGAAAGTATTTAATGTTTTTTTAGTTACGCTCCGGAAACAAACTCCACCCTTATAGAACCTAAGTCCAACTTGTTACCATGGAAATGTAAAAAATAAAAATTTCTAAAATTCCTAAATAGTAAACGGTATGTGACTGATAGATTTGCCAAGTTTCGATCAAATACACTGAATGGTTTTTGAGTTCTGCCCCGGAAAAGGAAATGATTACGGCTGGACAGACAGACTGGCTGATTGCTATATCACCCTGCATTATATGCTGGGGGGATAAAAAGAAAAACATACAACTCTATGAATAACAACTTCTGGTTTATTGCATCTAGCGATATTTGGATGTAGATTCTTACACCGTTATCAAGCTGGAGAGACAACAGCCAAGTAATGACAGACATATATGCATGACATGTGATAAGCAGCAGATTAACACTGACAACAAGTATAAATATTTCCTCACATAGATAGTGTCACCATTAAAAAAAATGCCTCCACCAATTGTGACACCTGTGTGTCCTGAGATCACCCCAGCCATGCACACTTATAGCATACATGACACACCTACCATTATGTACAAGGCAGAAGTCCAGCTCCTGTAGACACAGTGTTTCATTGGCTGTAGTATTGGTAGTCTCCCACGCATCCACGCCCCCTGGACAGTCACTGCCCGCAGGAAGAGCCCTGACCAGAATGCAATATTTCAGTCAATGTGACGCAGGTCAACTATGCTCAAACAAACATTATAAATAGATCAGTGTGCACTCAATTTCATTCTCATCTTCCTGGGGAGTATAAAACCCAAGCCACCTGTGTCATCCTACTGGGTACCCATTAACTGCTGGGCGAACAGAGGCATACTTCAACAATGTCACTTGCCTAACGATACTCCAAATGTGCTTCAAAGCCCTACAAACTCTCGGGAGTAAAGCTCCTGAACGCGGTCACCCATCAAACTACTCGCTGTGACCAACATTGCTGAAGTTCATGAGATTTGTGACCTGTGCACTGTACACAGGACCGTGTGCCACAGCTACTTATCACAGACAAGGATCAGCAGCATCTACCAGCTAAGGGACACAACTCTGCACAGCTGGGTGACCTGGTGCTCTCGGTCAAAGGATTTGGTTTGTTGTTTTACGCCACACTCAGCAATATTCCAGCTATATGACGGTGGTCTGTAAATAATCGTGTCTGGACCAGACAATCCAGTGATTGATAGCATGAGCATCGATACACGCAACTGGTTAGTCACCTCTCACGACACTGACTTTAACATTCTTTGGATTGTTATTCTCTTTCTTGTGTCTTTGATTTGAAGACATTCAAAGTTTAGTACAGTTCTTAACCTTATCTTTGATTGTATTAGATCACCTCAAAGTCTAATCAGTCTGTGATACTTACAAATATTGTAATTCTAAGAGGCCTTCAAAATCTGTTCTTGAAATATTCTTCACAGGATTGTCCTGGAGTAGACTGAAAAAATGACATCAAGAATATTCACCCTAAGAATACCGACAAGTCACTACAAGAGCATCTTACACAGTTTCGTGTTTCTTCAAAGACAATAGCCAAACATTGAAATTCAACTTCAGGACTGAGTGATTGAGATTCACAAGCAAGAAAGGATAGAATATTCATTAACAAAGCCAAAAGAAACTGATATAAAGGAAAGAAGACAATGTTAATGTTCTGAAACAAAGACAAACTGTCTTAATGAAACCTAACTTACACGACTTGTAGAGATGCTCCATCTGTGAACAAGCCAGTCAGCTGCGACAGTCCACATCCCTGAACGTCAAGGCTGCAATCAATGTTCCAGTTTATCAGAATGGGTTAACAACAATGCAGTTCACCAGTGAATATATTTTGGCACTGAGTGGACAGTTTGGCAAGGATAAATGCTAAATCTGTGTAAGATATGGGATGTTTACTGTCTGCATAGTCCTAGGTGTTCACTTCTGTCAAAGAACATGTTGAGCTGATCACTACTCTGAGCTGCGGTTTAGGTAAATCACTTAATGTGGAATGAAAGTAGGTTTATCACTTTAGTAAAAACCATGAGAATAGGTATGACAATGTCTGATCAAGAACCATCATCATCCCAAAACTGGGACTCATGACCAGTTAATGCTGGCAAGTTAGAGTTGCAGGCCACTGATGTCAGCTGTTGAACAATAATTATTGTTGATATTTTAGTGCTATGTTAAAATAAGTTTTGAGTTGTTACCTCCCTTGTTGCTCTTCAGCTGTGAATCAGGTTTGCTTCGCAGCGTCTGTGGCCATGTGGGCAATCAGCTTGTCAATTTGTAAAATAACCACTCCAACACTGCCAGTAGCTTTACGTAGGGTGTGTGTTACTCTGCTATGCTAGGCATGCCAGCCTTCGCTTGTCAATGTTTGTTTCTGTTACCATGCCTTGCTGTTTCAAGGTTTATTGCTTAGGGCAAAGACGTATATACGTCTTTGCTTAGGGTACTACATGTACTAGTATTTAAGGGTAAGGATAATTGCTCCGAGCTAAGGGTTTGGTAGTGTAAGATAGCTACACAACAACACACAGAACAATGAAGAACGAAGCATGGTTTTTTCAACGATAAAACACTGTTCTATAATGACATCATTTCTGGAGATTCTCATTCATGTGTTCACAACTTGATGATGTCATATATTTTAATGCTATTTTTGAGAGGGAAGTGTCTAGTAAGTTGTTTCCCATAGATGTAGCTGGGCTATGCAGATAAACGCAGTGGCCGAATGATCGCATCAAAAAGTGGGAGAGATATGACAATTGGTATTAAGAGAAAAGGTACAGAATATGCGGGAAATGCCAAACTTAATCCACCTGTACATAAAATGGACTTGTCCGACATTGCTGGGATCGGATTCTATTCAGGGAGTCATCATCATTAAAATTTTGGTAAATATTTTTAAAGCTTGTACATTTTGTAAGTGAGTGAGTGAGTATGGTTTTATGCCACTTTTAGCAATATTCCAGCAATATCACGGCGGGGGACACTATAAATGGGCTTCACACATTGTACCCAGGTCGGGAATCGAACCTGGGTCTTCAGCGTGACGAGCGAAGGCTTTAACCACGTACATTTTATAAACATCCTTAAAGAGGCTGTACATAATGTTGATATATCATATAATAAATATACGACTCATGGTCATTGTTTATTTCTTAAATATAATTCACCTGTCATATTTGTTTGTGTCTCACATTAAATTTGCCCAAAGTGGATCAAGGTTTTGTCTCCTACTTCTCTTTCTTATTTTTCTTGTTCAGAATTAGCCTACCTAATTTTTTATGACATATAAACCAAATGTCCTCTTTATCAAGTCTCTGCCTTGGTGAAATACTACTACATACTGCATGTGATAAAATAATGTTTACAATGTTCAACGTTGAAACAAAATATGTGACCGGACCATGTGATCTTTGCCTACCCTAATAATATCCGATGTGACCTTGTGACATTGACGCAGCATCTGCCCTGTACCTGGAGACTATGTTCGTGACAGAAGTCAGTGACATAGCTGTCATTCATTGAACTACTGCAAGTCTTAGAACAGACATCGCTCTGAAATATCAAAACACAAATAAGTACCCCTGTGACAGGTGACTTTTCTATCATAAATCCTTAAATTAAATTGTTAATGGTACTGTAAAATCCTCTTTCACAGATCTAGGATGAATGACTAACATGACTAAATCGGGATAAGTTCTAAATATTTTTATAAACGTATTCATCTAATTATCAACATGAAAAGGTAGCCCTCGCAGCTAAATATAACCCGAATTCTTGTAATTCCTCTTAAAGTTTTGTGGTGTCAGATCAGACGGATGAATGTAGCAAAACACTTGAGATTTTACCACAGCAGCCATGAATACATTGAAGCCATTGTCCAGAGAAACCAACACTTAGACAAGTGTACAGCAATATCGACAAGGTAGGTCTTTCCGAACACAACCTATAAGATAACCTGTTCCTGGGGAAATCAGTTCGTCAGAAGTCTTTTACAATGTAAACAATGTAACCTGGTCTGCGAGATGTAGGAGGATGGCATCAATGGCTTCAATGTTATGACGGAACAATGATGTTGTAATGTGATGGTATTGGATAACTGCGCATTGAAATTGTTTACTTTACGCAACATTGTCAATAATATCAACTGAATATGATTGATGCGGACAAAATACTCTTGGTTTGGGATTGCAGGATGCAGCAGCTGGTTGCGCCGATCTCCCAGTAGTATATATACCAAAACATCACGAAAATAGATATCCCACGAAAACAAGAGACGGAATGGGAATACTTTTACTAAATTTAGATTTTTCTCACAAGAGACATCTGTATAAGTCAAATATTTTCTGCGTTTTTACCTGTTTTTCACTAGCACTACAATACACGAAGTAAATCGCGAATGTGACGATAAGAAACCAAACGCTGAAGGGTGTCATGTTTTCTTTTCCGAATCAAACAACGGCCATTTTTAGGTCATGTGACTTCATCTTCCTGTTTCGTCTCCTAGCGGTGACCTCCGCGGGGTTGTTACGTTGGCAACGTAAACAAACCAAAGTGGTGGATGTTATCGAGCGTTTAATTGGCCCATAGTCAAGCCTTTGACCAATTAGAAGATTGTTGACATCAATAGTCCTGTCGTTTTGTGTTTCGTTAGCAACGAGGCCTACAAGTAGAGTGTGGTGGCTATTTACTGAGTGCTCATTTGTAACATTTCCATCAATTTACACCGGGCGAGTACAGAGGATACCGACTTCGACACCTTTTGTTGGGTTTGTACAACGGGTTAACTACACCATATTGTCCTCCAGGCCAGTTTACTGTTATGCACTGACCATTTCACATCATATCGTTGACATATTTATGAACTTGGCTGATGCTCTCCAGTGTTACAGATTCCCATTGGGGTATTAATGTATTGAGTATATTTGTAATAGGCAGGCATGACGGTCAGAATCCATTTACCGTTACGAAAGAGTACTACGTCATTCATTATTTTCAGGCTAAACTATGATAATGGAAAGAAACATTACCACTTTGAACAATTGAATGTCTAGACTTACCCAATTTGTTCATCCATTATCCGGCCATTGTGATTCATGTGGTTTGGTAGATCAAGGATAACATGCTATATTATTCAGGAATGCCTTGAAGTTCGAAGATAATGATAGATCTAATTATAAACAACCCACAGTATTTTTGTTCATTATACACGTCTGAACAAGGAATTGAGCCATATGTCAATATATTAGGTGTGGTTGATGATTGGCAGAAACAGAAGTTATCCTTCATTATACTTAATTGAAATAAAAACTTATCATTGTAGTATTGTGTGGGAAGGAATAATCTCATATAATTTGTTGATTGATTATCAATATTAATTTCTTTGATTTTACAGACTCCTGAGTTAATTTTGGAGTAGCTGTCAAAATGGCCACCCAACTTCGGCCCACAACTCGCTACCAGCCCCCAGATTGGTTCACAAGCAACTACACCATATCCACCAATGCCGAGCGACAGAGGGATGCTTCACACCAAGTCAGACAAGAAGGCAGATTTTTGAGAAATGAAACAGACAATCAAACCAAATGGGATCAGCATTCAAATAATGTCCGTCTTGCAGATAGAGTAGATAATATCAGGAAGTGGAAAGAAATTCTGGAGAAGACTCTAGCTGACACAGACAGGGAAATAGCCGACCTCACTGAATCCAAGGAACAGACAGAGCAAGCACTGGAGGCGAAGAACTTGCCGTTGGATGTAGCCATCGAGTGTCTGACTCTGAGGGAGGGCAGGCAAGCCATTGATGTGGTCCAGGATGAACCAGAGGCTCAGCTGCACAAGGTGAAGACATATACAAATGACTTTAATACTGTACTTCTGTGGTCATGGGGATATATTCTTGTATATATTACTGTGTTGATAGGGAACCTTGTGATGCATTATATGCATTGGGACACAAGCCTGGTGCATCAGTACTTTGGGGAATTAATATCACTTAACATTCTGTTTCCTAAGTGTGGGCCAGATTTTAAAGATTTTCAAAGAGTTTGAGAAGTTGCATCTTGAAAGGATACAAATTCTAAATCATAATTACCTTTCATACCATGTTGCATTAGGTACATTCATGATACCAACCTCCTGGTAGATTGTCAGTTCAGCATAACTGACTAAATTTCTAAACCTACAAATACATGTGTGGGCAATATATCAACTTTGACCGGTTGACAATGATGCATAATTTCTTTCTGGACAGGAAGTTGAGGTGATTGAGGGAATCAAGAAACAGCTGCAGCAGCGAGTGGATGAGTCTTTTGAGCAGCTGTGTCTGCTGCAGGAAGCCCGCCAACAGCTGCAGGCTGACCTCCAGGACAAGAACATTGCTCTGGGCATTGACATTGACCAATACAACCTCACTGACCGCTCCCCCAACATCAGCTACAAGCCAGACTCACTCAGAGTGCCCAAGGGGTAGGTAGCTCACTTCATCTTGATACAGGATGAAACAAAATGTCTTCCTTCTTATTTTGTTCATACTTCTGTAATACCCTTATTTAGTTTATTAATTTATCCACATAGTTTTGTGGATTCAATGTGATTTGTTGCAAAGATACCAATAACAAAATCTTATCCTATAAAGAAAGACTGCACAGTTGTATTTTATTCAAATAAAACGTAAATCTATTGTGAGGCAAAACATCTTTTTTTTTTAACCAGGTGCATTGACCCTTGAAACTTGAATACTAGAGAAAACAACAACCTGAAAAGAAGTTTTGATTTTGCTGTATTGTTTCTTTGAATAATTGCACCTCCCTAACCTGGTGTTCTCTACAACAGGAGCACCACCCCCCAGCAGTGGGAAGACTTCAGTCGGTACAACAAAGAACGGGCGGAGGCTGAGATGAAGGCATCCACCAGACTACGAGAGGCAATCCATCACACCCTCCAGCAGACCGCCAATGACTTGGAGGCTCAGAGAATTGCATCGGAATACGCTTTCAGGAAGAGGATCCATGAGTTCGAGAGAGCCAAGGATGAACTGGAGTGGCAGAAGAAGAATGTAAGTTTTGTCACAGTCATGGTAAAAGTAGTGGGACAATACACTGAAGCATCGGTGGATCGCAATTTTTACTTCTCGATACAAGTATTGATCACAGTCAAACACTTAGTAAAAAATATCGATGCTGACCTTAAATGTTTGCTCTATTAACATTCCACTAAACACTAATCAGTAGTGCAAGTTAATAGTGAAAACCTACACATTTTCATTTGTTGTGCCATACTTGACACTGCCAACTGTAAGTCATCAGTGTACCAGGTATTTGGCCATCCTCTCTATGAAAAAGATGGCTTAGGCACCACAGATAAGAGCACATGCAAGCATCGTGATACATATCAGATTGTGAGTAAGGTATCATGATACGTATCAGATCGCACAGTTAGTGTATCGTCCCAGCTCTAGTTAAAAGCATAAGTTGTGATGATACATTGTAGTCCAATGATACTATCTTCACTAGTCACTGCCATGGAAGCTCGTCTGTGAGTCAGCCAGGTCTAAAAGTAATCATAATTTTCAGACTGAGGAGGAAATTGCTGATATGGAGAATGACATTCGTGGCCTGGAAGAATCCATCCGTGCCAAGATCAACCCGATGAAACTGGCCCAAACACGTCTTGAGAACCGAACATACCGACCCAACGTGGAACTGTGTCGGGATGCTCCCCAGTACGGGCTGACCGATGAGGTCAAGCAGCTCGAGGCCACCAAGCGGGCACTGGAAGAGAAATGCAACCAGGCAAAGTGAGTACATCACATATCAGTTCTTGTTCAGAAGGGCAGGGAGGTTGATGTTACAAGGGGTTCAAGAAAACTGGGGGCGGTCGGGTAGCATTGTGGTTAAGCATTTGCTCGTCACAGTGAAGACCCCGAGTTGGATTCCTGACATGGGTACAATGTGTGAAGCCCATTTCTGGTGTCCCACGCCGTGATATTGCTGGAATATTGCTAAAAGCGGCATAAAACCAAACTTACTCAAGGAAACTGCTTATGTATGATTCTGATGTATTTTATAGTTAAAGTATGATTGAAATGTTTGTCACAATTTATTTAACAGACACGCTCTGGACGGCCTTGAGAAGAACCTCCATCGCATCAATGATGACCTCGCGCTGAAGAACAACTCGCTGATGCTGGACAACCGTTGCATGAATGTGCGGCAGAAGCTCCAGGCACGCCCCCAGAGCACTATCGAGAGGAATCTCACACTCACCGGCATGGAACGACAGAGGTCCACCGTTCTTGCTTAACCAGGAACATCACAAATAAATCATTTAACTAAGATTCTCATGTCAGCTGTGCAAATGCTAATTTTATATCAACACGTCAAATATAGATCTCAAATCAAGTCCAATATTTTATCACAAGACACGTTAAATTGTTCACTGTTGTATATTTTATGTTAAGTTGATGTACTGAATTATTAACTGTTCTGTTTTATTCCTAAAGAATTTAAGAACTTGCATCTAAGCGAGCAGGTTAGGATACTGGAGGCTGTGGACAATTGTATCGTGTTAATGAAATTTATTGGTGTTATAGGATTACTGCATCAGTATTCAACTGTTTTCTTCCTGTTGTTGTGTTTCCCACAAATATCTACCTTGTTGTAAATACACTCCGTCTGCAATGTGTGTTTCAGTTACAATATTACATAGAATGATAATAACTTGGGCTGCTGCTACTAGAACCTTTATTTCAGCTTATCAGTACTGGCCATATATATATCAGAACCAAACACTTAATTTGTCATGGATGTGTAAATACAAGAACAAAAGAAAATAAATGTGCTTCAGATGTATCTGTGTCTACTTCTGTTTTATGACCTTGAGAGAGTTGACAATACGTAGTCAAGGTGGATCATCAGTGGAGCTGGTCATGTGATGTGGCAAGCTCCTTCACAGCGCGTGACACCTTTACACTCTTGGTAACATCGCTGCCACCAGTGTGGGCGAGGCCATTACATGAATCTTGAAATTTGCCCATTAACCCCAAATTTAGTAATGTTTATACTTTTGTTTATGTCTTTGGGAATGCCATCACAGTTAAGTTTGAAAAGGTTTATGACTGACCATATTTCCAAGATGAATTTACATTCTTATTTGTTTGATCGGATCGGTTCGAGATTGCAGACCAAAGGAAAATCACCCAACTTCACCCTTAAATTCTTACTATACCAATTACATGATAGTTGAAATGAAATAAAAATTCCAATTGACAAAGAATAAAATGAAGCTGGGGTAAGAGTATTCGGCGTCACGGAAGTCATCACTTGTTTGTAAACATAACGGTTAGTCGGTTGCGAGTTCAACTCCAAGCATGGTTGTGGTCACTTATCACAGTGGGGAGTTTTGACTGTGGCAGCGATAGTACAGACAGCTCCACGAATGGGCTATCGCTGTGAGGAGCTTGGTGATGTGGAGATGGTCATGTGGTGATGTGGAGTACATGCAGACCACTACAAACAGCATGTAACTTGGACTGTGTTGCACGATTATTTAAGAACTGGATAATGTACTGTCAATCATGTTCCAGTAATCAAACTCACAAATATCACTGCTTGGTTCTATAATACCAAGAATTTAATATTAATAAAAAGCACAATATATAGAGAATCTCACCTGAGTGGCTTTTGATATGAAATATATCAACACTTGTTGATAAAAAATCTAACATTTATTCTATTTATCATCAAAAATCACTCTTCCAACTTTTTCAGTTTGAATGAGAGTGAGTATGGTTTTACGCCACTTTTAGCAATATTCCAGCAATATCACGGCAAGGGGACAACAGAAATGGGCTTCACACATTGTACCCATGTCGGGAATCAAATCTGGGTCTTCAGCGTGAGGAACGCTTTAACCACTAGGTTACCCAACCGCCCCTTTTATAGTTTGAAACAGTAATAAGCAGTGTCTGTGTGCATAAAGTCCAGCTAACCAGCTTCAGTGGCAGAGAGATTAGTGATGTTATTGGATTATGATGTCATGGTAACCAATGATGTCACAATGGTCTTCTTTAAAGCATTGTGATGCAATTTCATTCTACTGATCTATTGCTCGACTTTGCGAAAGTGATTTCTCCCGTGGAAGCCAGTTTGGGATCATAATTGTTATTAAAATATCCAGCTCAATCAGCGTACACACAAGCATCCTGATTTGACAACAAAACCACACATGATTATACAGTAGCCATGTTTATTTGATGATTCATTTCAGTCATTATTTGCTGATATCCTAGAGACAAGGATCTGGAACATCACCAACATCTATGATTTGACATGTGTAGCATTAAATGCTGGGCCGACAGGCAGAGAAGTGAAATTCACACACGTGTCTGTACACTGATGAAATGCTGAAGAGTCTCATAACTCAAGGTCATGATAAAACCTGGAAAGTTTGATATCATATGTACATATTTACACATTGACAATGGGTTTCCGGGGGTAAAACATTTTTTGACCATTTCTGGCACATAACATTCATTTGAAAGGTGGTTTGTGATTCACAACAGGGAGGAAATTATATTTCAAGAAAGAATTCTCCATAAATGGTCGCCCTAGTTCCATAGCGATGCACATCAATATAGAACCTACAATTGCACAACAATTTATCTTGTCATTTAAACATTTGCACATTACATACAGCTGAAGAGCAAACTTCTCAGTTTAACAAATGTTGTACTCAGTTCTTCATTCTCTTGATCTGGGAGATACAGAAAGTCCGACGGTTCTAGTCACATGCTGAATACACTAGAACTGTGGGGACCTGTAGTTGCCTCTCATTGGTCGACCCCTCCAGTGTCCTGTCCCCCGCATGTTCCTCATGTTGACTCCGCCCCTCCGGGGGCCCCGAGGCCGGGGTTGGAACCCCCCAGGTCGGCGCTGAACAGGGTGTCCACGTACAGGCTGGGTTGTGGGTGGTGTTGGCTGAGGCTGGGGGGTGGAGCTGACCGGCTGGGGAGCGTTGGCTGCACCCTCGCCCTCCCACACTATACGCTGAATCCGGGGCTTCGGACCGACTGATAAAAAAACCCAACTTTTTTATACACTGCAAACTTGGACATATATGCATTTGTGTATCATTTTTCATGCAAATAATATTTAGTACATGTTACAATGGTCAAACAAAAGTTGAATTATTATCTGAGGAGTGAGGTCATTGTTTGTGCCTCAAAATCACATCAGTTGATGGACAAGAGTTGTCTCCCCTGGTGGCCCTCATCAATACTATCTGTTCACGGTAGAAATTGTGAACAGTGCCAGTAATATATAATCTCTATTTTCTCTCTTTCACCACTGGGTGCTAGGATATACCAGTATGCTGGTTATGCATGAATCATCACAGGTAATGTTAAACATAAAGCACCATCAAGTTGGATCTCAGTGATATCTGATAGTTGCAACTGTAGGATCATTTCTGCTTATAAAAGTGAATTGAACATGGTGTCAATTTAACAGCTGCATAAGTTTTCACTTTATTGTTTAATCTTGTCCAAATTATACCCAATTGAAGATATCAAGAAAATGCAGCCCCTTCCCCCCAAAAAAACCCCAAACAATCTAAAACATAAATCAAGAACAGACACAAACGAAATACTCAAAAAATGAGTGGTTGAACATACCCACATTAAATGCCCAAGTTTAACATGAATACCCCTCCCAGACAAAGTATACCAACTCCGAGCCGACCAGTCCTTGTTTCAGCCCCATAATGCTGAACATCAGGCAGGGTAACAACAAATACCATATTTTAAAGTTTTTTGGTGTGACGCTGCGGAGGATGAAACCCCCGACCTTCTGCTCTCTGTGCAGATCCTCCACCACAGGACCACAGAGGCAGTTCATAATAGACTGGACTTCACACATAATAAATGGAGAAAGTCAAGCAAAACGTTTAATTCATCTCAAACACTCATGCAAAAACAAGAATGGAATTACCATATCTGTTAGGCAGTTGTTTTAATTAGTTGGTTTATACTTTATTCCCCCAAAACATTTGGGTGCAGGTCCAAATAAAAATATTTATTATGCTTTATTTTTCATTTGGCCATGTTTTCATTTGGGTGACACTTGACAGGATTGTAATATTTTACATTGTTTACATCGGAACAAAGCCACACACGGCTTGGAGAACTGGACTTTACATGGACATTATGGGCAACTGAACATCACTTGTCTCGGTAGGAAGGCCAGGAAACTAGGGCTGGGGCAAGTCCAAATTCACTACCCCGGTACCCACCCCCCTATTACCCGACCCTACCCGGGTACCCACTGTAGGTCTCAGGAGATGTCTCAAAATGTCCGATCGGGAACAATTTTAGCATAGCCCTAGCAAAACGTATTTAGACACATGTATTAAAAAATCTGGTCATTCATACACTGCAGTCGAAATAAGTTATATCTTTATTCAACCATATGAAAAATCAGAAGGAATGGGTGCAGACTCAGAAAGAAATGTGAACATAAGTGACTTGTAGTGTAACCACACCATTTTTGTCATTAAACAATATACCACGTGACTAACCACGGGTCCGGGTCGTCCTGTGGGTACCTGGGTCCTACTCAGTACCCACCCGACCTGTGTACCCGAGTTACCCGTCCCAGCCCTAATGGAAACAGCTTTTGATTTTGTCCACGATTGTGATTATCAGCTTTAAACTTGACTAACTTTCCCCCTGACGTTCCTGATTTATTTAGGTTTGTAAACAAATTAATAAATAAACACATTATTGTCAAAAACATGAAAAACATGAAACCAAGAACCATGGAATGGAACCAACAGGTCCGCAGCTTACCTACATACAGACCCGACCGAAGCCGTAGCCGTGGCGGCATCATACACCTCCAGCCTGACACACACAGCCATACAGTCAGGTCATACATCAAGTCACAGGGGCATGTATTCACCATTACAAAATACACTAAGTTTGAATTCTCCAAATACATCAACACAAGAGATGTATGACAGAGTAAAACTATCACTGACTTTTCGAGGCTTGAGATTGGAGTTTGCCTATTACTGAGATCACAATTACCAAGCAATGCTGGACATTCAGGCTTTCCTTGTAAAATATGGATAATTACCCTGTAACCAAAGTGAAATTAGTTCCAAGGCACTGTAGCTCACCTGTAGTTATATGTAGTTATATGTATAAAATGTCAACAGACAAGACACTTCCAAAATGTTTTTGACTGTAGTTATATTTTCTGTATATTTACTGAGGACTTAAAACTAACACGAAAATCTAACGATCTGAACAAAATGTGATGTCATCGTAAGGAGAAACACGGCAAATTTAAGCTTCCTCAGTGTGTCAATTCTAGAAGTTTGCAGAGCCAATATGCCACTGAGAAAATTTATGACCATTGTCAAAATGACTTCAAACTTAAAATATATCTGAAAAAACCCAGAACATAATGCCAATAAGAAGTTCCACCTGCCACTGAGGTCACAGGGCAATTGTTAAAAAGAAGAATGATCAAAATTCAAAATATCTCCAAAAGCTGAACATATATGGTGAGCTCCATTAAAAGTACACAGTCAAGTACAGTAAACTTCGGTTATAACAAACACGCTTGTCACGAACTGACGGATATAACAAACTTACTTATTTGGCCCGGACTATTTGCTGTAGTTATGCTGTATATATGCTTATAACAAACTACGGTTATAACAAACTAAAATTTGTGGATCCCTTTGAGTTCGTTATAACCTTAGTTTACTGTACCGAACTTCATTCCCTTGTGAAGGAAATGGCTGACTAATGGCCATAGAGAGGTTTTCAAGATGGCTGCCGTGGTGGAGCAGACGTAATACTATGTCACCATCGCAGTAAAAATGCATTTTTTACATATGGCTCACAAACCTGAAAGGTCGACTGCTCCCTGCGATGTTGAACTCCCATCTTCCTCTGCTGCTTCCTTCTCTCCCTCGGTCTCGGGCCTGGCATCGTCTGAACAGCAGAGTGAGTGAGTGAGTGAGTGAGTGAGTGAGTGAGTTAGGTTCTACACTGCTTTCAGCATGGGCATCCAACATTGACTATGTGGCCAGGAAACCGAGATCTTCGGCATGTGTTAGTAACCACATTACTTCCACAACCCAGGAAAGTGAGTGTGGTTTTACACTGCATTTAGCAATATTCCAGTACAAATAATGTACTTTACACAGTGCACATTGCAAATAAAGATACATCAACACTAATCTACAGTAGTGTCAGAAGATGAGGCACCCACCCATGGTCTACACAATATGGCCAAGCTTCAGTCAACAGCTCCTGTCACCTTGACCTTGTGGTGCATTCAGAACACCCTTTGTATTTGATGCAGACATTTATAGATAAACACGAAAACATGACCTTGGCCACGTTCAACAAAGTGATCTTAGACTAAAAGAAATAATGGTCCTTGTTGTCAGGCACAGCCCGCAACATCATAAAATTCGCCCCACGTTTTGTTTTATATTTCCATTTTTTACATACTAAGTAAGGATAGAATTTATGGATGAACAACTTCTTTATTACAATTAAGAGTGATGTTTCAGTGTACGTTCTAACACCGTTACTTGCTTGATAATGGTTTTAGAACCTACACTGAAACGTCGCTCTTAATTGTAATAAATAAGTTGTTCGTCCATAAATCCTATCCTTAATTAGTACTCCAACTTCTAAATGCCTCTCAAAGAAGGTTACATACTAGTTGGAACAACCCCCCCAAAAAAGACACTGCCCACCCACACTATTTTTTCAAAAACCATAGCCTGAGAACCAATTCTTTTATTTTTTGAAGCCTCAATGCCAAGGTAACGCCCATACTTTAACATAGACTTACGACCGTCGTAGAGCTACGATTGCTTTGTGGAACAAGATCCTGGCCACAATGATTGTAGCACCATGACTGCCCTAACTCTCTCATGTTGTGCACAACACGTGGATTACAAGAAGCAGTAAAAACTTGTCTCACCTGTATCAGGTGCACCGGACGTGGAGTCCTGGGGGGCATCTCCCTCCAACAAGGCTGATTCCTCAATCTCCTCACTATAACACAAGCATCCCCTATATAACACAAGCACAGAATGCATCGAGGCAGCAGGTTGCTGATATTAAGAATAAGAGTGTTCTAGAAATGTGACAGCAAGTACTCAAGTGTGAGTGTTGTGTACAGATATTAACCATAATAGTCCACTCAATCACAGTTCACAAACACAATGATCTTCAATCACATGCCTACATGGCACTGAAGCACACACAGTGTCAACAGCCTGCACTTTGGTCCCTAACCAAGGCAGCCAAGCTAAAGAAAGATTTCTGGACAGATGGATGAATCAATCATTAACCACATATATGACAAAATCTTTGTGAATAAATGCTCTGTTTTGAAGGTGGAATAGAACAGCCATTCTTGTGGCCTGTGAACAATCCGGCCTGGACCCAGAAATCATGTGGTTGTGATACAATGACCCCCAATCAGCCACGTCACACTCTGGCCACCATCAAAGTCAGCTCCAGACAAATAGACAAGCAGGAACTCATGCAGTCTTGTCTGATAATAATTATTATTGCAGGGTTGTTCGATAATGTCCTCCTGGGCTTCCTAATGTGTAACAATGTGTCTCAGTGTCCTCAATGTCATCCTCACCGGTCCTGCTCCGCTTTGGCGGCCTCTTGCATCTGCTGCGCTGTGTCGACGTCTTCTACTCCAGACTGCCCAACATCTGCGGCAGGTGCAGTCTGCGTTGCCTCTACATGGGCCTCAGGGAGGGCAACTGAAGAGATGGGACAAGTCAGCACATACTACTACGCTCCCACATCAACCCTAAAGGGGACTAGCATGTTACTAGTCCTCTCCTGTACTACACAATGAAGCTTCATGTTAACCAGAAAGCTGTTTGCATTCCATGCTGAAACAGAAGCAGCCCCGTCCCCACCATTTCCATCTTCCCGAGGCAAGAGAGTAAACTGACTTTAAAAGTCCTGTGTCCACCCTTGCCGAACTAGGCTGGAAGACACCAGTGGCTAATACGAGTTATGTCCCTTCTATGCCTCTCTATGGACCAATCAGATTCCACCCTTTGTATCACTTACATTTGCTTCAAACAAAATGGCGGTGCCCAGTTAAGACAATCTGATTGACAATCAAGATCTATATCGTGATAAAACGGATTTCACTTTGCGAAGTGCATCACATCACGTGAGCACCTTGATCAAAAACATGAAAATATTTAGAAAATATCTGTTGACACCAAGATGGCTGTGCACATGCTTTGCAAATCCTGCAGTTGACCGAAATCTGCATGACAGTTTACAAACCGGATTTCGATTTCATAGCATGATTTTAATTGGGCCATGCATAGACTCATCAGTCCAGCCAAAATCTAACTCCATAATTCCAGCCTAGTTCGACAAGGGTGGAAACTGGACTTTTATAGTCAGGTAACTCTCTTGCCTCAGGAAGATGCGCCATTTCCTGAATGCCTCCAAACTTTCCAAGCAGAAACATGTAGCATGAACCATTTTGATTTCACCAAACAAAGTGACTGCTGACTTCACTCATATTCATCTTGGATCCCAAATAATGTCATATCCTGTACAACTTCGTCCCGTGTTTTTAGATACTCTAATAGGTCTGATGCAAGACAACATTAAAAATGTCCCATGTCTGTGGATATATTAATAAGATAGTTGCATTCACTTCCTGTTTCATGACCCTGACCCTCAATTTCAGCTAATCACATGACTTATTACTTCTAGTTGAAAAGATGGGTATAACCGTTTTCAAACGTGGCACACAAACGACCTTGACCTCACACTTAGGTCACTCAAGATCCATTCTTATCTGAGCCCCACCCTAAGGAAGGCACCAAATTTCATTGACCTACAGGTTATCGTGAACATGATACAGAGTATATGACCTTGACAGTGAATTTGACCGTACAATATCAGTGACAGTTATTGAAAGAACATTCCAACGAGAAACGATGATATGTTTCTTGTGTACCCAAGGGACAGTACTCTGCACAGAAACTTGCGCTGCCTAAGGCGACTGGGCCACCTGTGCCACCAATGCCCCTTTTCAAATACAAAGTGAGCTCATGATACATGGTTGGATCTGGCCGGACCCAAATAACTGGGCCTTAGCCCTACTTATCAATGTTGGAATCAAGTGAATGTGTATTACAGTCATATCACTGGGATCTTTGATTTGAACCCCAACTAAGAGGGGATCTCTGCATATCAATTTCTGGTTTCTAAGAAAAATGGCCACTTTATAAAAACTGTATCCAATTACTGGGTAGTAATTGCTAACATAAAACACTGCTTCCTCCCCTACTGTGAGTGAACCTACCTGGGGCCGATGTCTGTAACGGCGTTGTTGGGACACTACGGCCTCCGCCATCATCAAATTGCGACAGATCCATCCGGGTGTCGTCCATACCTAATGCTATTAGGTTGCATTAATCAAAACAAACATGTGAATGACTGATGTCATAAATATTGATCTTGAAACTCTGTAAGTGTGACTGTTGGCTTTATGTGACTGTTGACTTTATGTGGAAGACAAAGGCATTTAATAAATTCTATGAATGGAGTACAAGGGACAGTACTCTAGATTTACTCTGTACAGAATCGGCTACAACTGATCGTTTCAATGAAGTATGAATGTCAAACTCAGCACCATATCAGTGTTCTTGAGTTTTTTTAACCCCCAAAAGGCTTGGCAGCCCCAACCAATAAGAAACGTGTGGTCAGTACGGCTACTTACCTCGCTGTGACTCCAGCTGGGCAAGTTCCGGCTGGCTCAAACTGCCTTCCGCACCGAACACAAACCTCTGTGACACCTGTGGGGAACTGAACACAGAACACACATGACACACTTGTCACTTACAGTCAAACACGGAACACACATGACACACTTGTCACAGTCAAACACGGGACACGCATGACACACTTGTCACTTACAGTCAAACACAGAACACGCATGACACACTTGTCACTTACAGTCAAACACTGAACACACATGACACACTTGTCACTTACAGTCAAACACAGAACACATATGACACACTTGTCACTTACAGTCAAACACGGAACACACATGACACACTTGTCACTTACAGTCAAACACAAAACACACATGACACACTTGTCACTTACAGTCAAACACGGAACACACATGACACACTTGTCACTAACAGTCAAACACAGAACACACATGACACACTTGTCACTTACAGTCAAACACGGAACACACATGACACACTTGTCACTTACAGTCAAACACGGAACACACATGACACACTTGTCACTTACAGTCAAACACAGAACACACATGACACACTTGTCACTTACAGTCAAACACGGAACACACATGACACACTTGTCACTAACAGTCAAACACGGAACACACACGACACACTTGTCACTTACAGTCAAACACGGAACACACGACACACTTGTCACTTACAGTCAAACACGGAACACACATGACACACTTGTCACTTACAGTCAAACACGGAACACACATGACACACTTGTCACTTACAGTCAAACACGGAACACACATGGCACACTTGTCACAGTCAAACACAGAACACACATGACACACTTGTCACTTACAGTCAAACACGGAACACACGACACACTTGTCACAGTCAAACACAGAACACACATGACACACTTGTCACTTACAGTCAAACACGGAAGACACATGACACACTTGTCACAGTCAAACACAGAACACACATGACACACTTGTCACTAACAGTCAAACACGGAACACACATGACACACTTGTCACAGTCAAACACGGAACACACATGACACACTTGTCACAGTCAAACACAGAACACACATGACACACTTGTCACTTACAGTCAAACACAGAACACACGACACACTTGTCACTCACAGTCAAACTAAAACACACATGACACACTTGTCACTTACAGTCAAACACAGAACACACATGACACACTTGTCACTTACAGTCAAACACAGAACACACATGACACACTTCTCACTCACAGTCAAACACAGTACACACATGACACACTTGTCACTCAGTCAAACACGGAACACACATGACACACTTGTCACTTACAGTCAAACACAACACACATGACACACTTGTCAAACACAGAACATACATGACACACTTGTCACTCACAGTCAAACACAGAACACACATGACACACTTGTCACTTACAGTCAAACACAGAACACACATGACACACTTGTCACTCACAGTCAAACACAGAACACACATGACACACTTGTCACAGTCAAACACAGAACACGCATGACACACTTGTCACTTACAGTCAAACACGGAACACACTTGTCACAGTCAAACACGGAACACACTTGTCACAGTCAAACACAACACACATGACACACTTGTCACTTACAGTCAAACACAGAACACACATGACACACTTGTCACTTACAGTCAAACACAGAACACACATGACACACTTGTCACTTACAGTCAAACACAACACACATGACACACTTGTCAAACACAGAACACACATGACACACTTGTCACTTACAGTCAAACACAGAACACACATGACATATTTGGAAAATTAACTTGGAATCCAGTGAGTACAAAAGCGTTATTCCTATTCTCTTAATCTTCATTATTCCCACTAATGGTCTGCTCACTTCAAGGCCTCCGCGAAGCCGTCTGCTCGTCGCGGCACGGAGAGGGTGGGCGTGCTGGGCACGGTACAGTCCTCCTCCTCGAATGGTCCTGGCTGACCCTGTCACACGCAACAGTAAATACAGATACAACATTTCGTCATGTTACATCGACGATTTACTAAATTAACTAACACACACAGTCATGTATGTAGTCACAATAAGAGAAAACTATATATAAAAACACAAATACTTTTGTACCAAAATATTTGAAAGTACAGAAAAATGACATTTCCAAAACTTTCTGATTAAATATTGTAATGAGGCATGAAGAGGGGGAGGCGGTCCCTGTTGTTGCAGGAGCAGGAGAAAGATGATGTTAGTCTTGCAAAGAAGCAAGAATTGGTGCCCACTGCAAAGCAATCTAGTTTAATATCAGTCAAAGTCAGAAGGGAAACAGCACATGGCAGTAAGCAGAAGCCTCCACGCAGACTCTGACCAACTGTTAGTTCTACAAACTAGCCTGACATACAATACTCTATATTCTGCATACCATCTAACCTAAGGCACTTCACAAGACTGTAAAACAGGTATATTCAACATGGGTATGGTGACACTTGGCAAGCTGATTAGTTAATTTTATTACTGTTGTATATGAAGTCAAATGAACCTGTATGTAGCATATCCCAGGGTCCTAGGTCTGTTAACTGTGACTGTAACATTACTACCGAGGTACAACACAACCATGAAACACATTGTGACTATACTGGATGCCTAAATAATTTCACAAGCACCTTTTCTAATTCTTGAAACAACTACTTTTCATACTACTGTGCTGAGGGCTGACAGATTATTTTTTGAGTGAGTGAGTGAGTGAGTGAGTGAGTGAGTGAGTGAGTGAGTGAGTGAGTGAGTGAGTGAGTGAGTGAGTGAGTGAGTGAGTATGGTTTAATGCCTCTTTTAGCAATATTCCTGCAATATCATGGCGGGGACACCAGAACATGGGCTTCACACACTGTACCCATGTGGGGAATCGAACCCAGGTCTTCGGCATGACGAGTGAACGCTTTATCCACAAGGCTACCCGACCGCCCCTATTATTCCTTAAATACAAACCATAAGTTGGTAAAGCAAGGGACATAGCATTAATGTGGCGTGTAGTTGTGGAGAAGATGGCTTCTATAGTTTAATGCTACAGGATGGATGGATGATGGACGAAGACGCATGACAAAAGATCACACTGATAACGTCAAAATGAGCAAAGTATGAGTGAGTGAGTGAGTGAGTGAGTGAGTGAGTGAGTGAGTTTGGTTTTTATGCTACTTTCAGCAATATTCCAGCAATATCATGGCGGGGGACACCAGAAATTGGCCTTACACGTTGCACTCATTTGGGGTATTGAACCCCAATCTTTGGCGTGATGAGCGAACGCTTTAACCACTCGGCTACCCCACCACCCAATGAGCATGATGAATAAATACTGAGTGTTTCACGAGTCACCATCCTGGACAGATTACAGGTTAGTGTGAGTGAGTAAGGTAAGTCATCTAATCATGCCTTTTATGAATATCACCATGGTTACCTACAGGCAGCACCAGCAAGCAGTGGGACAAGCATCAGACACCAGGTCAGCTGACACAAGAGTTACCTACCCCTAACATGAATGGCGGAAGATGGGCCCTGATGCTGACAGATGGCAATCGCTCGCCATGCACGATTGGCTGAAGGGCAGGGGTTGGGCGTGGACTTACTACAGGATGCTGTGCTATGATTGGTTGCTGAATCACAGGTCCCGGGCCGGCAGGGGGCTGCTGGGAAGGCATGGATTGCTCGTTGTCATCTATGTCTGAAAGAACAGTTGGACGTGTCATTACCGGTAACCAGTGCTGGGATTCAGCTGAAATCTTGTACTCAATCATTGTTTACAAATCATACTCAGTTTGTTCGTCATCAAACTAATAATAATCAGTAACTAATATTTTCTGCTTTGTTTAAATCAAACATTACAAGTTGAAGTATTTTTATCAAGACAAAGCTGGGACATCACAACCCCATTTGAGAAACCAGTGAATGAGTGTGATACTCAACCACTGGTTCAGCGGAATTCTCAACCACTGGATCACCATAATATTCATGTCAAAAATATCTTTGAGCAAAGATGAATCTTACCAATGATAACAACATCATTGTCATCATCTTCCTCCTCATCTCCCTGTTCAGCCATAGCCTCTTCATCATCATCGTCGTCTTCATCATCATCATATTCACCTTCTCCTTCCTCATACTCCTCCTCTTCGTCCGAGTCCTGTCAACATACACACACCTCTGAACACATACACGAGTGAGTGAGTTAGGATGAACGATGCTTTCAACAGTATTGCCGTTATATCATGGCGTATCAGCTTAATGTGGGAGGAAAGCCTGAATTTATGCAGGCCTCAGACGTTTACCACTTTGTTGAAATCCACTGGTATGGTGTGGTCAAACCAGGAATCATAATCTACAAAAAAATGCTGTTTGAGCAAAAGAAATTGTAAATATTCTCCCTCCTTGGGCAACCTGATGACAGGGATCTGTGAGCGTCAGTGTCCCACTTACCTCCATCTCATCTCCACAAGGCTCCTCCTCCTCACTGTTCAGGATGATCACGTCCCCGCTGTCTTCGTCAACATGCACTCCCTCCACCCCAGCGTCGACCGTCTGTTCGGGTCCTGCAAACAGCTCCTGTGGGGGCTGCTGCTGTCAAACAATGGACACTATGACACACTGGGCCTGACACACATTGTCACCATGTCACTCACTCTAGTACTGTACTCCCCTCATATTGTCCGTTACACATATGGCCAGATCGTGTATGAGACACCATAGTCCTTGTTTTAGGGCATGCTTCTACCAGTACTAAGTTCATGCATCTCAGGTCATGTTAGTCATCAGATCTTCCTCAACAAAAAAGGTAATGTAATTTTTTTAACATAAAACCTCTGTCATTGGCTTATTATGATTTATGTATATATAATGCTCCATGCACTTCAGCATTCACTTGATGAAGGAGCAAGAAGTAGCTCTGAAACGTTGTACAAAGAATAAAAGTTGCTATCCATAAAAAAGTGTCATGTATTCATGTTCTCCCAACTTCTCAAGACTACAAGGAGACAAGTCTGTGTCTTTCTTTCAATGATCATGATGATCCGTCCGTCTTTCAGACACTCCTGACAACTGGTCAGTCTCAATGAGCTCTGTGTCTACCTAATCTAACCCTTCTAACTGAATCTGTCAATTATCCATCACCAACTCCTCCAATGTTAACAGGTGAGAATGCAGGTGAGTCGACGTACCTGAGGCACCTCCTCCAGCTGAGTGAGGCCGGCGGGGTCTGCCTGAGAAGCTCCCACTATCTGGGGGGTCACGCTTTCAACTGCAGCTTCAGGGGGTATCTGGAGATGTGGAATACTGAATGATACAGACTGTACAAGCAGGTGATAAACCATCCCTGTTTTGAACATAACACTCTGGTAGATAGCATATATATTTGATAGTGATCCAGTCACAACCTATCAAGGTCGAACCTACATTTGTTACCCCTGGGGCATCAGATTGTAAGTTATAGTGTTCATGGTAGAGTTACCTCCTCTTGTTCCAAGGTCTCTGTTTGTTGGAGGTGAAGGACTTCCTGTGACTCCAGGTTGACCGTCTGGGCGTTCTCATCAGTGAGAGTGATGGTTGGGAGAGGGGAACCTTGCTGAAACCATACATCATACTCACCATCAGTGTCATGTAGTTCAAACAGTGTTGTGTCAAAATGAATAAGTTGATCTGACAAGCAGAAGATACCCAAGGTAGTAGCAAGCAGTGGGCTACCATATCTCTGATACACACAACTGCTGAAAATTGATACCTGTCAAAAATATGTCTAAGTAATATATAGTAACTACACACCAGTAAGGTCTGGCTGTAGTCTAGGACTGATAGAAATCTTGAACGTCTGGAAGGTTTTCATGTGTAAATAATTTGAAGGACAAGTGACTCAAATGCTACTGCTGTTAAATGTGTCTCAACTGTACAAACCTGTGTTCTTGTTCTCTTGGCCTGCGTTTCTGCCTCCTCCTGACTGCAACAAAACAACACACTTCATCAGTACTCAGACACAAGCTTGATCCAGGAGCAGTGATCACACTCCTACACAAGCTTGATCCAGGAGCAGTGATCACACTCCTACACAAGCTTGATCCAGGAACAGTGATCACACTCCTACACAAGCTTGATCCAGGAACAGTGATCACACTCCTACACAAGCTTGATCCAGGAACAGTGATCACACTCCTACACAAGCTTGATCCAGGAACAGTGATCACACTCTTACACAAGCTTGATCCAGGAACAGTGATCACACTCAGACACAAGCTTGATCCAGGAGCAGTGATCACACTCCTACACAAGCTTGATCCAGGAACAGTGATCACACTCCTACACAAGCTTGATCCAGGAACAGTGATCACACTCCTACACAAGCTTGATCCAGGAACAGTGATCACACTCCTACACAAGCTTGATCCAGGAACAGTGATCACACTCCTACACAAGCTTGATCCAGGAACAGTGATCACACTCTTACACAAGCTTGATCCAGGAACAGTGATCACACTCAGACACAAGCTTGATCCAGGAGCAGTGATCACACTCCTACACAAGCTTGATCCAGGAACAGTGATCACACTCCTACACAAGCTTGATCCAGGAACAGTGATCACACTCCTACACAAGCTTGATCCAGGAACAGTGATCACACTCCTACACAAGCTTGATCCAGGAACAGTGATCACACTCCTACACAAGCTTGATCCAGGAACAGTGATCACACTCCTACACAAGCTTGATCCAGGAACAGTGATCACACTCCTACACAAGCTTGATCCAGGAACAGTGATCACACTCCTACACAAGCTTGATCCAGGAACAGTGATCACACTCAGACACAAGCTTGATCCAGGAACAGTGATCACACTCTTACACAAGCTTGATCCAGGAACAGTGATCACACTCCTACACAAGCTTGATCCAGGAACAGTGATCACACTCCTACACAAGCTTGATCCAGGAACAGTGATCACACTCCTACACAAGCTTGATCCAGGAACAGTGATCACACTCCTACACAAGCTTGATCCAGGAACAGTGATCACACTCCTACACAAGCTTGATCCAGGAACAGTGATCACACTCCTACACAAGCTTGATCCAGGAACAGTGATCACACTCCTACACAAGCTTGATCCAGGAACAGTGATCACACTCAGACACAAGCTTGATCCAGGAACAGTGATCACACTCCTACACAAGCTTGATCCAGGAACAGTGATCACACTCTTACACAAGCTTGATCCAGGAACAGTGATCACACTCAGACACAAGCTTGATCCAGGAACAGTGATCACACTCCTACACAAGCTTGATCCAGGAACAGTGATCACACTCTTACACAAGCTTGATCCAGGAACAGTGATCACACTCCTACACAAGCTTGATCCAGGAACAGTGATCACACTCCTACACAAGCTTGATCCAGGAACAGTGATCACACTCCTACACAAGCTTGATCCAGGAACAGTGATCACACTCCTACACAAGCTTGATCCAGGAACAGTGATCACACTCAGACACAAGCTTGATCCAGGAACAGTGATCACACTCCTACACAAGCTTGATCCAGGAACAGTGATCACACTCTTACACAAGCTTGATCCAGGAACAGTGATCACACTCAGACACAAGCTTGATCCAGGAACAGTGATCACACTCCTACACAAGCTTGATCCAGGAACAGTGATCACACTCTTACACAAGCTTGATCCAGGAACAGTGATCACACTCCTACACAAGCTTGATCCAGGAACAGTGATCACACTCCTACACAAGCTTGATCCAGGAACAGTGATCACACTCCTACACAAGCTTGATCCAGGAACAGTGATCACACTCCTACACAAGCTTGATCCAGGAACAGTGATCACACTCAGACACAAGCTTGATCCAGGAACAGTGATCACACTCCTACACAAGCTTGATCCAGGAACAGTGATCACACTCTTACACAAGCTTGATCCAGGAACAGTGATCACACTCAGACACAAGCTTGATCCAGGAACAGTGATCACACTCCTACACAAGCTTGATCCAGGAACAGTGATCACACTCTTACACAAGCTTGATCCAGGAACAGTGATCACACTCCTACACAAGCTTGATCCAGGAACAGTGATCACACTCCTACACAAGCTTGATCCAGGAACAGTGATCACACTCTTACACAAGCTTGATCCAGGAACAGTGATCACACTCTTACACAAGCTTGATCCAGGAACAGTGATCACACTCTTACACAAGCTTGATCCAGGAACAGTGATCACACTCCTACACAAGCTTGATCCAGGAACAGTGATCACACTCTTACACAAGCTTGATCCAGGAACAGTGATCACACTCCTACACAAGCTTGATCCAGGAACAGTGATCACACTCTTACACAAGCTTGATCCAGGAACAGTGATCACACTCTTACACAAGCTTGATCCAGGAACAGTGATCACACTCTTACACAAGCTTGATCCAGGAACAGTGATCACACTCTTACACAAGCTTGATCCAGGAACAGTGATCACACTCTTACACAAGCTTGATCCAGGAACAGTGATCACACTCAGACACAAGCTTGATCCAGGAACAGTGATCACACTCCTACACAAGCTTGATCCAGGAACAGTGATCACACTCCTACACAAGCTTGATCCAGGAACAGTGATCACACTCCTACACAAGCTTGATCCAGGAACAGTGATCACACTCCTACACAAGCTTGATCCAGGAACAGTGATCACACTCAGACACAAGCTTGATCCAGGAACAGTGATCACACTCCTACACAAGCTTGATCCAGGAACAGTGATCACACTCCTACACAAGCTTGATCCAGGAACAGTGATCACACTCCTACACAAGCTTGATCCAGGAACAGTGATCACACTCCTACACAAGCTTGATCCAGGAACAGTGATCACACTCAGACACAAGCTTGATCCAGGAACAGTGATCACACTCCTACACAAGCTTGATCCAGGAACAGTGATCACACTCCTACACAAGCTTGATCCAGGAACAGTGATCACACTCCTACACAAGCTTGATCCAGGAACAGTGATCACACTCCTACACAAGCTTGATCCAGGAACAGTGATCACACTCAGACACAAGCTTGATCCAGGAACAGTGATCACACTCCTACACAAGCTTGATCCAGGAGCAGTGATCACACTCAGACACAAGCTTGATCCAGGAGCAGTGATCACACTCAGACACAAGCTTGATCCAGGAACAGTGATCACACTCCTACACAAGCTTGATCCAGGAACAGTGATCACACTCCTACACAAGCTTGATCCAGGAACAGTGATCACACTCCTACACAAGCTTGATCCAGGAACAGTGATCACACTCCTACACAAGCTTGATCCAGGAACAGTGATCACACTCAGACACAAGCTTGATCCAGGAACAGTGATCACACTCCTACACAAGCTTGATCCAGGAACAGTGATCACACTCCTACACAAGCTTCACATCCAGTACAGCATCAGAGTCTCAGGGAGCTCACTGAACTTTGCCTTATGGCATGTCACATCAGAAAGAGGCATCACAAATCTAGGGAAGGAAGAACTCATCTGTGCTTATGACAAGATTTTGCTGAGGTACTTTTTCTGTGGTCAACTAGGTAGGAGCAACCATTTTGTCAGCATCAACAACAAAAACCAACAGAAGATATGGGAATGGGATTACCTGGTACCAGTCAACCACACAAAATACTCATACACCAGGCAATCATATTGTCCTTGTTTTTATTTGTCGTTTATTGCAGTAATATTCCAGATAAACCATGGTGTCCTGTAAACATTTAGACAAACCAGTCATGATACTGATATTATGAGCAGCGTCCAATGCTGTCAGGGTACATGGCATGCACTCAACCAGGTCACTGAGTGTGACCCCTGGATACACATCAGACACCTTGCAGGACAAACATAGATTACCGGGGACATTGTAATGTGGGTCATCATGAAGACCATTGTTGAGGGCCATGGTTGTGAATCTGTACAAGACTTTTCTTTTCTTTCTTTGTTGTTTAATGCCGCAGAAATATTCAAGCTATATGACGGCAGTCTGTAAATAATTGAGTCTGGACCAGACAATCCGGTATATCATGAGCATCGATCCACGCAATTGGGATACGATGACATGCATCAACCAAGTCAGCGAGCCTGACCACCCGATCACATTAGTCGCCTCTTAAGACAAGCACAGTCGCCTCTAACGGCAAGCATGGGTTGCTGAAGACCTATTCCTGCCCGGATCTCCACGGGTCACTAGTACAAGATGTGAAGTCTGTTCCCACCTGTCTGTGTCCTCCCTCTGCCTCTTCCCCAGCGACTGACTGGCTCCACCGTCGCCCACCACACCTGATGATGTGGATGGCAGGTGGGGGGACACTGGCGTCACCTGTGACTGCTGCGGCGGCTGCTGCTGCTGCTGCATCTGTGACTGCATCAACTCCATAGCTGCAGCAGGGGCTGACTCCTCCACCAGGTCCGAGGACATGTCTACTACAGAAGATATCATCTCTCACACACATATGAAGAGAAGGGAAACTGTCAGAACTGAAGCAGATGCCCACATACATGGTCTCTTTAATATTACGCACAGCTCAGAAAAATAAATGAGTACCTCATCATTTCAATCAAACTGACACATAATATTGTTGATAATTTGACCACAAGTCAGATTGATATTGTTTATCATTCACTTGCACAATGTCATAGAAGTAGTATTCAAAAGTAGTGCCGACAACTAGAGCTTCATCTTGGATTTACTTCTCTGTCTGTCTCCCACCTGCAGATTACTTAAACCCAACCTTGTTCGTCTGTTGTTTAATGATGTAGATCAAACTTGCAGTATTTTTTTTAATTATTTTTTGTAATTTTTGCTGCACTCAGCAATATTTCACCTCAAGATGGTGGTCTGTAAGTATTCGAGTCTCCAATCCTGTGATTGACATTATGAACATCAAGCTACGCAATGGGGATACAATGACTGGCATCAACCAAGTCACCGAGCTTGACCACCTGATCCTTTTACCCGTCTCTTACAATAAGCAAGGGTTGCTGGAGACCAATTCTAACCCAGATTTCACAGAGGCAATTTTGCAGTTACAGATTACACAATATAGAGAGACCATATTTCAAATTTCATTGCAACAATCACAAAATCTAGTCCTTGATTGCAAATGGACCCCAACGTGGCACACAGTCTGCTTGAAAGTCCTGACCTGGCTGCGCCTGCTCAATCTGTGGTGCGACGATCTGGACCTGCTGGGGTCGACCCGGGACACTGACAGACGGGATGGGCGTGACCGCAGGGCCGGAGGACGATGTAGACGGAAGGTCATCTGCAAGGTCAGAATAGCACACACTTAGACTAAGATCAGTCTCAACATTGAAGACATTGAAGACATTGAAGACAATGACGCATTCATGTCTCTTGTCTCATCAAACATGCTTGAATGAAATTTTCCAAATTACAAATGAACATTTGGATTTAGGTGAAAGTACTGATCATGGGCACTCACCGTCCACATCTTGTGATGTCAGTGTTGTGGGCATGACTGTCGCCGTGGGTGTTGCAGTGGACGTTGAGGCCACAGATGTGGGTGCAATGGCCATGGGTCGGATGCTAGCCGTGGCTTTAGCTGCAGCTGAGCTATGGGGGATGGGCGTGGCCTGGCCCACGCTTGTGGTGCCTGTAGCCATTGGCTTGATGTTGGCCATCTTGGGAGCCTGGTCCGACGTGGATGTGCTGGACAGAGGGTACATAATGTGTTGAGGACAATTGTAAATATCCTGAATGTTCTGTGAGGAGCAGAGTCTACACTTTATATTTACTGATGATATATAAAGTGGATATTTTCGACATGCCGACTTGAACTGATTGTTGTACTGAAGGGGTGGGGTAGCCTAGTGGTTAAAGCATTTGCTCATCACACCGCAGATCTGGGTTCGATTCCCCAAATGGGTACATTGTGTGAAGTCCATTTTTGGTGTCCCCCCACATTGATATCGAATATTGCTAAAAGCGGTGTAAAATCCTTCCTTCCTATTATACTAGTTTCTAGAACTGCTTTTCAATGAAGCATATTTTGGTGGGAAATGCAATGTTGAGCTTCTTAACTGGGCATAAGATGTCTGTCAGATGAATACAACATGGGAGTTGACTGTTGGTGGAATCAGTGCAGTGTTGCGACTCACCTGGGCGGGGTGGTAGCAGCCGGTCTCGTGACGATGGAGGCAGGCTGGCTGATGTGTTTCTGCTGGGACTCAAGCTGTTTCTGTAGAGCAGCAATCTGTAGAACAAAGCACAATAACTGAAAATAATTTCTAAATGTGATTTTGATTCTTTTTTATATTAATAGAATATCCTTTGGCCTCGAGAAACTATAGCAGAACATATCTCACAATGGCCTGTCTGGCCTGGAGAGTATAGGAGTTTATTACCCACGTTATGAAATGTGTCATATGATTGAGACCCCCTTACAGATCATGCATACTAAGTTCCATCAAATTCCATTCATCAATACTAAAGATATCATATATAGTTCACAGAGATGTGGTATGCATGCGGGAGGTGATGTGGCAGTGTCTACATAGTGCATACTTTGTATTCATACGCACTGTGGTCTCACTACAAGGACATGTGGACATGCCACATGCAAACATAAATCACAGTAATAAATAGGATACAACACTCATTCCTATTTCATATCAAGTTTATGTTCCTTGTGAAATAATCGTAAAAGTCTGAGACAGCTAAAACATTAGTCCACTCGGGACATTAACTTGATATGAAATGGGAAGATTTTTTAATAAGCAGTAAATATATCCCACCTTGGCCTGCAGTTCTGTGTTCTCCCTCTGGACTCGGTCCAGCTGTTGCTGCAGCTCGGCCAGCCCCGGGCCCTGGCCCCCCCGGGCGTCCTGCAGCTCCTTCTCCAGCCGGCTGATCCGGCCCTCGAACTGAGACTTCAGCATGCCCTGACGCAGGTCCTGTTCTTCTGTGGAGAGAAGTGAAGAGAGTACTTCAACTCTGAATGTGATTCTCTGACCCTTTACATACCTATGTCCTAGAACCCAGGGACCCATTTCATTGAGATATGTTAACTGCCACACTTTTGTGAAGCCAAAATGTCTGACTGAGGCCCCAATGACAAACTACTGTTTGGAGGGACACTGATCAGCTTTATATGGTGATGAAGCAAGTTCAAGCAACTTGTAATTATATCAATTACATAAGTACAGTCCATTCATAATGTGTCAGCTTCCATTCACCAATCGAAAGTGCACTGAAACCATTACCCCAGTCAATGGATCAGTGTGCACTTGATTTTCAGTCTCAGCACCCTGGGGAGTATACAATTAAAGCTGCCAGTGAGGCACTATAAAGGATAACATTACCATCTCATCCTACTGGTAACCCATTAACTGCTGGGTGAGGCATATTTGGAACAAAGTCACTGCTAATGAGACACCACATGTGTTTCTGTTGCGAGCAGGGCCAAAGCCAAAGTGTCTACCTGCATCTTTCATTTGCTGAAAGTCCCAAATGGTCCAATCAGAATCCAGCTTACACATTTGTGTAAATACAGTCATCTTCCCGTGGCAAGTGAGTTAACTGACTTTAAAAGTCCAGTTTCCACCCTTGCCGAACTTGGCTGTAATTCCTTGGCTCGATCGTAGCTTGACCGTAGCGCCACCAGTGGCTATTACCAGTTATGTCCCTTCTAAACCTCTCCTATGGACCAATCAGATTCCACCTCTCGTATCACTCGCATTTGCCTCAAACAAAATGGCAGCGCCAAGTAAGGACGATCTGCTTGATAATCAAGATCTACATTGTGATAAAACGGGTCTTACATTGCAAAATGCATCAAATCACGTGAGCACCTTGATTAAAAACATGAAAAGATTTTGAAAATATCTGTTGACAACGAGTTGGCAGTGCACATGTTTTGCAAATCCTGCAATCGACCGAAATCTGCATGACAGTTTACAACCGGAATTCGATTTCGTTGCGCGATTTCGATTGGACTATGCATAGACTCGTTAGCCCAGTCAAATTGTAACTCCATAATACCAGCCTAGTTCGGCAAGGGTGGAAACTGGACTTTTATAGTCAGTTAACTCACTTGCCTCGGGAAGATGAAATACAGTGGTGACAGGTCATATGGAGGATTTTCATACAAACCAAGACAGAACAGTAAAATCCAAGAGCAGCAGTCTCTACCTTTATTACTTGTCTCCACTGTGGAAATCCTCTTTTTCAGTTCAGCATTCTCACTGGTCAGTCTCTCCACTTGCTCTCTCTGATTGGTCAGTTTGTTCTTGGCGGTCTGCAGCACGGATCGTGAGTGCGTCTGCTTCTTCTCGTACTCCGAGTTCTCCTCCTTCAGCTTGTTGCAGGCCTCCTGTAGCTGGCTGTGCTCCTGGGGGAGGGAGGGAGGAGGCACATTAGTTAACTATATGATTTTGTCAATATCCCGGCTTGGTCCGGTTGATGGTTCGTTTTTTATGAGCGGAAGCGGACGCCCTTCCGGTTTATGTAAATAAGAAAGGCAATGGCGGGAATTAAGGACATCGAGACCAAACACAAGCGTTAGAGAGCTTTATGCCATACTGTAAAAGGTTTTACAGTGTCACTAAAGTACAGATTGACACATTCACGTCTTTCAGATGGAGTGATATCAGTCAGATAAGCTCAGATTGACTCGCTTGATGACAATACAGGTTTTATTTCAAATCAGGCCCAAAAACATTTTCAATCCCAAGCACCATTTGTGTTACAACATCTGGAAATGTGTATGTACAGCATACAGAGATCGTAAGTGTCATACTGATTTTACGACATGAGAATTCCCGAGCAAGAGCAAGGGTAAAACATAAATCCCTTAAAATAAATAAATGTCAACTAGGGAAAAAAGGGGCGGCCAACATGAACACCACAAGCCGCGGTAGAGTCATGGAAATTAATACCATGCATTGAAAACGCTGAATACCGGAGTCTGCTGAGATGAAAGGATGGGTAACACACCAAAAAAACTCAGAACAGTTTTAACACAAGCATCAAAGGATAGATTCTTCAGAAATGAGGTAAGTGATCGTCTCTCACGTCCTTCGAAGGTAGTGAAGAAGAGAATAATGACATATAGGGGGCGTGTCTTCCGACACCTGATGTCAAGGAGGGTAATTTTTGGCAAAATAGTACTGAAGACGCTACTAGATCATGATTCATGTCCAGTTAGGACTTCGACAGTAAGAGCAATGTGCAATATGTAATGCAGGATAAGTGAAAAATATATCTCTTATGGTTTCCGAGTCCTGCTCTTGAAACGCAATGTGACGGATGGACGGAGCATGTTTCTATATCCCCCACCAACTTCATGGGGACAGGGGATTATAACAAACATATCAATGAACTGTAGTAAAGTCACCGTATGAAAGCAAGGTGAGCCAGCAGTACTGACGTACCTGTGTTTGTTTCTGCAGCTGTTCCTTCACTTCACCAACTTGGGTGTCCCTCTGCTGCATCTGCGTCTTCAGCTCGTCTCGCTCCTTCTCCACACTGGCCAGCTTCTGCCGCGCCTCCACCGACGCCTGTTCTATGGCAGCAATGTTGGGCTGGGCTGCTTCCTGGTTGGCGGACTTGGCGCGGAGCTCGGCCATCTCCTTCTGGACCTGCTCCAGCTCCTTACCAACGTTCTCAGCCTGCTCCTTATACTTGCGTCCTATCTTCTTCAGCTGAAGGCAGAAATATGTTTCTATTTCAGACACATACTGTCATAATTACATTACGACCACTGTGAAATATTCTCTTCTGAATGGTGTCACTTGGGTTAGCTATTCCTTAAAGTGTGAGTGGCACAGAAGAAGTTTGTAACGTAACTATTGATGATTTGCTAGAGTGCACATCCAGATATCGCTACAAATACAAACATTAGTCATCAGAAGATGACAAATCCCCCTGGCCCCCACAAATTCGAAAGAACAAATTATCTGACCGTTACTTTAAGTCCAACATGATGATGATGGGATTCGAAACTTTGTATTCCTATGTCAGGTGCACACCACTATGAACAGAGTCAAAGTCAAACTTGTTGCCATGGAAACGAAAATAAATAAATATTCTATACACCCCCAAGTAGCAAACGGCACCATTTGGCAACCTGGTCTTTGTGTGTGCACAGTTTCAAGAATGAATACCTAATAGTTTTAGCGATATGGTCTGGACAAACACACCAATATGAACAGAGTCAGAGTCAAAGTCAAACTTGTTGCCATTAAAACAAGAAATATTAATATTTTTTATATTCCTCAATAGCAAATGGCACCACTTCAGTACTTGATTAATACATGTACCAAATTTGGATGAAAAATGTAGAACAGTTTTCTAGTTCTACATCTACACCTACACCTACCTCCTTTCCAGCAAAGTCTAACTTGTTTCCATGGAAACCAGGAAAAATCAAATTTTTGAAAATTCCTAAATAACAAAAGGTATCACTTCAGCCCTTGTACCAGGTTTGCATGAAAAGTTCAAATTGTTTCCATGGAAATCAAGAAAAATAAAAATGCTAAAAATACAAATATAGTAATATTCACCACTTCAGGACAAAATGATTACGGACGGATGGACAGACAGACGATGCATCGACTATGTCCCCATGCATCATATGCCAGGGGGATAAAAGAAGTTGACAATCAATATAGTCTTTTGCTACATAACATTCTTGTCTGCGAATAATCACCAGGCACCATTAGCAGTTCCCCACCTGGAGGGTATTATAGACACTAGAGATTAAAGGTGGGGTATAATTTGTGTTCTAAACCCACACCTGGATAACTATTCCTACCCACCTGGTTGATTGTCTTCATTTTCTCTTCAGCATCCTGCAATTTCTCCTCGTTCTGTTTCTTCAAGGTAACAATCTGCCCACTGGAAGAAAGATCACTCCCATCAACACCACAAATGAAGACACAAATTAGATGAGGTGGCAGTTATATACAATGAACTTATCAAAACACTACCCGTGAACACAAGGCCAAATGGATCTCTGAGAACGACTGGCAGGTGTTGACTATACGCCAAGAAAGCAGTGGATCAGTTTCTGTTAGCACTACTTCATTTTACGGCCATCAGCAAAATTCACTAATTCATTCCTTAATTTTGGACTTTTCTAGAATTTTCACACCATAAAGATAGAGAGTTAATTTCTTACTTCAGTTGAGTCAGCTGTGTTTTGACACTGTTTGCCTCCGTCCTGCAAGACAAACATCGGGAGTAAAGCTTGTGAACTACATGTAGTACACGTCCATATTTCAAAACATGCAAACTAAGTTTGTTTGTTGTTGTTGTTGAACGCTGCACTCGGCAATATTCCAGCTCTATGACAGCAAGGTGTAAATACCCTGCACCAGACAATCTACTGATTGACATCATGACGATCCATGCAATTGGGATATGATGACATGCATCAACTAAGTGCGAACCTGACCACTTGATCAACTTTTACGACAAGCATGTTTTCTGAAGACCAATTCTAATATCCAGGGCTCTGTTCCACAAAGCGATCTTAGTGCTAAGTTGATCGTAAGCCTATGATAAAGTATGTGAGTTACGACCAACTTAGTACTAAGATCGCTTTGTGGAACGGGGTCCAGATCTTTAGGATGCAAGTTGAGTCCGAGGCACTTACTGACTAGTTGACAAGTTGGCATTCAATTTAGACACCTCTGCCCTGAAAAGAGAAAACAATGTTGTTTTATATTTTATACATAGTTTTATTTAATAGTGGTTGAGTGAGTTGGGTTTGACACAGCATGTTCCGGGTTGTCCTCAATATCCCAGCTTGTCTGCCTAACTGGCAGCTCCACAAGGTCAATGTCACGGTCACAAAGTGTTCTTAAATAGATACCAGCTAACAGGATGTCCCCTTATGTATTGTTCAACCCTTAGTCATGTGCGGTGATCACCAACCTGTGTTTGTGTCGTTCCTCGTTCACCAGGGCCAGCTGTCGCTTCAGATTGTCCCTCTCCTGCCTACAACACCACGTTACACGAGAGCTTAAGTCATGGATACACACAAACAGCATCAGTCACACACAAACAGCATCAGTCACACACAAACAGCATCAGTTTGTTTGTTGTTTAATCCCGCACTTAGCAATATTCCAGCTATATGACGGCGGTCTGTAAATAAACAATTGAGTCTGGACCAGACAATCCAGTGATTTACATCATGAGCATTGATCCATGCAATTGGGATACGATGACATGCATCAACCAAGTCAGTGAGCCTGACCACCCGATCCCATTAGTCACATAGTTGCCTTTTACGGCAAGAATGGGTTGCTGAAGACCTATTAAAACCCAGGTTTTCACGGATCTCCAATTTTGTGTTCTGTCATCAGAATGCTAAGGAAGGCAACTCTGTAGAGTGTGTTGTGGAATGTTAGATCACTCATCTCAGAATGCTTCCAAAGTTCAACATCTTTTTTTAAATTAATCTAAGTTGTTAATAAGCTGATAACAATCTCACTAGATCTCTGTTCTAGCATTGACAGTGTTGAGAACACTTACACTATCCTGCGATGTTCCTCTGGGTCGGACTTGTTGGCCTGCTCGATGAGGTGATTGGTCCGTCCCTTCCACCGCTCCACCTCGTTCTGTATGGCCGTCTTCTCGGCACTGAGTGTATCCCGCTGGGCCTGCACACTGCGGAGGTTGGCCTGCAAGGGCTGGATGTCGCTCTCCATCTTCCTGATCTGTAACACAACCCCGGCAAGTGTAACAACCCCTTAAACTGTAACACAACCCCGGCAAGTGTAACAACCCCTCAAACTGTAACACAACCCCTCAAACTGTAACACAACCCCTCAAACTGTAACACAACCCTGGCAAGTGTAACAACCCCTCAAACTGTAACACAACCCCGGCAAGTGTAACAACCCCTCAAACTGTAACACAACCCCGGCAAGTGTAACAACCCCTCAAACTGTAACACAACCCTGGCAAGCGTAACAACCCCTCAAACTGTAACACAACCCCGGCAAGCGTAACAACCTCTCAAACTGTAACACAACCCTGGCAAGTGTAACAACCCCTCAAACTGTAACACAACCCCGGCAAGTGTAACAACCCCTCAAACTGTAACACAACCCCGGCAAGTGTAACAACCCCTCAAACTGTAACACAACCCCGGCAAGTGTAACAACCCCTCAAACTGTAACACAACCCCGGCAAGTGTAACAACCTCTCAAACTGTAACACAACCCCGGCAAGTGTAACAACCCCTCAAACTGTAACACAACCCCGGCAAGTGTAACAACCCCTCAAACTGTAACACAACCCCGGCAAGTGTAACAACCCCTCAAACTGTAACACAACCCCGGCAAGTGTAACAACCCCTCAAACTGTAACACAACCCCGGCAAGCGTAACAACCCCTCAAACTGTAACACAACCCCGGCAAGCGTAACAACCCCTCAAACTGTAACACAACCCTGGCAAGTGTAACAACCCCTCAAACTGTAACACAACCCCGGCAAGTGTAACAACCCCTCAAACTGTAACACAACCCCTCAAACTGTAACACAACCCCTCAAACTGTAACACAACCCTGGCAAGTGTAACAACCCCTCAAACTGTAACACAACCCTGGCAAGCGTAACAACCCCTCAAACTGTAACACAACCCTGGCAAGCGTAACAACCCCTCAAACTGTAACACAACCCTGGCAAGTGTAACAACCTCTCAAACTGTAACACAACCCTGGCAAGTGTAACAACCCCTCAAACTGTAACACAACCCCGGCAAGCGTAACAACCCCTCAAACTGTAACACAACCCCGGCAAGTGTAACAACCCCTCAAACTGTAACACAACCCCGGCAAGTGTAACAACCCCTCAAACTGTAACACAACCCCGGCAAGCGTAACAACCCCTCAAACTGTAACACAACCCCGGCAAGCGTAACAACCCCTCAAACTGTAACACAACCCTGGCAAGTGTAACAACCCCTCAAACTGTAACACAACCCCGGCAAGTGTAACAACCCCTCAAACTGTAACACAACCCCTCAAACTGTAACACAACCCTGGCAAGTGTAACAACCCCTCAAACTGTAACACAACCCTGGCAAGCGTAACAACCCCTCAAACTGTAACACAACCCTGGCAAGTGTAACAACCTCTCAAACTGTAACACAACCCTGGCAAGTGTAACAACCCCTCAAACTGTAACACAACCCCGGCAAGCGTAACAACCCCTCAAACTGTAACACAACCCTGGCAAGTGTAACAACCCCTCAAACTGTAACACAACCCTGGCAAGTGTAACAACCCCTCAAACTGTAACACAACCCCTCAAACTGTAACAACCCCTCAAACTGTAACACAACCCCTCAAACTGTAACAACCCCTCAAACTGTAACACAACCCCTCAAACTGTAACAACCCCTCAAACTGTAACACAACCCCTCAAACTGTAACACAACCCCTCAAACTGTAACACAACCCCTCAAACTGTAACAACCCCTCAAACTGTAACACAACCCCGGCAAGTGTAACAACCCCTCAAACTGTAACACAACCCTGGCAAGTGTAACAACCTCTCAAACTGTAACACAACCCTGGCAAGTGTAACAACCTCTCAAACTGTAACACAACCCCTCAAACTGTAACACAACCCTGGCAAGCGTAACAACCCCTCAAACTGTAACACAACCCTGGCAAGCGTAACAACCCCTCAAACTGTAACACAACCCTGGCAAGTGTAACAACCTCTCAAACTGTAACACAACCCTGGCAAGTGTAACAACCCCTCAAACTGTAACACAACCCCGGCAAGCGTAACAACCCCTCAAACTGTAACACAACCCTGGCAAGTGTAACAACCCCTCAAACTGTAACACAACCCTGGCAAGTGTAACAACCCCTCAAACTGTAACACAACCCCTCAAACTGTAACAACCCCTCAAACTGTAACACAACCCCGGCAAGTGTAACAACCCCTCCAACTGTAACACAACCCCGGCAAGTGTAACAACCTCTCGAACTGTAACACAACCCCTCAAACTGTAACAACCCCTCAAACTGTAACACAACCCTGGCAAGCGTAACAACCCCTCAAACTGTAACACAACCCCGGCAAGTGTAACAACCCCTCAAACTGTAACACAACCCCTCAAACTGTAACAACCCCTCAAACTGTAACACAACCCTGGCAAGCGTAACAACCCCTCAAACTGTAACACAACCCTGGCAAGTGTAACAACCTCTCAAACTGTAACACAACCCCTCAAACTGTAACAACCCCTCAAACTGTAACACAACCCCGGCAAGTGTAACAACCCCTCAAACTGTAACACAACCCCTCAAACTGTAACAACCCCTCAAACTGTAACACAACCCCGGCAAGTGTAACAACCCCTCAAACTGTAACACAACCCCTCAAACTGTAACACAACCCTGGCAAGCGTAACAACCCCTCAAACTGTAACACAACCCCTCAAACTGTAACAACCCCTCAAACTGTAACACAACCCCGGCAAGTGTAACAACCCCTCAAACTGTAACACAACCCCTCAAACTGTAACACAACCCTGGCAAGCGTAACAACCCCTCAAACTGTAACACAACCCCTCAAACTGTAACAACCCCTCAAACTGTAACACAACCCTGGCAAGCGTAACAACCCCTCAAACTGTAACACAACCCCGGCAAGTGTAACAACCCCTCAAACTGTAACACAACCCCTCAAACTGTAACACAACCCCTCAAACTGTAACAACCCCTCAAACTGTAACACAACCCCGGCAAGTGTAACAACCCCTCAAACTGTAACACAACCCCTCAAACTGTAACACAACCCCTCAAACTGTAACACAACCCCTCAAACTGTAACAACCCCTCAAACTGTAACACAACCCTGGCAAGCGTAACAACCCCTCAAACTGTAACACAACCCTGGCAAGCGTAACAACCCCTCAAACTGTAACACAACCCTGGCAAGTGTAACAACCTCTCAAACTGTAACACAACCCTGGCAAGCGTAACAACCCCTCAAACTGTAACACAACCCCTCAAACTGTAACAACCCCTCAAACTGTAACACAACCCTGGCAAGCGTAACAACCCCTCAAACTGTAACACAACCCCGGCAAGTGTAACAACCCCTCAAACTGTAACACAACCCCTCAAACTGTAACACAACCCCTCAAACTGTAACAACCCCTCAAACTGTAACACAACCCCGGCAAGTGTAACAACCCCTCAAACTGTAACACAACCCTGGCAAGCGTAACAACCCCTCAAACTGTAACACAACCCCTCAAACTGTAACACAACCCCTCAAACTGTAACACAACCCCTCAAACTGTAACAACCCCTCAAACTGTAACACAACCCCGGCAAGTGTAACAACCCCTCAAACTGTAACACAACCCCTCAAACTGTAACACAACCCCTCAAACTGTAACACAACCCCTCAAACTGTAACACAACCCCTCAAACTGTAACACAACCCCTCAAACTGTAACAACCCCTCAAACTGTAACACAACCCCGGCAAGTGTAACAACCCCTCAAACTGTAACACAACCCCGGCAAGTGTAACAACCCCTCAAACTGTAACACAACCCCTCAAACTGTAACAACCCCTCAAACTGTAACACAACCCCGGCAAGTGTAACAACCCCTCAAACTGTAACACAACCCCTCAAACTGTAACACAACCCCTCAAACTGTAACACAACCCCGGCAAGTGTAACAACCCCTCAAACTGTAACACAACCCCGGCAAGTGTAACAACCTCTCAAACTGTAACACAACCCCGGCAAGTGTAACAACCCCTCAAACTGTAACACAACCCCGGCAAGTGTAACAACCCCTCAAACTGTAACACAACCCCGGCAAGTGTAACAACCCCTCAAACTGTAACACAACCCCGGCAAGTGTAACAACCCCTCAAACTGTAACACAACCCCGGCAAGCGTAACAACCCCTCAAACTGTAACACAACCCCGGCAAGCGTAACAACCCCTCAAACTGTAACACAACCCTGGCAAGTGTAACAACCCCTCAAACTGTAACACAACCCCGGCAAGTGTAACAACCCCTCAAACTGTAACACAACCCCTCAAACTGTAACACAACCCCTCAAACTGTAACACAACCCTGGCAAGTGTAACAACCCCTCAAACTGTAACACAACCCTGGCAAGCGTAACAACCCCTCAAACTGTAACACAACCCTGGCAAGCGTAACAACCCCTCAAACTGTAACACAACCCTGGCAAGTGTAACAACCTCTCAAACTGTAACACAACCCTGGCAAGTGTAACAACCCCTCAAACTGTAACACAACCCCGGCAAGCGTAACAACCCCTCAAACTGTAACACAACCCCGGCAAGTGTAACAACCCCTCAAACTGTAACACAACCCCGGCAAGTGTAACAACCCCTCAAACTGTAACACAACCCCGGCAAGCGTAACAACCCCTCAAACTGTAACACAACCCCGGCAAGCGTAACAACCCCTCAAACTGTAACACAACCCTGGCAAGTGTAACAACCCCTCAAACTGTAACACAACCCCGGCAAGTGTAACAACCCCTCAAACTGTAACACAACCCCTCAAACTGTAACACAACCCTGGCAAGCGTAACAACCCCTCAAACTGTAACACAACCCTGGCAAGCGTAACAACCCCTCAAACTGTAACACAACCCTGGCAAGTGTAACAACCTCTCAAACTGTAACACAACCCTGGCAAGTGTAACAACCCCTCAAACTGTAACACAACCCCGGCAAGCGTAACAACCCCTCAAACTGTAACACAACCCTGGCAAGTGTAACAACCCCTCAAACTGTAACACAACCCTGGCAAGTGTAACAACCCCTCAAACTGTAACACAACCCCTCAAACTGTAACAACCCCTCAAACTGTAACACAACCCCTCAAACTGTAACAACCCCTCAAACTGTAACACAACCCCTCAAACTGTAACAACCCCTCAAACTGTAACACAACCCCTCAAACTGTAACACAACCCCTCAAACTGTAACACAACCCCTCAAACTGTAACAACCCCTCAAACTGTAACACAACCCCGGCAAGTGTAACAACCCCTCAAACTGTAACACAACCCTGGCAAGTGTAACAACCTCTCAAACTGTAACACAACCCTGGCAAGTGTAACAACCTCTCAAACTGTAACACAACCCCTCAAACTGTAACACAACCCTGGCAAGCGTAACAACCCCTCAAACTGTAACACAACCCTGGCAAGCGTAACAACCCCTCAAACTGTAACACAACCCTGGCAAGTGTAACAACCTCTCAAACTGTAACACAACCCTGGCAAGTGTAACAACCCCTCAAACTGTAACACAACCCCGGCAAGCGTAACAACCCCTCAAACTGTAACACAACCCTGGCAAGTGTAACAACCCCTCAAACTGTAACACAACCCTGGCAAGTGTAACAACCCCTCAAACTGTAACACAACCCCTCAAACTGTAACAACCCCTCAAACTGTAACACAACCCCGGCAAGTGTAACAACCCCTCCAACTGTAACACAACCCCGGCAAGTGTAACAACCTCTCAAACTGTAACACAACCCCTCAAACTGTAACAACCCCTCAAACTGTAACACAACCCTGGCAAGCGTAACAACCCCTCAAACTGTAACACAACCCCGGCAAGTGTAACAACCCCTCAAACTGTAACACAACCCCTCAAACTGTAACAACCCCTCAAACTGTAACACAACCCTGGCAAGCGTAACAACCCCTCAAACTGTAACACAACCCCGGCAAGTGTAACAACCTCTCAAACTGTAACACAACCCCTCAAACTGTAACAACCCCTCAAACTGTAACACAACCCCGGCAAGTGTAACAACCCCTCAAACTGTAACACAACCCCTCAAACTGTAACAACCCCTCAAACTGTAACACAACCCCGGCAAGTGTAACAACCCCTCAAACTGTAACACAACCCCTCAAACTGTAACACAACCCTGGCAAGCGTAACAACCCCTCAAACTGTAACACAACCCCTCAAACTGTAACAACCCCTCAAACTGTAACACAACCCCGGCAAGTGTAACAACCCCTCAAACTGTAACACAACCCCTCAAACTGTAACACAACCCTGGCAAGCGTAACAACCCCTCAAACTGTAACACAACCCCTCAAACTGTAACAACCCCTCAAACTGTAACACAACCCTGGCAAGCGTAACAACCCCTCAAACTGTAACACAACCCCGGCAAGTGTAACAACCCCTCAAACTGTAACACAACCCCTCAAACTGTAACACAACCCCTCAAACTGTAACAACCCCTCAAACTGTAACACAACCCCGGCAAGTGTAACAACCCCTCAAACTGTAACACAACCCCTCAAACTGTAACACAACCCCTCAAACTGTAACACAACCCCTCAAACTGTAACAACCCCTCAAACTGTAACACAACCCTGGCAAGCGTAACAACCCCTCAAACTGTAACACAACCCTGGCAAGCGTAACAACCCCTCAAACTGTAACACAACCCTGGCAAGTGTAACAACCTCTCAAACTGTAACACAACCCTGGCAAGCGTAACAACCCCTCAAACTGTAACACAACCCCTCAAACTGTAACAACCCCTCAAACTGTAACACAACCCTGGCAAGCGTAACAACCCCTCAAACTGTAACACAACCCCGGCAAGTGTAACAACCCCTCAAACTGTAACACAACCCCTCAAACTGTAACACAACCCCTCAAACTGTAACAACCCCTCAAACTGTAACACAACCCCGGCAAGTGTAACAACCCCTCAAACTGTAACACAACCCTGGCAAGCGTAACAACCCCTCAAACTGTAACACAACCCCTCAAACTGTAACACAACCCCTCAAACTGTAACACAACCCCTCAAACTGTAACAACCCCTCAAACTGTAACACAACCCCGGCAAGTGTAACAACCCCTCAAACTGTAACACAACCCCTCAAACTGTAACACAACCCCTCAAACTGTAACACAACCCCTCAAACTGTAACACAACCCCTCAAACTGTAACACAACCCCTCAAACTGTAACAACCCCTCAAACTGTAACACAACCCCGGCAAGTGTAACAACCCCTCAAACTGTAACACAACCCCGGCAAGTGTAACAACCCCTCAAACTGTAACACAACCCCTCAAACTGTAACAACCCCTCAAACTGTAACACAACCCCGGCAAGTGTAACAACCCCTCAAACTGTAACACAACCCCTCAAACTGTAACACAACCCCTCAAACTGTAACACAACCCCTCAAACTGTAACACAACCCCTCAAACTGTAACAACCCCTCAAACTGTAACACAACCCTGGCAAGTGTAACAACCCCTCAAACTGTAACACAACCCCGGCAAGTGTAACAACCCCTCAAACTGTAACACAACCCTGGCAAGTGTAACAACCCCTCAAACTGTAACACAACCCCTCAAACTGTAACACAACCCCTCAAACTGTAACACAACCCCTCAAACTGTAACAACCCCTCAAACTGTAACACAACCCCTCAAACTGTAACACAACCCCTCAAACTGTAACACAACCCCTCAAACTGTAACAACCCCTCAAACTGTAACACAACCCCGGCAAGTGTAACAACCCCTCAAACTGTAACACAACCCCGGCAAGTGTAACAACCCCTCAAACTGTAACACAACCCCGGCAAGTGTAACAACCCCTCAAACTGTAACACAACCCCTCAAACTGTAACACAACCACTCAAACTGTAACAACCCCTCAAACTGTAACACAACCCCGGCAAGTGTAACAACCCCTCAAACTGTAACACAACCCCTCAAACTGTAACAACCCCTCAAACTGTAACACAACCCCTCAAACTGTAACACAACCCCTCAAACTGTAACAACCCCTCAAACTGTAACACAACCCCTCAAACTGTAACACAACCCCTCAAACTGTAACACAACCCCTCAAACTGTAACAACCCCTCAAACTGTAACACAACCCTGGCAAGTGTAACAACCCCTCAAACTGTAACACAACCCCGGCAAGTGTAACAACCCCTCAAACTGTAACACAACCCCGGCAAGCGTAACAACCCCTCAAACTGTAACACAACCCCGGCAAGCGTAACAACCTCTCAAACTGTAACACAACCCTGGCAAGTGTAACAACCCCTCAAACTGTAACACAACCCCGGCAAGTGTAACAACCCCTCAAACTGTAACACAACCCTGGCAAGTGTAACAACCCCTCAAACTGTAACACAACCCTGGCAAGCGTAACAACCTCTCAAACTGTAACACAACCCTGGCAAGTGTAACAACCCCTCAAACTGTAACACAACCCCTCAAACTGTAACAACCCCTCAAACTGTAACACAACCCTGGCAAGCGTAACAACCTCTCAAACTGTAACACAACCCTGGCAAGTGTAACAACCTCTCAAACTGTAACACAACCCCTCAAACTGTAACACAACCCTGGCAAGTGTAACAACCCCTCAAACTGTAACACAACCCTGGCAAGTGTAACAACCCCTCAAACTGTAACACAACCCTGGCAAGTGTAACAACCCCTCAAACTGTAACACAACCCTGGCAAGCGTAACAACCTCTCAAACTGTAACACAACCCCGGCAAGTGTAACAACCCCTCAAACTGTAACACAACCCCGGCAAGTGTAACAACCCCTCAAACTGTAACACAACCCTGGCAAGTGTAACAACCCCTCAAACTGTAACACAACCCTGGCAAGCGTAACAACCTCTCAAACTGTAACACAACCCTGGCAAGTGTAACAACCCCTCAAACTGGGCGCCACCATTTTGTGTGAAGCAAACGCAAGTGATACAAGAGGTGGAATCTAATTGGTCCTCAGGAGAGGTTTAGAAGGGACATAGCTAGTAATAGCCACTGGTGGCGCTACGATCGAGCCCAGGAATTCCAGCCTAGTTCGGCAAGGGTGGAAACTGGACTTTTAAAGTCAGTTAACTCTCTTGCCTCGGGAAGATGGCCTGTTTCACGATTGTGAGCCTACCTTGGCCTCAAGGACCCCTGTATCACGATTGTGAGCCTACCTTGGCCTTGAGACCGCCTGTTTCACGATTGTGAGCCTACCTTGGCCTCGAGAACCCCTGTGTCATGATCATGTGCTTACCTTGGCCTCAAGAACCCCTGTGTCAAGATCATGTGCTTAACTTGGCCTCAAGAACCCCTGTGTCATGATCATGTGCTTCCCTTGGCCTCAAGAACCCCTGTGTCATGATCATGTGCTTCCCTTGGCCTCAAGAACCCCTGTGTCATGATCATGTGCTTACCTTGGCCTGAAGAACCCCAGTGTCATGATCATGTGCTTCCCTTGGCCTGAAGAACCCCTGTGTCATGATCATGTGCTTCCCTTGGCCTCAAGAACCCCTGTGTCATGATCGTGTGCTTACCTTGGCCTGAAGAACCCCTGTGTCATGATCGTGTGCTAAACCTGGCCTCAAGAACCCCTGTGTCATGATCATGTGCTTCCCTTGGCCTCAAGAACCCCTGTGTCATGATCGTGTGCTAACCCTGGCCTCAAGAACCCCTGTGTCATGATCATGTGCTTACCTTGGCCTCAAGAACCCCTGTATCACGATTATATGCTTACCTTGGCCTCGAGACTTGTGACCTGCTGCTGCATCTTGTCTCTCTCCTCTCTCAGCAGCTTGTTGCTGTCTGTCAAAACGTTCATGTTCTCCACCTTCCTCATCAAGTCCGCATGCTGGACAGCAGTTTGGACAGACACCTTCAAACACAGGATACCATGTACATTTGTATAGACAACTTCAACATACAGGACACCAAGTATATTCAACTACAGACACCTAGAAGAACAGGAAATCATGAATACTGACACCTTCAACACACACATGTATGCCAAAACTACTCCCACCAAACACACACAGATGTGAGGATTTTCCTCTGACAAGGAAACTTTTATAAAACCATACAGGTTAAGCTGCCTACCTGAGATCGTGTCCTCTCCTCCGTGAGCGTCTTGTTGGCGTAGTCCAGCTGTTTCTCCAGGTGAGAGAATCTCTGATTCACACGTGTTGTCTCAGCCTGGGCCACCTCCAGTTTCGTCTCTGCGATCTCCTTGTCTCTCCGCAGGAATCTGCAAGAACAGCAGCAGTTGAACACAAGGTACTAGAGCGTGACTTTTCAGGACAGACATATCCCGAAGAGACATCAGGTTGCTGGCGCCACCTTACAACTGATGGGGAACTACCACAACAGTTTAACACAAGGTACTAGAGCGTGACTTTTCAGGACAGACATATCCCGAATATTCCAGCTATATGACGGTGATCTGTAAATAATCAAGTCTGAAACAGACTATCCAGTGATTGATGTCATGAGCATCGATCCATGCAACTTGGATACGATGACTTGCATTACCAAGTCATTGAGCCTGACCACCCGATCCTGTTGTTCGCCTCTTACGACAAACAAAGTCGACTTTTACAGCAAGCATGGGTTGCTGAAGACCTATTCTACCCCGGATCTTCACAGGTACAACAGGTTGATGGTGACACCATACAACTGATGGGAAAACAACATCCCTATCTGATTCTCATGTACTTGGGTAAGTCAACTGTCAATGTACTTGTCTGGAACTTTCAATACCCACTTCCATTCCAGCCACAAATAGATCCACTGACCATACCAAATTTTGACATACATGCTTGGGACCTATTCTGCTCATGGGGTCTTGAGATGCATGTAACATTTATCAAACTACATAAAATATGAACTAGAAAGTGTTTTTACTCGTAAAAACATATGTCTCCCCCAACTCCCCTAACCCCCATTCATTCGTTTACTTCACGTTAAACCCCATCTCTTCATTCCCACCCTCCATTACTAAATAACAGAGACAAAAATAGAACTCCTAGAAATTTCAAACAACTAATGGGCACCACTTCAGCGTCTAATCAACACCACTAATCCCTCAATCATTTACCCACCTGACAGTGTAGTCATCTAAGTAGCACAGTTTTCTTGTTACTGAAGTATTTGTAGAAAATCCACTTAAAGTACTAATAGAGTTTGGACACAAATATATTAATATCCCCAACATATCAGAAATGATGTAGCAATGTTATATGGCACAAAGGAAAGTCTCTGTGATGTAATTGCCCGTGTATCTGACTCTGCAGGTCTTCTACACAATGACATATGTGATGTCATGGAAACTGTAATAGCAAGGCACCACACCAGCTCTCTGATGTGAAAGATCCTTGACATAAATATGGTCAATAACAGTTTCTTTCCTGGTAGTGGACACTTCAATCAGCTGCGTGAAGGGTTCTTGCAAAAGAGGTTGCGCTTTGTTTGTATTGAGGTCAATGTTGAAATATTAAGCGTTTCTGAGTTATGGTCCGGAAACAAAGCTTACTCCCATTCAGAGCCTATGTTCAACTTATCTCCATGGAAACGAGAAAAAATAAAAATGTCAAAAATCTCTAAATAGCAAAAGGCACCACTTCAGTGCTGGGTTAATGTGTATAGAAAGTTTCGCGAAAAAATATTAAACGGTTTCTGAGTTATGGTCTGGAAACGGTGGGAACGCCGACGCCGATGCCGACGCCGACGCCGACGCCGACGGGAACCGTGCCAAAAACAATATGTCTCCCTCCATTCTGGGGGAGACATAATAACTGTACATTCTCAATACGTAGAGCAAGTAACTTTCTGACGTAGTTTACCTGATGACTTCAAGCAGCTGATCTGAGGACTTGGCCACGTCCTCACCCACAGCCTTCCCAGCCACGCCCACTGCTTTCCCAGCCACGCCCACTGATGCCTTCTTCTGTATTGCTGTCACCTGGCCGCTCAGCTGCAGCAGCAGGAGGAGACGTATGAGGAGACGTATGAGGAGATGTATTAGGAGATGTATAAAGAGACATATGAGGAGATGTATGAGGAGACATATGACTACAACTTTATATGAACAGATGATTTAACTGTTTTGTCATGGAAAAGAGTCCCGTCAAAATAATGAAATACTGCAGACATGTGCAATGTATAACCTTAACAGCATGATCAACCCCAAACTGGCAACACTTCTGCAGGACCAGTATTGGCATATTGGCATATGTATACTCCCAGTTCTTAGCATGGTTAAAGCCTAGAAAACATATCTTCACAGTGTGGAAATGTCAAGGAAGAAGAGAGCCGGGTTAAACATTTTTGGAACATTTTTCAGTCATGTCAGTGTGTCAGTTTGATGTTGGTGGAAAGCCTGAAGTGATGCAGGTGTTCAGAAGGGTACAAAGCAAAGAGAAAAGGACCCTGGTCAGTCCTACCTTCTGCATCTGTTCGTGCAGCACCGTGTTCTGCTGGGTGAGGTCCTGCACCCTCTTCTCCAGCAGCTTGGTCTCCTCCCTCAGGATCCGCTCCTGCTCCATCCACGACGTCTGCAACAGCACATCGGTACACTCAACAAGGATGGTCAACACACTGGCACAGTGTACAGAGGTTACACAACAGTATCAGCTGAGACAAGGAAACAGCCTCACATTGGGTAGAAACTAGGGAATGAAACCTGTGTCCTGAGCCTGACGAACCAACTCGGGGACCGATTAGCTTCTTCATGGCCTCAGGTACTACAGAACAGAGGGGTTCGAAGTAGCATGGTAGGACAAAGACAGCAGAAACAGCTGTTGTATTAAACAATAACCAAATTTCTAAATACATACTGATGTTAACACATTTATCCCATTGCCCTAAACTTTCCACAACCAGTGATCTAGGCACTGAAGGGGCAGAACTCGGAGGAAAGAAGGAACTCTACCTGGGACTCCTTGAGGGTCTGCTCAGCTTTCTTGGCCGCCTCCTGTGAGACTGACAGCGTCTTGTTGAAATCTTCCACCTGTAGGACACAAGACAATCAGTGACTCGAAACATAAGCATTGAGTGGCACAGAAGGCGTGACACAGTAGCATGACACAAGAACACAATCACTGACACAGTAGCACGACAATCACTGACATGGCATGACACAAGAACACTATCACTGACACAGTAGCATGACACTCATTGACATGGCATCATGACACAAGAACACTATCACTGACACAGTAGCATGACAATCATTGACATGGCATGACACAAGAACACTATCACTGACACAGTAGCATGACAATCACTGACACAGTAGCATGACAATCACTGACACAGTAGCATGACACAAGAACACAATCACTGACACAGTAGCATGACAATCATTGACATGGCATGACACAAGAACACAATCACTGACACAGTAGCACGACAATCACTGACATGGCATGACACAAGAACACTATCACTGACACAGTAGCATGACAATCATTGACATGGCATCATGACACAAGAACACTATCACTGACACAGTAGCATGACAATCACTGACACAGTAGCATGACAATCACTGACACAGTAGCATGACACAAGAACACAATCACTGACACAGTAGCACGACAATCACTGACATGGCATGACACAAGAACACAATCACTGACACAGTAGCATGACAATCACTGACATGGCATGACACAAGAACACAATCACTGACACAGTAGCACGACAATCACTGACATGGCATGACACAAGAACACAATCACTGACACAGTAGCACGACAATCACTGACATGGCATGACACAAGAACACAATCACTGACACAGTAGCATGACAATCATTGACATGGCATCATGACACAAGAACACAATCACTGACACAGTAGCATGATGAGATGTAGTGGAAAGACTACTGTAAGGAGAATGTTCAGTGGGGATGGGCAACAGAGTAGAAAGTGTTGCAAGTTCCTCACCCGTTTCTTGTAGGTCGTCAGGGCCTCCACATCAGCGGCATGGAGGATCAGCTCCCTCTCGTACTTGGTCTGTGACTGGAATACAAGCACAAGATATCAGTCATGATGGAGACCTACGGCTGACTTCCAAAGTTGGTGCACCTAACAGCCCTTATTAATGGGTTCCATTTGTTTGCTATAGCTGTAATGGAGGGCAGGTGATGTCCCCACTGCCGTGGTAATACAGTACCACCAACACTCCGCACGGAATCTTGACACAAATTGGCTAACCATGTTTTATTCTCTGTGTCTTATCCCTGGAATACCACACATGGTGGAGACAGGTGACATCAAGGAAGTATCAGTTCTGCACATATCACCATTATACTTGGTACTTGTACAAGAGGTCAGTCTTACATCCATGGCAATGTCTGCCTGCTGTTTGTAGTCCCGCTTTGCTGCCTCCTCATTAGCGATGGCAGCCTCACGTCTCTGTATGGCTTCCTGCATCTCATTCTGGAGACTTGCCAACTGCTTCCTCAGGTCGGCATTCTGAAATAGTACAACCAGGTCTCTGACAAACCACTCCATTTTGTTTGTTTGTTTAACGCCGCTCTCAGCAATATTCCAGCTATATGAAGGCGGTCTGTAAAATAATCAAGTCAGGAGCAGATCATCCAGTGATTGACAGCATGAGCATCGATCCATGCAATTGGGATCGATGACATGTATCAAACAAGTAACTGAGCCTGACCCCCCGATCCCGTTAGTCACCTTTTACGACAAGCATAGTCGCCTTTTACGGCGAGCATGGGTTGCTGAAGACCTATTCTAACCCGGAATCTTCATGGGTCCACTTTCTGATATGTCCCTCAATCATTTTGTACTAACGGAATGTAACATCAATCTGTGTGTTGGTGGATGTTGTTCAATGTTGCAATCACCCTATATTTAAAGCTAAGTCACAAGTATGAGAGAGTGCTGAGAAACAACTATAGCCAATGATATCAATTTGACACAGAACCTAGTGTGATAATTTCAATAAATCAGTAGTTTTCATGTCAAAGATTCATTATCCTATTTAAGTCAGTATCTACTACAAGTCTATTGAGTGCTCCATCCATATCTATACCACAAGGGTGCATGATGTCCATCGTTCCTCCGGGTTCTTTTATAATGATCCCTCATGCGCAACATGCCGAGGATAGACGATTCGGTTCAGACGAGAGAAGGAGCAAGCCTTAGTTGCATTGTTCCTTGGCCAACGGGTCACAGGTTGGTCTGTTTTAACCTGGTTCCCCATAGATGGGCACTAGCAATGGGACCTATTCTAACCAAGGTACAGACAGGACAGTAACCGACATAAAGTTTTCCGTACCAGCGAATGGCTCTCCTCCGAGATGCGGATGTTCTCGTTGAGCAGCTCTTGTCTCTCCTTCTCCATTGCTTCGATCCTCTTCTCCAGCTGCTCCTTGGCTGCAAATGGAGGACATGAGTCAGTGAGACATACGCCCGTGAGAAACACAACCGTGAGATATACGTCCGTGAGACATACATCCGTGAGACATATGTCCATGAGACATGAGTCTGAGAGACAAACATTCGTGATTCACACAACCGTGAGACATGAGTCTGTGAGACATACGTCTGTGAGACATACGTCCGTGAGACATGAGTCTGTGAGACATACGTCTGTGAGACATGAGTCTGTGAGACATGAGTCTGTGAGACAAACGTCCGTGAGACATGAGTCTGTGAGACATACGTCCGTGAGACATGAGTCTGTGAGACATACGTCCGTGAGACACGAGTCTGTGAGACATACGTCCGTGAGACATACGTCCGTGAGACATGAGTCTGTGAGACATACGTCCGTGAGACATGAGTCTGTGAGACATACGTCCGTGAGACATGAGTCTGTGAGACATACGTCCGTGAGACATGAGTCTGTGAGACATACGTCCGTGAGACACGAGTCTGTGAGACATACGTCCGTGAGACATACGTCCGTGAGACATGAGTCTGTGAGACATACGTCCGTGAGACATGAGTCTGTGAGACATGAGTCTGTGAGACATACGTCCGTGAGACATGAGTCTGTGAGACATGAGTCTGTGAGACATACGTCCGTGAGACTTGAGTATGTGAGACTTACGTCCGTAAGCCATGCCTCCGTGAGACATGAGTCTGTGAGACATACATCCTTGAGACATGAGTCTGTGAGACATACATCCTTGAGACATGAGTCTGTGAGACATACGTCCGTAAGACATGAGTCTGTGAGACATACGTCTGTGAGCCATACGTCCGTGAGACATGAGTCCTTGAGACATGAGTCTGTGAGACAAGAGTCTGTGAGACATACGTCCATGAGACATGAGTCTTTGAGACATACGTCCGTGAGACATACATCTGTAAGACATACGTCCGTGAGACATACATCCGTGGGACATGAGTCTGTGAGACATACGTCCGTGAGACATGAGTCTGTGAGACATACGCCCATGAGACATGAGTCTTTGAGACATACGTCCGTGAGACATACATCTGTAAGACATACGTCCATAAGACATACGTCCGTGGGACATGAGTCTGTGAGACATACGTCCGTGAGACATGAGTCTGTAGGACATACGTAATTGAGACATGAGTCTGTTAGACATGAGTCTGTGAGCCATACGCCTGTGAGACAAAAGTCTGTGAAACACACGTCCGTAAGCCATACGTCCGTGAGACACGAGTCTGTGAGACATATGTCCGTAAGACATGAGTCTGTGAGACATACGTCCATAAGACATGAGTCTGTGAGACATACGTCCATAAGCCATACGTCCTTGAGACAAGAGTCTGTGAGACATGAGTCTGTGAGACATACATCCGTAAGACATGAGTCTGTGAGATATACATCTGTGAGACATACGTCCGTGAGACATACGTCTGTGAGACATACGTCCGTGAGACATACGTCCATGAGACATGAGTCTGAGAGACAAACATTCGTGATTCACACAACCGTGAGACATGAGTCTGTGAGACATACGTCCGTGAGACATGAGTCTGTGAGACATACGTCCGTAAGACATGAGTCTGTGAGACATACGTCCGTAAGACATGAGTCTGTGAGACATACGTCCGTGGGACATGAGTCTGTGAGACATACGTCCGTGAGACGTGAGACATACGTCCGTGAGACATGATTCTGTGAGACATACGTCCGTGAGACATACGTCCGTGAGACATGAGTCTGTGAGACATACATCCTTGAGACATGAGTCTGTGAGACATACGTCCGTAAGACATGAGTCTGTGAGACATACGTCCGTGAGACATACGTCCGTGAGACATACGTCCGTAAGACATACGTCCGTGAGACACGAGTCTGTGAGACATACGTCCGTGAGACATACGTCCGTGAGACATGAGTCTGTGAGCTATATGCCTGTGAGACAAAAGTCTGTGACATACGTCCGTAAGCCATACGTCCGTGAGACACGAGTCTGTGAGACATACGTCCATAAGACATGAGTCTGTGAGACATACGTCCATAAGCCATACGTCCTTGAGACAAGAGTCTGTGAGACATACGTCCGTAAGACATGAGTCTGTGAGACATACGTCCGTGAGCCATACGTCTGTGAGACATACGTCCGTGAGACATGAGTCTGTGAGACATGAGTCTGTGAGACATGAGTCTGTGAGACATACGTCCGTAAGACATGAGTCTGTGAGACATACGTCCGTGAGCCATACGTCCGTGAGACATGAGTCCGTGAGACATACGTCCGTGAGACATACGTCCGTGAGACATGAGTCTGTGAGACATGAGTCTGTGAGACATGAGTCTGTGAGACATACGTCCGTGAGCCATACGTCCGTGAGACATGAGTCTGTGAGACATGAGTCTGTGAGACATACGTCCGTGAGACATGAGTCTGTGAGACATGAGTCTGTGAGACATGAGTCTGTGAGACATGAGTCTGTGAGACATACGTCCGTAAGACATGAGTCTGTGAGACATACGTCCGTGAGCCATACGTCTGTGAGACATGAGTCTGTGAGACATGAGTCTGTGAGACATGAGTCTGTGAGACATACGTCCGTGAGGCATACGTCCGTGAGACATGAGTCTGTGAGACATGAGTCTGTGAGACATACGTCCGTAAGACATGAGTCTGTGAGACATACGTCCGTAAGACATGAGTTTGTGAGACATACGCCTGTTGGACATACATCCGTGAGACATAGGTCCGTGAGATATACGGATCAAGTGATCAGGATCCACGCCCTGGACTCACTACCAGACAATCATCTTCCATCATTGAACCTGGCACTCAGGATAATCTCACTCATATCCAGCTGCCATTGTGACCACTGATTCACATTTCAATCTGTCCAACATATTTTACCACCTTTAACACACAACAAACTTAATAGACACACTTGTGGTGAGAGAAACATGGCAACCTACATTGTTTCAAGTCCTGGCTTCTCTGTTCCAGGGCTTGCTGGAACTCCTTGCTTGTCTGAAATCAGGAATAAAAGTCACCAATACTCTTACACTTAAATGGCATTCTGAGGACACACGCCTGTTGGACATACATCCGTGAGACATAGGTCCGTGAGATATACGGATCAAGTGATCAGGATCCACGCCTTGGACTCACACAATGTGCACAGGACACATGCGTCCAAGCCAGTATACTTTTGATAGGATGGCATTGATTACAGAGCTCAGGGAAATTTCCCCAACTATTCTGTTGGTGACGAGTATACCGACTTGGACACGTTACTGACAGATATCAGCTAAGTGTTAGGAGGGTGGCACAGCGGGAGAGGGTCTCACCTTGCAGTCATGTTATCCCCACAGGACACCTCTACACCAACTACTGACAGAAATAACCTGGGTGTGTGGAGGGTGGCCCAGCGGGCTAGGGTCTCACTTGCAGTCATGTTATCCCCACAGGAGACCTCTACACCAACTACTGACAGAAATAACCTGGGTGTGTGGAGGGTGGCCCAGCAGGCGAGGGTCTTACCTTGTTCTGTTCCTTCAGTGTTTCCTCCACGCTGTCCGAGATGGCCTTGTACTGCTGGGCGTGCTTCTTTGCCGTCTCCAGCTGGTTCTTCAGAGCTGCACATGGTGGTGTAGAATAATATCTTTAATCTCATGTACCTTGACAGGCAGTGTAGAACACAGCTAGAGACACTTAGCCAAATAAAGCCATCCTCTGATCAATTAGAGTACAATTAAATCAAGAAAATTCTTGCATCAGTGAGTGAGTGAGTTGGGGTTAATGCCGCTTTTAACAGTATTCAAGTTTTATCACGGCGTGTCAGCTTAATGTGGGAGGAAAGCCCGAAGTGATGCAGGTGTCAGGCGTTTACCACTTCGATGAAACCCATGAGCATTGGTATGGTGCTGACAAACCTAGAAACATAATCGGGGCGAAACGGGATTCGAACCCACAATCATAGGATTCTGGCATGCCCAAGAGACGCAACTCTGCTCAACGAATCGCGGCGCCTTAGACGACTGGGCCACCCGTGCCCCCAATTCTTGCATCAAACAATATACAGTAAACTATGAAAAACAAACTTAAAGGTACCACTTATTTTAGTTTCTTGTAACCCTAGTTCATTATAAGCATATTTACAGCAAATGCCCGGGATGCAAAATCCATCAGTTTGTTATAAACATGGTATATTTAGTTTGTAATTTAGTGAAGTATGGTCTTACCTCCGGTGGGAAAGAAACATTTACATCTGTAAAAGGTCAATGTTTATTTTGGACCCCGAAATTTTAAAAACAATTCTGAAGATACTCACATTTTACCTGTTGCTGGAGTTGGGTGACCTCTGACCTCAGGTCCTTGACCTGTTCAGAAGAATCTGTCTGCACCACAGCAGCAGACGCAGCAGATGCTGACATCTGCAGACGTTCAGTACCTGCAACATGGACAGTGTCAGCAGGTGAGGTGAAATGAGTTTAAATTGTGTTCAAGATTATTGCACTTTTATAGCAACGTGCATGCCTGTGTATATTAGTCAAGACTAAAGCCATGTTATAGTGCTAGTCCACTGAGAAGCCCTTCTGTAGTTCTAACATGGATACGCAACTGAGACACAGACACTGACTCCGAGCCGATCAGTCCCTGTTTTAGCCCCTTGATCTGGAGCACCAAGCAGTGTAACAACAAGTACCATCTTTGAACATTGTTTGGCTTGATGCGGTCTGGGATCAAACCAGTGACCCGTCAGATCTCTATTCACATGGCTACGGAGACAGACAGTGCTAAGATGCTGCTATGGGGGATACATCAGATATCCACAGGATAAAGGTGATGTCTAATATTGAGGAAAGACCCAACTGATCCAAGTCATTATCAGTACATATCTGGAAACAGAGGTGACATGGCAGCCATTAGTTTGAGTGAGTGAGTGAGTGAGTGAGTTGTTTGTAACGCCTGTTTTAACATTATTCCAGTTATATCTCGGCGTGTCTGCTGAATGTGGGAGGAAAGCCTGAAGTGATGCAGGTCTTAGACGTATACCATTTCGGTGAAACCCAAGAGCACGGGTATGGTGCTGACAAAGCTGGAAACATAATCGTGGTGAACCGGAATTCGAACCCACAATCATAGGTTTCTGGCGTGTCCAGGGGATGCAACTCTGCACAGCGAATCGCGGCGCCTTAGACGACTGGGCCACCCGTGCCCCCGGCCATTAGTTTGAATGCTAACTGTGGTGAACATGGTGAATGAGTGAGTGAGTTGGGTGTCACAGTAATTGAACAGTATTTCAGTTGTGTAACAACTGTCATCTTGATGTGGGAGAGTCACAAAGGTCTGTTGAGCAGTGAGACCGTCAAGCACAGGTGCTGACAAACCTAGCATAACGGTCATGTTTTGGTGAATCCAAAATCCAAACCCATGATTATTGGATGTTTGCATCATGCAGCAGCCTAGACCGCTGAGCTACCCGTGCTCCCACTGATTGCTGAACAAGGAATGACTGGAAGAAGATTACAACTTACTTCTGGGTTCTCCGAGTCGGGTCAGTTTGCCCTCAGCCGCAGCCAGTTTCGCTTCTGTTGCAGAGAGCTGAAAAACATTTTATTAAATGTAAACTTCTGATTGAATGTAAATTATTTAGCTTAATAAATCGTGAGATAAAACTCCCCCTGATGCCTCACCTCCTGCTTGAGGTCCAGCACGTTCTTGTTGGTGTCGGACAACTTGGTCTTGTTGTCCTGGGCCATTGCTTTCTCACGCTCCAGTTCTATCTGCACATTCTTCACCAGGCTCTGCAACACACAGTTCTCATTAACCGAGTGGGAACTGAGAATATTACCCCAAAAGTAAAAGAAATGGTTCTCAGGCAATGGTCTTTGAAAATATAGTGTGGGCAGGTGGTGTTTTTTTTGGTTGTTCAAACTTGTATATAACCAATAAACAGTTGTGTAATCAATAAACAAATGTGTACAATCAACCTGGCAAAGGGCCTCCCTACATAAATGTAATCCTTGATAAGTAAAATACTGGAATACAGTATTTGACTACCGTTGGACTTGAATATTTAAGGATTTAAAAAAAATAAATTTAAATGGAAATAAAAATGAAACGTGGGCGAACTTTATGATGATGCAGGCGGTGCCGGAGAAACAAGACTATTTTTTGTTTTAGCCTAATTGTACACTGTAAGACATCTATTCTACTGCAATGAATTATGGCTTCTGATTGGTTTGAACCTTTTATGAAGTTATTTCGAAAAACCTAAGTGATGTCATTACGCTGAAAGGTCTGACCTTGACATCACAAATAATGCACCAAGGTCAAGAACAAACAGTTCTGGGTGTGGATCTCTCAGGTTCCAGCTCAGGGAATAATCACATCTCAATCCAACACTTATGATAGGTTTTCAGTTGCGTTTCTAAAACGTGTTGGTATTACTGTCCATTCACAAATAAGTTTGTCCCATACAAAGCCAGCAAGTGGCAGTGGCCCTGTCTTGCCTCACCTCCCAGTTGCGGGTCAGCGACCGGTGTTCCTCGGCCTGAACGTCCATCCTCCGCTTCAATGAGTTCACTTCCCGCTCGTACGCACTGATCTGGTTGTTCAGCCGAGTTTTGGTTTCATACTCTGCACGCTCAAGATTGTTCTGAAAACCAACAGGATACTATGCATTGCCTGAACAAAGATTTACACAGCTTTACTGAAGCCTTTCTCCTAAACGTGCTCCTGTGGTCAATGTGAGCAAATATTTCTGTATGGCATAGGTTTTTGGCCTGGCTCTAGGGTGTATGACGTACCTGTATGGCCTGGCTCTAGGGTGTATGACGTACCTGTATGGCCTGGCTCTAGGGTGTATGACACCTGTATGGCATGGCTCTACTGTGTATGACGTACCTGTTGGCCTGGCTCTAGTGTGTATGACGTACCTGTATGGCCTGGCTCTAGGGTGCATGACACCTGTATGGCCTGGATCTAGGGTGTATGACGTACCTGTATGGCCTGGCTCTAGGGTGTATGACACCTGTATGGCCTGGCTCTAAGGTGTATGACGTACCTGTATGGCCTGGCTCTAGGGTGTATGACGTACCTGTATGGCCTGGCTCTAGGGTGCATGACGTACCTGTATGGCCTGGCTCTAGGGTGTATGACACCTGTATGGCCTGGCTCTAGGGTGTATGACACCTGTATGGCCTGGCTCTAGGGTGTATGACGTACCTGTATGGCCTGGCTCTAGGGTGTATGACGTACCTGTGTGGCCTGGCTCTAGGGTGTATGACGTACCTGTATGGCCTGGCTCTAGGGTGTATGACACCTGTATGGCCTGGCTCTAGGGTGTATGACGTACCTGTATGGCCTGGCTCTAGGGTGCATGACGTACCTGTATGGCCTGGCTCTAGGGTGTATGACGTACCTGTATGGCCTGGATCTAGGGTGTATGACGTACCTGTATGGCCTGGATCTAGGGTGTATGACGTACCTGTATGGCCTGGCTCTAGGGTGTATGACGTACCTGTGTGGACTGGCTCTAGGGTGTATGACGTACCTGTATGGCCTGGCTCTAGGGTGTATGACGTACCTGTATGGCCTGGCTCTAGGGTGTATGACACCTGTATGGCCTGGCTCTATTGTGTATGACTTACCTGTATGGCCTGCAGACTGCTAAGGAGCATGTTCTGAGACATGTGCTCCCGCCGGACACTCTCTAGCTCCTGCATCAATCCCTGCTCCGAGTTCTTCACCAGATTTAACTCAGCACGTTGGTTGTCATTCTGGACTTCTAGTCTTGTTCCGTTCTCTTGGGCAGACATCAAGTCCTGTCGTCAACAAAGGAACATAAACACATTTAATCTTGGATAGATTGGTGTCTACTAGACCATACAATCTGATTGTCAGAACTGAAAATGACAATTTCCAAAACAAGAAGATGAAAATCCCCCCTCGCCACACAAACACAATTTTAAAAGAACGAATCATCTGACGGTTACAGTAAGTCCAACTTGATGAGAGAACTTCTGTCTAATCTGTCTGTCTGTATACAAGAGTAGTCATTGAGCTTTCACAACAATACCATGGATTTGGATTTGGAACTTTGTAATTCTAGGTCAGGTATACAAAAATATGAACAAAGTCGAAGTCATACGTGTTGCCATGGAATCGGAAATATAGAAATTCTAAAAATCCCTAAAGAGCAAAAGACAGCAGTTAACAATTGTTTTTTGTGTGTGCAAAGGTTCATGAAAAAACACCTTTCAGTTTTAGAGACATGATCCGGACAAAAATAATTACGGTCGGACAGACACATTGATAACTATATCACCCCGTATTACATACCTGGGGGATAAAAAGAAAAGAGTGAGTGAGTGAGCGAGTGAGTGCCACTTTTAGCAATATTCCATCTTCATCCCATCCGAGGACACTAAGACTTGACAAACCAGTACTTGCTCACTTGACCATGAGTCAACGCCCATGACAAGCATCAAGTTTCCGGGGACCTTAGACTAGGGAAGATTTGTACAACATTTCACTTGTCTCCCTTTAAATAAATTGTATTTACAAGAAAACGCTGTTTCTCATCTAAATATTAGTAAAATCTAAATATTTTTTACATTTGTATACTTATCCTGCATTACTCCGTATTGCATTTACTGCTGTCTTTGACAGAGAGACGAACTGTGTGAGATCCAGCTGCTGAAGAAAGTTGTCCCAACCAGCCCAGGAGGCAGCGCCCTCTCACAGTCGGCACGTGACCCGGAAGTCATGACGTCACACCAAAAGACATAACTGCTTTAAACATAACATCTGAAACTTTGTGGGGAGGTAGCGTAGCGAAAGGGAGGGCACTTAGACTTCGTAATGCAGGATAAGTATACAAATGTAAAAAATATTTAGATTTTACTAAATTTTTTAACTTATCCTGCATTACTCCGTATTGCATCTTTATCAGACGGCATGGCCGGTGGGCATACTTGCAGATGTGAACCATATGAAACCCTCGTCAAGGTCCGATGAATCCGCACCGCATACAAGTGATGACCGTAACATCTACGACCATTCCTGTCTTCAGGAAACAAGAGTCGATGCAAAAACGAAATGCCCGAATAGGTAACCGAAATACAATGAGGCGTGTAGCCAAAATATATATACCGAAGAGCGAAAGCGAAACGCAGGAGAGCCCTCTAATCTGAGGCGAAAAACACCAGAGAGTTCGACGGGCCCCGCTCGGGGAATCGAAGAATCAGCGGCGTCGGCGGCAAAATCTACGACCAATCCCAAGAGCGAATGCGAAACGCAGGAGAGCCTTCTAGGCTGGAGGCAAGGAACACCGGTGAGGTCGACGGGCACCGCTCAGGTATCAGAGAAGCAGCGGCGTTGGCGTCGGCGTCCAAATCAACTACCATTCCTGTCGTCAGGAAACGAGAGTTGATGCAAAAAGTAAAACCCGGATAGGTGACAGCAATAGAATGAGTCGGGTAACCCAAAACTAAAACTGACCTAAGAGCGAATGCGGAACGCAAGAGAGCCGTCTCGTCTGGGGTGATAAACACCAGAGAGGTCGACGGGCCCCGCTCAGGGTATCGGAGAATCAGTGGCGTCGGAGATAGATGACCTGTTGGGCTACAACCAGGGACCAAAACTGTGAACGCCGGCGACAACTTTCAAGGCTACATCACGGAAGTAGTGGTTGGTGAAGGCGGTGTCCCATCGCCACGAACAGGCTTCCCTGAACGACTGGATGGAACAGTATACCGTGAAGAACCAGTGTAAATACGATCGCCCTGATCTCATTTTAATTCAGGTGATAGCCTTTGGGGGGAGGGTCCAATCCGGCGGCTCATAAGCTTTAAGGATGACCGCCCGGAGCCACAGGGAAAAGTATTCCGGCTGACCAACGACTGCGACGAAGGGGAGACCGGCAGAAAAAGACTAGACTTGCGGCAGTCTTTAGATCGTAGAATAACCTTCAGTGCCCTTACTGGGCATAATGACGCTCATCCTCATCCTCGGCACCCACACTGGACGAGGGGGGAGGGGACAAGGAATGATCTATCAGGCTGTCCTGGGAGTTGAGTCTTTACGCTGACGTCCCAGTACGGTCCATGATGAACGGCGCCCTGGGTACCGCATTCGAACCGGGCACGGGAGACGTCGAGGGCGTGCTGTACATGGACTCGAGCGGCGGTAGTCAAAACCAGTAGAAACACCCATCTTCTACTTAGGTCGTAGAAGGAAGACGAGGGGAGTGGTTCGAAGGGCGTTGAAGACCACATTCAGATCCAACGCAGGCGGTCCGAACTTGGCCTTCAGGTCTTCACGACTGAACGAGCTCAGCCAGGCCCGTAGGTCGGGAATTTTCGTCTTTCTCCGATCGTCCGGGATGGCCAGAACGGAGTAGATGGCGACCAGGTATGTGGGGGTGGTAAGCCCTTCAACCGACGGGTGCTACGCAAGTACAGAAGGAACTGATCCAGGATCTGCGGTGACGCTGTCATCGGATCCTGATGTTTGTCAGAACAAAATGCCTGGAACAAACATCATTTATCAGCATACAGTCCCCCTGTAGATGGACGGTGGGCTGAAGCAATAGCCTTGGTCGCTCTAGCCGAATAGCCCTTGGCTTTCCGCATGTGTGTCAGGAGTGCAGACGATAACATGCGGGTATGAGGGTGTGGCAACAGACCGTGTGGATGGAGCAGAAGGTTGGACCACACCGGAAGTTCCAGGGGTTGTCTCTGGCTATGTTTCGGAGGTCGATAACCCAACTTCTGGCTGACCAATAAGGCGAGACCAAAGTCAATGGCAGGGGTCGAGTGGCCTGGATCTCTGAAGAACCGTGGGAGGGAGAACCGGAGTCGGAAAAGCGTACGCACGTAATCCTTCTCAGGAACGATGGAAGGCTTCGACTGCCACAGCGGTCGTATCCGGCACAGGTGGAATGGAAGACGACAGCTGGCCACATTCAGATATGAGGCAAACAGATCTAGGGTTGGGGTGTCGACCGTTTGACATAGTCTGGCCCGAGGCGCCGGAGAGCGTGAGGCGTCGGAGAGCTTGAGACGCCTGGAACGCCGAAGATGGTGATTCTCGGGGGCGCCGGTCGAGTTTATAGCGCCGGGAGAGGGGCGAGTACTCTGGGTCCGCAAACACCACACTACGGTGACGTCGTCAGTGGACACGATCAACAGGGCGTGACCGAGAATGCACTGTCAGCAAGTGACGTCCTGGATAAGCCTATATCTCGAGGCTGTTGCTGTGCCAATGGTGTTGATCTCTGGATCACAGGTGGTCACAATGTGGGCTGGTGTGGGCCACTAGCCACTGACAAGGTGGCAGGGGAGGTAGTCAGCAACAGGGGTCTGCGATTGCGTACCGTCAGTACGATTCGGAAAAAGGTGTGATCGCCTGCGAGCCAACCTCAAGTAGACAAAGTAAACCAGCTTCACAATCGACCGCCGGGGCATCGACGTAACCGGGTAGTAGGAAGTCGAGGCAATATGGCCATTGCACGAAGTAATGAGATCGTTTTCATCCCTGAAGCGGCGTATAAGTACTCCTGTTCTTATATCGAGGTGACGATGGAGGACGACAACACGATACGAGGCAGGTATGCAACAGGGGTCAGTGTGACGGCCGAGGGACTTTAAGTATCAAATCGACACTGTGTCCGGTAGTCAAGGCGGAAGATAGGAAGGTGTCGTAGTCGAAAAGATCAAACCGGACGAAGGAGGGCGATCTTTTCCATCCCTTGAACGCCTATAGGCGCTATCGTTCTTATAGCGAAGGGTTGATGAAACAAGGTTCCTCGTGACAGCCGTGTTGGTAGAGGTCTATTGTTTCCAACATCCGTGCATGGATGGACTGCGACAGGCGCCTGGTTGAGTGGTATCACCAAACGTACAGGTAGACATGGAAACCAATCTGTAGAAATACATGGCACCCCTTGCCATGGTAAGTTGACCTAAATCCGGTCGGAGTTGTTGACAGTCCGAGTACTTGACACGTGACATGTAAATCACTCTGCGCAGTAGCCGAGAAAACCGCCTTGGAGTCGGAACTGAGGTGCAAACTCCACACACAGACAATCCTCAATGAACTGTGTGAGAGACGATCAAGTGGTGTACCCGAGTTTTGCGATAAAACATGGAACCCCATGGGCGTCGTGGAAAACCAGGGGAGCGCCGAGGAAGAGTCTCTTTCAGGAACGCTGGCGCTAGGGTAGGGTAGAACAGCGTTGATGTCTGCGATGTCGACGAAGTAAACTCTTTGTAAGTGGATGTCGTCGTTGAATCTGATACAGAATCTGGAGGCGCCGAGTCATCGGAGGCGCCGAGACATCGGAGGCGCCGGGAGCGCCGAGACATCAGAGGCGCCGAGTCATCGGAGCCTACCCGGGAGCGCCGGGAGCGCCGAGACATCGGAGGCGCCGGGAGCGCCAGAGGCGCCGAGTCATCGGGAGCGCCGGGACATCAGAGGCGCCAGGGGCTCCGGAGACATCAGCGTTGACGGTGTTGGAGACCGTGAACGGTCTTATGTCGTGCCAGGGGAGGCAGACTCTACGTTGGGAGCGCTGGAGCCGCCAGTGGAGTAGGAGACCGTGAACGGTCGTATGTCGTGCCATGGGCGGCAGACTCTACGTTGGGAGCCGCCGTGAAGCTCCGCTGAGCGCTGCTGCCGTCAACGTAGGTGGGGGTCGACGAGCACGTTGAGCGAGGTGTGTCCTGGATACTCACATGAGCTGAAGGATCACAGCGACGAATGACTGCAACATCGGCACTGCCTTGTGAAAGTACAGGGCGTCGTACAATCACGGCAGAAAGGGGCGGTCCCGACCAGATTTGTTCCCGCGGCAACAAGTGCAGCGAGGCAGAAAATCTGGAATTTAAGCAAAACATAACTATGTGGCAAAGCCAAAAAGTGCGGGAAGGATAATGTGATTCAGAAACTTTGTATTTCAATGAAGTTTATGAGATCAAACAATGACGCTAAAAGGTAGCGAAAAAGCATAGCTTCAAGCAAACACATAACCATGTGGCCAATCACAAAGTATGGGAAGCATAAAGTAACTCAAAAACAGTATATTTTATTAAAGTTTATGAGATAAACAAGTACACTAAAAGGGAGCGAAAAGGCAAAGCCTTAAGCAAACACGTAACCATGTGGCAAAACCACAGAGTACGGCAGACATAATGTAACTTAAAAACTTCGTATTATATTGAAGTTTATGAGACGAAACAATTACGCTGAGAGGTAGCGAAAAGGCAAGGCTTTAAGCACACCAAAACAACATACATAAATGTAATGTATTACCCAAGGCAAAGAGAGAATTCAAAACGCAGAGCACGACATTACGTGGCCACGTGGTGAATGGCCAAAATGGCGGGAAAGAAAACAAAATGGCGGGAACAACATTGCGCCCGTAAATTACTGTGACGTGAGCCACAGACGAGCGATAAACGTTACAATTTACGAATGGGAAGACCCTAAGGTCACGGCCCATAACAGGTAACAATGTAGCAGCATATAATGAATGTAGAAACACGCAAAATATAAAAAACAAATAATAAGCTTTAATTTCCACAAGGGATACAAAGTACGTCCGTCCGTGGAGGTGACAAAGCAGTTATGTCTTTTGGTGTGACGTCATGACTTCCGGGTCACGTGCCGACTGTGAGAGGGCGCTGCCTCCTGGGCTGGTTGGGACAACTTTCTTCAGCAGCTGGATCTCACACAGTTCGTCTCTCTGTCAAAGACAGCAGTAAATGCAATACGGAGTAATGCAGGATAAGTTAAAAAATTGGAGTATTTGTCTTAGTTAAATGCAGTTCAAGTGGAACAATTGTTTCTGTAAAGAAATGTCTGTGATCTAGTTGAAAGAACAAATATTCTTCTCGAATTGAATAATCAAACAATGACCTACTTACTCAAATAATAAAAATAACAAGAGTTTGCCACTAACGTGGCTATATCCCCCGCCCCGTTGCAGAATTTATGACATAATTAAATCTAAACAAACCCTAACCTTTTTTAACCGAGGATACAAAGAAAAGCATGCAATGACAGAATACCCCCCAATTAGAGTGCCATGTTGCGGGGTGTATTTGAGCACTACTGCTTGACGACACATACCTCTCTCAGCATGTTGATTGTCTGTTCGTGTTTCACAACAGATGTTGAGTACTGTTGATTCTTGTCCCGCAACGCTCCGATCTCCTTCCTGTAGCCGTCGATGTTGCCTTGAAGGACCTTGTATCTCTCAGCAGAGAAGTCAAGCTGGGAGATAGACAATCAATCACAGCATGTTATAGACTTGAAGACAGACATGTCTCAAAATTAAACGTTATTCTTCTCTGGAGTCACTCAGAGCATTTACTTCCTAAATTCATTCCTTGTGACAGACCTGTATTAATAGTGATAGTAATAAATAAAAAGATTTGAAAAAACCCAACAACATAGAGGCATTATCCTCGAATACCCCTGCATCCGCACTGACCTGCTTTCGATATCAATGCAGGTGACATGTGAACATGTGCAACATGCTTGCTGCAGCTCAGCCAAATGAATTAGCTTCTGTCACGCGTATTGAGTGGCCCGGACAGCTCCCACCAAACCCAGTTCATTTTTTCATAGTGACATCTTGTAAGTATGGTCACATTTAGCACTGGCTATCAATATACATCTAAATATCAATCATCAATAAATATTGGAGAAGATTCCATAAGCAAATGTGCAGGAAACTGAGAAAGTCCTGAAAGAAATCAACATATTTCACACCACTGGTGAGTGGTGTCACATTTATGAAGGAATTACTTCCCATCGACAATAATTCTGACTAAGGATCTTTTTAGTCAGCCCCAGTCATAAATAACTACGTTACAATGTGTCAGTTATTCCTACAGTGGTTGCACTGCCAGTACCTGTTGTTTTCGTTAAAGTATGGCTACTATTTGAAGGAAGGTCAGTGAATGTTGTTTCCTATCACAGCAAGTTGGGGACTGCCTTATCATCCATGTTACCACAGGGTCAGAGTACACAGTCACACACTGCAACCACCTGAGCCCCACTTGGTTGAAGCGAAGGTATTGTACAGGCAAGTTCTGCCAGAAGACTGGCAATCAGAAGTACTAAAGTACTCACGGAAATGAAAAAAAACTTTTTTCGATCTCAGATTTTAAATAAATGCAGTTAATATACAAAATATATAAATATTCAAACAACTCAATTAGTACTAATTGGGCCTTGGCACAAATACAGCGTATCAAAGGTTTTTATGTCTTTTTACACGTAAAAGTGTGTAAAAATATGAACAAAACAGACTATTGTGAAACTGAGCATAACCAGGTGTTAGTAGATCAAGGTGAATGTCCATGACCTATGACACCTTGACGACAGGTGAAAACAGGTGCTTGAAACCCACGTGCATGTGATTTTGTCAGTGGTTAGTGATTTGTGAGTGACATTGTGGGATAGTGAATCATCGTCAAAATATCAGAACGTAAGAGTAACATATTCCCTTCTCAAACAACAACTTACATGTCATTATTATTATGTACATAAACATAGCTGTTATTTTTATTGTTGCTTTGATAACTTTTTTTCCCAAGGCTAATTTGCATAATGCCTATAGCCTGTTTCTGCCATGTCAATTTGGACTTAGTTTTATTTTTGAATGTTGAAAGTGCTTACAAATTACCTCCTGTAAAGTACATTTTGTATTGAGCAATGAGATAAAACTAGCAAATCCAGACTAGTACTTTTCCAGTTGTTTTGTTATTTCGTATTTGCATCTACGTAATGCTTTGTGTCGATTATTAAATCCAGCAAAACAGTTTTTTTTCATTTCCATGAGTACTTTAATGATCACTTGACATCTCACCTGTGAAGCCAGCTTGGCATTCTGCACCTTCATCTCGGAGAGTTCCTGTCTGGCCTTGTCCAGCTGCTCGCTGATCATCCTGCAACAACCCATCACAGTTCAACCAGGAACTAAAACCCTTGTACATAGAGACGTCAAAGTGACGGTTATAATGGAAGTGCTGTATTTACAAAAGCTACTCACAAAATCCCACTTGGATTTACCATGGCACAGCACAGTGTTAATGTAATTAGGCTTGTTCATACTTCTCTCAGCAACACCACAACGCTATTCACAGCCCTTAAAACTGATGTCAAGAAACGAGGTGACAACTCCTTGTGCTCCCCTATCTGTATACATCCTATAGAAATTGTCAGGTTATTTCTTCCTACAAAGTAGAAACAATTTATGGATATCAACTTCACTATTTACAGTAAATAAAGAAGCTGTTATTTATAAATTGTGTCTACTCCGTCATCCTTCAACTTCTAATTAACGCCTATCAAAAATTCATATTTCTTCCACTTTGTTTAAAATTGCAGTACAGAAGGTTACACAAAAACAGCTGAGCACAACCCAAGACCAGGCAGACAGCTTTACTGTTAACATAATGAATCCTTTTTCCACAGAAGTTTGTCAACGAAATGGATTAAGCATCCAGGGGGAGAGGGTAGTTAGATACTGAAGCTGTGTTGTTGTCATGCAACTTCAGGAGATGAGTGAGAGTAGTTTTATGCCGCTTTAAGCGATATCTCAGCAATATGATGACGTGAGGCCCCAGTAAGGGGCTTCACACTGTACCTATCTGGAGAATTGAAGCTGGGCTTTCAGTGTGACAAGTGACCACTTAACTTGACTACGTCACAGCCACATTCAATTTTTCCAATGGTACACATGAACACAAAACATGTAGAAATACCTTTCATTTTGTGATCTTTCCTTCTTATAAGTGGTGAACTCGGACTGCATTTCCTTCATGGCTGTCCTAGACTCCGACACAGACTTCTCCATCTGCTGCAGAGAGCCTGGTCCCACATGGGGGGTGTGTCCTGACGCAGGGCCTCTCATCCCTGGGGGTGGGTGTCGACCAGGGGTGTGCATGTCCCTGCCCCCAGCAGGGAGGGGTGTGGACGCCATCATGGGAGGGATAGGCATCTTGGAAAGGCAAGACAGTTGTCTCAAACAATATATTGTTATCAAAAAAAGTTTCATGTTAGGCAGGTAAAAAATGGAAGCAGCATGTTCTCTCCTACCAAACTTCCAGCTATAGTGATTTTCATATCTATGTTGCAGCTTGCATCAGATGTCAGCAATCTCATTAAAATCAGACCTCAGTTCTCGCTACGGCTAAACAAAGATCTGAGGACATCCCATTAGGGGTCACGTCAGAACGACCTTTCATCCGACCAATCAGAGCATCGCTTCCTAGATTATGAAAGTGACACTCGGAATGTGATTTCTGATCATGCAGCCCCCAAACTTTAACTCCGAACAATAGTTACGGGTTTAACGACTGTATCCATACAATCTAGACCATCTATTAGCCATTCCAGAATGTTCTTTTGTTCAGGTTTCAAATTTGTAATCGAGAATTTGTCAAAATATGTTTCGAAGCGTAGTCGCCAATTTGAAATTAGTGCCGTAAAGCACGAGAAAGCTGCCTTCTGATTGGTCATTCCATTGGTCGGTCAAAGTTTGTGCAAGGTCGGTCTGACGTGACCTGTAATGGGATGTCCTCAGATCTTTGTTTAGCGGTAGCGAGAACTAAGATCTGACTTTAATGAGATGTCAGATGTCAGTGGGTGTGTAACTCACCTGCATGGATCCCCCCTGTTGAAGCAGGACCCTGTACATGTCTCTCTGGCGCACAACCGACTCCACCTGTAACAGTGACCAGAACTCAGGTGATGTACTGTCAGCACCACACCACCAACATCACAGACAATACAGCCAAGGGCTTGGCAATGAGTGGTTGATCGTACATCACTGTTAGAAATTGACACCGGCCCGTAGGCCCGAGGCCGACAGATTTGTTCTTGGACTGATAGTCTTAAATGTCAGCATGCCCTCATGGCCTGCAGCTAATTTCAGTAATTATCTATTAAGCATTATTTAAGTAATGTGATAGACATAACTTTCATTTTTATAAACAGAAGGATTAGACCTTTCAAATGGTGTGTGACATGTTATTGCAAATATGTTTAACAAGCTGATAATGTCCTGACAAAGGTAGGCTTCGTCTATCACCAAAGAGTCTCTGGGAACTCGGTGTGATGGCAGTAAAAGTTTCTGGTTGACTGGTTGTGTTTTGTAATTTACATTGCAAGAGTATGTCTCCCTGCTTCAGCTGTTTGGGCCTACAGTTTTTCCACTGGCCTACAGTTTTTCCACTGGGCCTACAGTTTTTCCACCGGGGCTACAGTTTTTCCACTGAGCCTACAGTTTTTCCACCGGGGCTAGTTTTTCCACTGGGCCTACAGTTTTTCCACTGAGCCTACAGTTTTTCCACCGGGCCTACAGTTTTTCCACTGAGCCTACAGTTTTTCCACTGGGCCTACAGTTTTTCCACCGGGGCTACAGTTTTTCCACTGGGCCTACAGTTTTTCCACTGGGCCTACAGTTTTTCCACTGAGCCTACAGTTTTGCTGGCCCTTAAGGCTCTCAGTTTTCTCTGCTGCGTTTCAGACACTGTCATACATGCAACAATCTACAGTTAGGGAACCATGACACACAATCACACATTGTGACATTTGTCTCCAAGTCATAGAGCACTGAAGATAAGATCAGCTCCCAGACACAATTTGAGTGTGATCATATGTAAGCTTTCATCATAAAATAATTCTTCTAAATAATGCTCTTTGTTCTCAACTAGTGAGAGTGATAGTCATTACAGGTAATGATGATATAAATAGGAAACCTTTCCCATCTTAGTAATTGATAGTTCTCCTGTGGATCAATGATCGATACCATAGCCAGTTGCTCATCATGGACGAGAACCAGCTGATGAGAGAGAGTTTTCCGCAGCTATAATCATGGCATGAACATGGAAAATGTAGGGAGTGAATATTGCTCAACACAGCATCAGAAATATTACAGCTATTCGCTATGAGTGAGTGAGTTTTATATTTTATGCTGCTTATAGCAATATTCCAGCAATATCACGGCGGGGTAAACAGAAATGGGCTTCACACATTGTACCCATGTCAGGAATCAAACCCGTGTCTTCGGCGTGACGATCACTAGGCTACCCGACCGCCCCTATTTGCTATGAATGGGGAATCTAACAGGCATTGTGATGAAAGGACCTGCACACCCTGTAGCCGGTGGACTGCGGTGCTGCTGTAGTTGGTGCACTGCCTCCCCACTATTGCTACTCAGGTGTTAGAGGAGGACCTGCACACCCTGTAGCCGGTGCACTGCGGTGCTACTGTAGTTGGTGCACTGCCTCCCCACTATTGCTACTCAGGTGTTAGAGAAAGACCCTGCAAACCCTGTAGCTGGTGCACTCACCATCTCGGCCTGACGTGTCTTGCCAGCTCTCAGCTCCTCCAACTCGGCCTGAGTCATCTCGAGCTGCTCACGAAGCTCCTGGGTCCTGAAAACAAGATCAGGGGAACAAATAAGATCAATATCTCCAGTCATATGCTGTTTCAAAGGGAGAAAAACTCATCTAAGGATTGTGAGCAGACAAGCACCTGTACCTACTCCACATCATCCACCCATCCCCTGACAGGCACCTGCACCTACTCCACATCATCCCCTGACAAGCACCTGCACCTTCTCCACATCATCCACCCATCCCCTGACAAGCACCTGCACCTTCTCCACATCATCCATCACCCCCAGACAAGCACCTGCACCTACTCCACATCATCCACCCATCCCCTGACAGGCACCTGCACCTACTCCACATCATCCACCCATCCCCTGACAGGCACCTGCACCTACTCCACATCATCCACCCATCCCCTGACAGGCACCTGCACCTACTCCACATCATCCACCCATCCCCTGACAGGCACCTGCACCTACTCCACATCATCCATCACCCCCAGACAAGCACCTGCACCTTCTCCACATCATCCACCCATCCCGACAGGCACCTGCACCTACTCCACCCATCCCCTGACAAGCACCTGCACATTCTCCACATCATCCACCCATCCCCTGACAAGCACCTGCACCTACTCCACATCATCCACCCATCCCCTGACAAGCACCTGCACCTTCTCCACATCATCCACCCATCCCCTGACAAGCACCTGCACCTACTCCACATCATCCACCCATCCCCTGACAGGCACCTGCACCTTCTCCACATCATCCATCACCCCCAGACAAGCACCTGTACCTACTCCACATCATCCACCCATCCCCAGACAAGCACCTGCACCTACTCCACATCATCCACCCATCCCCTGACAAGCACCTGTACCTACTCCACATCATCCACCCATCCCCTGACAGGCACCTGCACCTATTCCACATCATCCATCACCCCCAGACAAGCACCTGTACCTACTACACATCATCCACCCATCCCCTGACAGGCACCTGCACCTACTCCACATCATCCACCCATCCCCTGACAGGCACCTGTACCTACTCCACATCATCCACCCATCCCCTGACAGGCACCTGCACCTACTCCACATCATCCACCCATCCCCTTACAGGCACCTGCACCTACTCCACATCATCCACCCATCCCCTTACAGGCACCTGCACCTACTCCACATCATCCACCCATCCCCTGACAAGCACCTGCACCTTCTCCACATCATCCACCCATCCCCTGACAAGCACCTGCACCTACTCCACATCATCCACCCATCCCCTGACAGGCACCTGCACCTACTCCACATCATCCATCACCCCCAGACAAGCACCTGCACCTTCTCCACATCATCCACCCATCCCCTGACAGGCACCTGCACCTACTCCACATCATCCACCCATCCCGACAGGCACCTGCACCTACTCCACCCATCCCCTGACAAGCACCTGCACATTCTCCACATCATCCACCCATCCCCTGACAGGCACCTGCACCTACTCCACATCATCCACCCATCCCCTGACAAGCACCTGCACCTTCTCCACATCATCCACCCATCCCCTGACAGGCACCTGCACCTACTCCACATCATCCATCACCCCCAGACAAGCACCTGTACCTACTCCACATCATCCACCCATCCCCAGACAAGCACCTGCACCTACTCCACATCATCCACCCATCCCCTGACAAGCACCTGTACCTACTCCACATCATCCACCCATCCCCTGACAGGCACCTGCACCTATTCCACATCATCCATCACCCCCAGACAAGCACCTGTACCTACTACACATCATCCACCCATCCCCTGACAGGCACCTGTACCTACTCCACATCATCCACCCATCCCCTGACAGGCACATGTACCTACTCCACATCATCCACCCACCCCCTGACAGGCACCTGCACCTACTCCACATCATCCACCCATCCCCAGACAAGCACCTGCACCTTCTCCACATCATCCATCACCCCCAGACAAGCACCTGCACCTACTCCACCCATCCCCAGACAAGCACCTGCACCTACTCCACATCATCCACCCATCCCCTGACAGGCACCTGCACCTTCTCCACATCATCCACCCATCCCCAGACAAGCACCTGCACCTACTCCACATCATCCACCCATCCCCTGACAGGCACCTGCACCTACTCCACATCATCCACCCATCCCCTGACAGGCACCTGCACCTACTCCACATCATCCACCCATCCCCTGACAAGCACCTGCACCTTCTCCACATCATCCATCACCCCCAGACAATCACCTGCACCTACTCCACATCATCCACCCATCCCCTGACAGGCACCTGCACCTACTCCACATCATCCACCCATCCCCTGACAGGCACCTGCACCTACTCCACATCATCCACCCATCCCCAGACAAGCACCTGCACCTACTCCACCCATCCCCTGACAAGCACCTGCACATTCTCCACATCATCCACCCATCCCCTGACAGGCACCTGCACCTACTCCACATCATCCACCCATCCCCTGACAAGCACCTGCACCTTCTCCACATCATCCACCCATCCCCTGACAGGCACCTGCACCTACTCCACATCATCCACCCATCCCCTGACAGGCACCTGCACCTACTCCGCATCATCCACCCATCCCCTGACAAGCACCTGCACCTTCTCCACATCATCCATCACCCCCAGACAATCACCTGCACCTACTCCACATCATCCACCCATCCCCTGACAGGCACCTGCACCTACTCCACATCATCCACCCATCCCCTGACAGGCACCTGCACCTACTCCACATCATCCACCCATCCCCAGACAAGCACCTGCACCTACTCCACCCATCCCCTGACAAGCACCTGCACATTCTCCACATCATCCACCCATCCCCTGAAAAGCACCTGCACCTACTCCACATCATCCACCCATCCCCTGACAAGCACCTGCACCTTCTCCACATCATCCACCCATCCCCTGACAGGCACCTGCACCTACTCCCCATCTTCCACCCCTACACAAGCACCTGTACCTACTCCACATCTTCCACCCATTGACAAGCACCTGTCCCTTGGGCGTCCACTTACTTGGTATCTGTAGCCAGCTTCTCCTCCTCCTCCCGCTTGTCACTGAGTTCTCGCACCACCCCCAGGAGTCTCTGGTTCTGATTCTGCATTTCTTCAATGCTCCTGAGACAAACAATTGGGAAGTTACAATGACTTATTATTGAACGCAAATGAAAGAGTGAGTATTAATTTTTGGGACACAATCAATTTGCTCACACCTTGTACCAACTTAAGGAAAAAAACCTGGAGCTTCAGGAGCTGATGTGTTACCCCACGAACTCCTGCCCTTCCTGCTGACCAAACTAAAGACTTGTTAACACTGTCCGGTTTAACCTTACTGTCCAAATCTGTAAAAGAGAAAAGGTACTCACCTAAATGTGACAAGTTTGCCTGAGATGAGAGAGGATGAACTTGACACCTCCGCTGATGACACATCTTCGTCCCGAACCACTCTACCTCCCTTCAGCTCCTCAACCTCCTTCACCAAGTACCGCACCTACAACACATCCACTCCATGGTTGGTCAATGCCACTCACCAATATTCCAGCAATATCATGGAGGCCTCTAAAATATCGGACCCGAAATATCAGCGACTGATATCACGGCGGGGACACCAGAAATGAGCTTCACACATTGTACCCATGTGGGGAATCAAACCCGGGTCTTCGGCGTGACAATGAACACGTTAACTACTTGGCTACCCCACCGCCGCTGGTCACTGCTGAGGTTTACCAAGCAGCCCATGCCCTGTCCTCACCTGGTGCCCAAGATCCACAGTCTGTTGTTGATATTTCTGAGCCTCTCTCTGAAAGTGGCCCAACTTCCGCCGGTATTCGTCACCCTCACGCTGCAACTTTTCAGATTCCTGCAAAACAGCGAATAGCAAACATACTCAACAGAGATGTCATGAAAAAATTGGAAATAATAATGTAGTTACTATTTCTTGAGCACTACAATCAATGTAGACAAAGATCAGTCACCAGCCACTGCCACCTACCAGCATGGCTGTGTCGAGCTGTGACGTCAGCTGACTAATGGTCTGCAGTGACATCTCGTAGTCCTCACGCTGTTTCTTCATACGTGGTGCACGCTCTTCGATTTCCTGTAAAATGGAAGTATACTTTTGAGTGAGTGGGTATTGTTTTACGCAGCTTTTATCAATATTCCAGCAATATCAAGGCGGGGGACACCAGAAATGGGCTTCACACATTGCACCCATGTGGGTATTCGAACCCGGGCCTTCAGCATAACAGGCCGAGGCTTTAGCCACTAGGCTACCCCACCGCACCCAGTATACTTAAATATTTAATCATGGTAACTAAAAATTAATTTGTTAAATGATTAGATGTTAATCAGATTATGTATCTTGGATTCCAGACATTCAAAGTGTGTACTGAGCCCACCTGTAGGATCTGGTCAAGGTACTGGTTGAGACGTTTGTTTTCTTCTCGCTCCAGTTCCAGATTCTCAGAAGAGACCACGTACTCATTGTAAATCTGCCAGGGAAAGAAAGAAACAGTAAGAGAAACAAAATAAACCTTTGCCCACAATTACTGATAACAATAAAAACCTATATATTTCCTCATCTGGCCTATAACATCAATAGAGGGATACACATCTACCAGAGCTTCTGATATCTACATCACATGATGAACGTCATAATGGCGACTTAGGCATGGGTACAGATTTCTTTCTCACCACTGACAATATTATTGCTTCGTGTGCACACACACAACTGTTATTTCAGCTTCATAAAGTAGTCAACATCATTGTCAGCAGATGTCACTCTTGGACTATTGTGAGCAAAGTTTGCTAGTTCAAACTAATTACGAGATGGCGTACTGAGATGTCCCAACGCCCACCACCATGTTGGAGCAGCAACAAGATATGTACAAATTCAAAGACAACGATATCCTGTCAGCTCAGTGGTGGAATTTGAAAGCTTCATTAGTGTACACTACCAGTTGACATAAATATCAAACTCTACAAGATAAAAATAAGAGCATGCAGATGATTACAACATGGAATGGAAATGTCAGTCTGGCAGTCCCCATTTCGCAACAAACCTGGTACTGTTATATATCATAGTATGGAAAACTGAAACTAACATGTCAGTACAAGCACAACTGTATTGTATGGATAACTGAAGTTGCACCATCCCAACGGCATAATTATACCACACCTGAGGTCAAGCCAAGACTAACTGTATATCTATCAATACTGTATGGATAACTGAAGTTACTTGCACTAGCCTGACTGCATATCTAAGACAATACTTGAGGCCAGTCCAGGCCTGACTGTATTGTATGGATAACTGAAGTAGTTTGGACTAGCCGGACGGTATATCTATACCATACTTGAGGCCAGTCCAGGCCTGACTGTGTTGTATGCATAACTGAAGTAGTCTGGACTAGCCGGACAGTATATCTCTACCATACTCGAGGCCAGTCCAGGCCTAACTGTCCTCTATACATACTGAAGTGGCACAGTAAAATTTTTCTGTATACATAACTCAGGAGGACAGCTTGAAGGTGTGTAACTATCCTGACAGCTGCACCCACCTGTGTGAGGGTCATGCCCGACTTGAGTATTTTGGATGTTGCAGCTGCGGATGGTGACAAGGCTTCTATCGCTTCATCGCTGAGTTTGGCAGCACCTGCATGGGGTAGACGATATTTTACTTACAAACTCAGGTATGTCCTACACATATAGATATATATATATATGTGCATATCAGTACACCTGTAACCCACAGGCATAAGGATATGTATACAAAGAAATGGTAGAGTGTGTAGTGAAAGTAGAGTGTAGAAATGGTAAGAGTGTGTAGAAATGGTAGAGTGTGTAGAAATGGTAGAAATGGTAGAGCGTGTAGAAATGGTAGAGTGTGTAGAAATGGCAGAGTGTGTAGAAATGGCAGAGTGTGTAGAAATGGTAGAGTATGTAGAAATGGTAGAGTGTGTAGAAATTGTACAATGTGTAGAAATGGCATAATTGTGAATTCTAAACAGAATATCTACTTCTATTTATTCCTAATGACATCCAAGTAGCACTTTCCCAGAAACCAGAACAAGATGGTGGTCCGCATTGATTAACAAAGAAAGTTTGAAGCGACAGCTATACGGATGCAGAGTTACCTACCTTTGGCTTTCACGGCAACAAGCAGCTCATTGGCGTTCTTCAGCTCTTGCTCCAGTTTCCCCGTCTTCACGTCTGCAACCAGAATAACTTGCTATCTTAACTCCATGTCAGAAGGTTGAGATCTGATTGGTTCATGTATTCTTGATAAAATACTACGTATCTGCTCGGGAGGGAAATAAATTTCTAAGGGGGAGAATAAATCCCTTATACCCCGCCATGAAGAAAACAGGCAGCACATGGATTTCTCAGAGGGAGAATAAATCTCATGCACCCCTGATGATGCAAAAAGCTGCACGTTGTTTACAATGAAAGTCTTGCGAAACAGCACATGATAACCTCAGCTCAATCGCACAGCTGTTTTCTATCAGTCTTTAATTAGATGATCTTCCTTTTCAAAGACAGATTGAACATGTCGGCAAGATAAATTCGCTGTAGAAATATCCCTTGGGGTATTTGTGGTTTTATACGTCCCCTGTTAGGTTTTATGCAACAATCCTTCTGCCTATTAATAACATTCTTGATGAAATGATCAAATATATCAATATAGAAATACTCGTACATTGCAATTAAAGGACTTTTTCCAGGAGGGGATATTGGACATTTAAGGGTTTTACAACATTGTCTGCCATATTGAACCTATGTACAGATAACACAGCAATCTCAATAGCTACAGTGGGCACCCAATATTACTGAAGAGTTGAAGTTTTTGTGATCCAAATTCGAAAGAAGCAGACTGAATTATCACTTGGCTGTAAACAATGGCTGAACACACTTCACACATTTAGTCATCATGAGCACCCTTTGCCCGGACACGCTGGAACATGTTTCAGAACCCGATGTCACCTTTAGCTTTCAACTGATCCCTGAAGCCATCTTCAATCTGATTCTGCTCTCCCTCCAGCTTGGAATGGGCTGAAAGAAGCATACAAGTCATTTACACACCGATTCCAAACATTCTTCAACAGTCATGGCTGCCTCTGCAGAGCATGTTTACATGAATCAAGACACACTGCAACAGTCACTTCAACAACAACAATATAATAATGGCTAATAATGCCGAAATCTGCTACAAGTTTCATGACTGGTCAATTTTGAGCATGTGACATAAGGCAGCCAATCAAATTACAGCTGTGATACCAAGCTCGTGTTTGATAAATTTCAGAAGTTGGCGAAGGATTTTTGTTAAATCGTGTAATTCTGAACGTTTTAAGCAGGAAATCACGATATATATTATAAATATGGAACTTCGTGAATGTATCGTGCTAGGTTACGAGCTGTGACAAAGATTTTTCATGCATATATTTTTACATTAAACATTGCGTCCGATCCGAGAATTCAAGGCAACGAAAGCCGAGATGTCATTTGACTTACATTACAGGCGATCGCACGAAAAGATGGAAATAATAACTTAGATGTAAGTTTGATTACTTTTAGATATATTTTTGTTGATTTTATTTATTACTTTGTATAACAAATTTAAAGATTTGTTTAAAATGTCTTTATTTTGCTCTTTGACATGTTCGATGTGGACCCGTTGTTGAAATGTGTGTCCGAGAATTTTATTTTCAATAACATCGCGGGAAATAGTGAATAATTTTTTACTTTATCGATAAAAAATGATAAATTGAAATGGAATTTGTATTTCAGACATTGTGAAATGTGATAGATTTAATAAATGAATGATATTACAGGTAGGTCCATAAAAATATATACTGTTTTGACGTGACTACGGCTTGGCCAGTTAATCGGCCTACGGTGTCTGGGGACTTGATGTTCTTGGCCGGAAAACCGGCCTACTGTGTTGAAAGAGTTCATTTATTGCTGACGAGATTTATATTTATCATTAAAATATGCCTTATATGGCAAAGGTAGGTTATTAATTCCTATTTTCCAAGCGTGCCATCGAGGCACGAAGATCATGATTTAGCCGTGCCATTTTCATTTTAGGCGTGCGATGGCATGCAAAATACGGTTAATTTCGAGCCCTGACCTACCATCGGAGGCTTCCTTCAGGAGCTTCTGCAGCTCCTCCACCGCCCGCGTCAACTCGGTCACCTTTGTGTCACCCTCCTCTGACGACGTCTAAAGATACAAAACAATGAGAAAGAGAGTGAGTGGTGGGGTTCACCTGTATCTGTGACACATCAAGGCCGTGAGACAGAATGCACCTTGCACCAACAGTTAACATCCAGAATTGAGCCATTTGTCACACCAGGGATAAACATGTAAAACAACATAATCCTTATAATAGATGGATAAAGAGACTGTTACCTTGTACAACTGCACCAGTTTCCCCTGAGCAGCAATCTCCTGGCGGAACTGTTCGTCTGATTGTGTCTGAGCGTCACGGGTCTGTAATATGGGAGGAGTTGGTCAGTGAGTGATAGGCCGATGGTGGGATGGGGGTAGTAGTAGGTGTGAGGGTAGTTTGGGGAGTAGGGGTAGATTGGGGTGTATGTGGGGGGTGCATGTGGAGATGTATGAGGGGGTGCATGTGGGGGTTGCATGTGGGGGCGCATGTTGAGGGTGCATGTTGAGGTGTATGTGGGGGTGCATGTGGAGGGTGCATGTGGAGGGTGCATGTGCATGTGGGGGGTGCATGTGGAGGTGCATGTGGAGGCGCATGTGGGGGCGCATGTGGAGCTGCATGTGGAGGGGTGCATGTGGGGGGTGCATGTGGGGGTGCATGTGGAGGTGCATGTGGAGGTGCATGTGGAGGTGAATGTGGAGGTGCATGTGGGGGGTGCATGTGGAGGCGCATGTGGGGGTGCATGTGGAGGTGCATGTGGGGGGTGCATGTGGAGGCGCATGTGGAGGTGCATGTGGAGGTGCATGTGGGGGGTGCATGTGGAGGTGCATGTGGAGGTGCATGTGGGGGTGCATGTGGGGGCGCATGTGGAGGGTGCATGTGGAGGCGCATGTGGGGGGTGCATGTGGGGGTGCATGTGGAGGGTGCATGTGGAGGTGCATGTGGAGGTGCATGTGGAGGCGCATGTGGAGGTGCATGTGGAGGTGCATGTGGAGGTGCATGTGGAGGCGCATGTGGAGGGTGCATGTGGGGGTGCATGTGGGGGCGCATGTGGGGGGTGCATGTGGAGGCGCATGTGGAGGTGCATGTGGAGGGTGCATGTGGAGGTGCATGTGGAGGTGCATGTGGAGGCGCATGTGGAGGTGCATGTGGGGGGGTGCATGTGGGGGTGCATGAGGGGGTGCATGTGGGGGCGCATGTGGGGGGTGCATGTGGGGGTGCATGTGGAGGTGCATGTGGGGGTGCATGTGGAGGTGCATGTGGGGGGTGCATGTGGGGGTGCATGTGGAGGTGCATGTGGAGGTGCATGTGGGGGTGCATGTGGAGGCGCATGTGGGGTGCATGTGGGGGGCGCATGTTGAGGTGCATGTGGGGGTGCATGTGGGGGTGCATGTGGAGGTGCATGTGGGGGTGCATGTGGAGGTGCATGTGGGGGGTGCATGTGGGGGTGCATGTGGGGGGTGCATGTGGGGGTGCGTGTGGAGGTGCGTGTTGAGGTGCATGTGGAGGCGCATGTGGGGTGCATGTGGGGGGCGCATGTTGAGGTGCATGTGGGGGTGCATGTGGGGGTGCATGTGGAGGTGCATGTGGAGGTGCATGTGGAGGGTGCATGTGGAGGTGCATGTGGAGGTGCATGTGGGGGTGCATGTGGAGGTGCATGTGGAGGTGCATGTGGGGGTGCATGTGGAGGCGCATGTGGAGGGTGCATGTGGAGGCGCATGTGGAGGCGCATGTGGGGGGTGCATGTGGAGGTGCATGTGGGGGGTGCATGTGGGGGTGCATGTGGGGGTGCATGTGGAGTCGCATGTGGAGGTGCATGTGGGGGGGTGCATGTGGGGGGGTGCATGAGGGGGTGCATGTGGGGGGTGCATGTGGGGGTGCATGTGGAGGTGCATGTGGGGGTGCATGTGGAGGTGCATGTGGGGGGTGCATGTGGGGGTGCATGTGGGGGGTGCATGTGGGGGTGCATGTGGAGGTGCATGTGGAGGCGCATGTGGAGGTGCATGTGGGGGTGCATGTGGAGGCGCATGTGGGGGGCGCATGTTGAGGTGCATGTGGGGGTGCATGTGGAGGCGCATGTGGAGGTGCATGTGGGGGTGCATGTGGAGGTGCATGTGGAGGCGCATGTGGAGGCGCATGTGGAGGCGCATGTGGAGCTTGAGTGAGTATCAGTATTATAAAAATATAAACAGCTATCTTGGGAACTCATGGGAAATAATAAACATAAACAACTTACATCCTTGACTTTCTGAATGAGGAAATCAATTCTCAGTGCCTGTTCCTCCTTGGACTTCTTCAGAGAATCAAGGGATAGCTGCATGTGATTCAGCTGAAACAGGAGGAAAGTAACGAATGTACTGTTCTTAAGTATTTACACAACAGAACAATATTGGAGAATGGAATACATCTTTTCTGGAATTGAATTTTCAATAAAAGGTGAAATGAAGTATAATGTCGTATTCAAGATTATTGCGCTCTGACTTTTAAATAAATAAGAGATTTGATCTTTTTTTCAACAAACTGTTAGTTATGTCCTCACCTCCTCCACTTTCTCGTCCAGCTTCGACTGCACGTCCAGGAGCTTGCTGGCCTGTAGGGGAAACACACAACATGAACCACAGATTCCTTGAAACAACTCACCAACTACCCTCCAACAGACACCTGCCAGCAGACAGGGCTTCCATGCAAATACAGGATGAGTTCATAAAAACTCTCAGGTAAAATACTGATACAAAATAAAACTTGGGAGTTTACTTAATCCACTTTGGCTAAGCACCTTCTGCTGCTTGATCCTGACCACACACATTTACCCGGCTCATAGTTTGTTTTCGTTTGTTTTGTTTATTTGTTGTTTAATGTCGCACTCAGCAATATTCCAGCTATATGACGACAGACAATCCAGTGACTGACATCATGAGCATCAATACAATGACATGCATCAAACAAGTCAGCAAGTATGACCACCCGATCCTGATAGTCGCCTCTTGCATCAAGCATAGTTGCCTCTTACACCAAGCATGGGTTGCTGGGGACCTATTCTAACCCAGGTATGCACGGGTCCACACATCTTGTGACCACCCAGGCAGGGGGTACAGGGACCCGATCTGCTGCAGAATTCCCAAGGGCTTCTGGCACACTGAGGCCATGGGGACATGATTATTCACACAACACTGGAGACAAACAACACTGTAGTTACCCTCTCCTTCTTGACATTGATCAGGTCGTTCGTCTTGCTCTTCAGCTCCCCATTCAGCCAGTCCATCTGCTTCTGCATGTGCTCCTTCTCTTGAACAAGTCGCTTCTCACGGTACTGTAAACAAATCAAGAGAGAGTGAGTATGGCTTTACCCCGCTTTTAGCAATAGTCCAGCAACATCACGGCAGGGGACACCAGAAATTGGCTTCACACATTGTTTTTTTTGGTGTTTTTTTTCTTCTGTTTGTTGAATGCCTCACTCAGCAATATTCCAGCGGTATGTAAATAATCGAGTCTGCACCAGACAATCCAGTGATTGACATCATGAGCATCAATCCATGCAATTGGGATGCGATGACATGCATCAACCAAGTCAGCGAGCCTGACTACCCGATCCCATTCGTCACCACCTACAACAAGCATAGTCGCCTTTTACGGCAAGCATGGGTTACTGAAGACCTATTCTACCCCGGATCTTTACACATTGTATCCATATGGGCAATCGAACCCGGGTCTCGCGTGACGAGCGAACGCTTTAACCACTAGGCTACCCCACTGCCACAAATCATCAAGAAAACCAGGTTATCAATAATTTGTTTGTTATTAACATTGAATAAAATAATAACATAGCCATACTCAAAGTCTGTGTTAAAGTGTTTGGAATCAACCTGCTTTCATCATCATCATCATCATCATCATCATCATCATCACAGTAACGTGAACAGTGCCACATGTGCAACAAACCCACCTCTCGGGACACTTCTTGTGACTGAAGCCCCCCCAGCTTGGCCTGGATCTCACACTTCTCCTGGCTTAAAGCAGCGTTCTTGTCAGTGAAAACTTTCAATTCATCTGAAACATGACAACAGCAACCTTGTCAGTGAAAACTTTCAATTCATCTGAAACATGACAACAGCAACATTGACAGTGAAAACTTTCAATTCATCTGAAACATGACAACAGCAACCTTGTCAGTGAAAACTTTCAATTCATCTGAAACATGACAACAGCAACATTGACAGTGAAAACTTTCAATTCATCTGAAACATGACAACAGCAACCTTGTCAGTGAAAACTTTCAATTCATCTGAAACATGACAACAGCAACCTTGTCAGTAAAAACTTTCAATTCATCTGAAACATTCCTGTGACGAAGGTAGCATATCTGGGGCAGAGAGCTGATTCGGATGCAACTATTTTGGAACCATATAGGTCGGGGGCATGTACAACTATTCCATTTGTTAGGCCTGTTCATACCCACACACAAAACATCCTATCTGGCACTACAACATGAACAATGGGATCAGATCCTGCAAAGGTAGACCATATACATATAAAGGAATAAGGCTGCTCTGATGTCTTTAAATTCTATCAAGGAAAGTAAACTATATCAACATGGTAGGAACGCTCAAACCCATACATTCACCTCAAGCATACCAAGGATCATAATCAAGGGAATCTTAGATTCAAACATGCAACCTGCTTATCCTGGCAGCAAAGGGGAGCAACTGCAGAGTGACATGCAGACAACCTGTACTCTCAAAAAAGGTTGATAGTTTTAGTATAGTAACTTTCAAGTTGAGCACATTTTCTTTATATACTTAAAGTTGATTGGTCAGATAAAGAAGTAGGATATTAAACTGCTGCATGTATTGTGAACATTATGTGTTCAACACTTCACTTATTGATAATATTCTCCAACAAGTTCGCTGGGTTAGGCCATTTGTTCTTCTCTGATGACTGTGACCATACCTGGGATTTTTCTACGATTCCAAACTAAGTGTTCTTGGCACTCAAAATGGGCTAAAACATTACTTTCTTCGACATTGGGACTTTCTTAAAATTAAACTTAAGGAGAATTTTGAAATTCATTTCATGAAAAAAATGTAAAACTGCCTCTTCTTGTTTATAAGTCCTGTGCAAAAGTGAGCGAGTACGGTATTACTCAGCTTTTAGCAATATTCCAGCAAAACCACAGGGGACACCAGAAATTGGTTTCACACATTGTACCCATGTGGGGAATCTAACCAGGTCTTCGGCGTGATGAATGAACGCTTTAACCACTAGGCTACCCCACTGTGCAAAAGCCATAACATTAGTTATTGAACACATTTATTCCAATTTGGGAATTTTTTTCTGACAATTGCCTGTTTAGCAGGTGCAGCTAGACTGCTGCCTACTGACCGTTGAGTCTGGTGATCTCCTTGCTTCGTTTCTCCAGCACCAGGTTCAGCTCTCTTTTCTCCGCCTCCAGCTGCTTCCGCACATTCTCAAGGTGCACCTGACAACGTTCATTGAAAACATAATCAATGGCAGCAAACATTACATTGTCCATCATTTTTTGTTTTTAACACTTCTTGGTTTCAAGTGAATAGTAAACATTAATATTTCAAATGTAGAAAACTTGAAAATTTCTGGTAAAGTGTATATTTATATACTTATCATATCTCACACTATGCATTTCTTTTGCTTCTAAAAAATCCAAATTAATATTTCCCAATAAACATGATAAAAGAGAATCGTGCTTGGACAAAGTTTCCAGCTTCTAATAACAATTAACCCAAACACATCCCAGCATCACCATGGTCATGCACAAAACAACTGGGTCATGCACATAATCTGGTGCACAGCGACCTTGCACGACACGACCACTTGTCTGTCTCTGCTACAAACTGTGGATGCCAGTGGTCCTCTCGATCCTCCAAATGTTGACCTTGAAGATGGAGTAGGTCTTTACGTCTTGAGCCACCTCCTGGATGCAAAAGTCTCCGAGGGGACCTGGTATAAGCATTCTTTAAACCTACATGATGAGGGATGAGGATGAGGTCAAGGATCACCTCGAGGATCTTCGATCAGGAGAACAAAGGCATCGTCTTGAGATTTGTGAGACAGCGAAGATGAAAGGACCTCCATCATGGACAGGATGGGGGAAATCAGTCCTTGTTTTAGCCCCTCGATGACAAGCGCCAGTCAGTGTAACAACAAATACCATCTTTTAATGTCTTTTGGTATGACAGGCTGGGGATCGAACCCCCGACCTGCTCTCCGAGCAGACACTCTACCACCACACCAAACACAGTCTGGTGCCTATGATCCAGGGAGGATCACAGGAGAGCGATGATCAGTCGAATGAGCATCCCTAGGGTGGCGAGACATGAGTGAAGAGCGAGATCAATCCTCATCCTCACGAATAGTAGTAGACAACGAACCCTGTGGAGCAACATAAGTGGAACCAGCGGTGGACGACATTCAGGGAGGGGGAATGATCGACCAAGAGCAGGACTTGTGGTGACAGTAGACATAGTAGCATTGGAAGGAGCGGTGGAAAGGACCATGCGAATATCCAAGGAAACTGGTATCAGTGATGTAGAAGAAGTCCCAAGCCTAACAAATTGTCGCGTTTTCGACCACGGAGAGCACAGGCAAAGAGGATTTTGTTTGAACAGCGACAGGAATTGTGGCAGATGGTTTGCTGGTCGTCTTGGAGACAGTGTAGACACAACCGTGGGTGTATCTAAGAATCTCGAGGTTTTGAACAATGGTCCATTTCGTGCTGATGACACTTGTGTAAGTAGACAAAAAAAGAAACGTCTTTGAACGGTGTTTACATTTGGAACAGTGTGTGTCAAGGCTGCACATGCTGCGACGATCACAGCGTGTGGATCTGAGGCAGAAAAAGTATGTCAGCAATCTAGGCAGGCCCATTCCCCTTGACGTGGAGAGATGGGGTACGCTAAGTCGGCAGTGAAACCACAAGAAGAAAACTAAAATGTCTTCCCAATATTGACAAACATGTCTCCACTGTGCGACGATGCAAATGAGGATGATGTGGGAGAGATGGACATGTCATCAGGCTGTGCAAGGTCGCTGTGCTTGGGATTATGTGCGTGACCCAGTTGTTAGCTGCATGACCATGGTGATGCTCGGATGTGTTCGGGTGAATTGTTTTAAGAAACTGGAAACTTTGTTCAAGCACATTTCTCTTTCATCATGTTTATTTGGAAATATTAGTTTGGAGTTTGAAGTAAAAGACATACTGCTATTATGGTATTAACTCTTTCAACACCAGTCAACCAGAAGTGTTTACTGCTGGGACACCGAGTTCCCAGAGGCTCTTGTGTGATAGATGAAGCCAACATTTATCAAAGAAAATACCTGCTTGTAAAATACATTTGCTACTACATGTTACACACCATTTGAAAGGTCTGATCCTATGGTTTATAAATATGAAAGTTATGTTTTTCACATTATTTAAAATAATGCATTTACAACTTAATTAAATTCGTTGTAAATAAAAAATGTACGCTAACACGTTGTTAACATCCAGATTAAGGACCAAGGAAGCGAAAACTTGACGATTTTCGGCAAATATATGATTTCATAATATCCACGTACCTATTTCTATTTTATTTTACGTTATTGGAAAATCATTTTAAAAAGAATTATAAATAGTCTCTGTCATCACCCATTTCCCGATAACAGCGACTGTAAAATGAAGAAATACCCCCGTTTTCGAGGTTTCGTATGAATAACACGTTCGTCGAAGAATGGCATATGACACATCGCTGGAAAGCTTATTCCTTCATCTACACGCTCGTAACATCAACTGGGTTTTTTCCGTAGTTATAACAAGCGATTTCATTGGATTAAAATTGGTTTCTAATGACGCTTTCTTGCTGAAATCTGCTACAAGTTTCGTGATTGGTCAATTTTGAGCACGTGACCTAAGGCAGCCAATCAAATTACAGCTGTGATACCAAGCTCGTGTTCGATAAATTACAGAAGTTTGCGAAAGAATTTTGTTAAATCGTGTTATTCTGAACGTTTTGAGCAGGAAATCACGATATATATTAAAAATATGGAACTTCGTGAATGTATCGTGCTAGGTTACGAGCTGTGACAAAGATTTTTCATGCATATATTTTTGCATTAAACATCGTGTCCGAGCCGAGAATTCAAGGCGACGAAAGCCGAGATGTCATTTGACTTACATTACACGCGATCGCACGAAAAGATGAAAATAATAATTTAGATGTAAGTTTGATTACTTTTAGATATATTTTTGTTGATTTTATATATTACTTTGTATAATATATTTAAAGATTTGTTTAAAACGTCTTTATTTTCCTCTTTGACGTGTTCGATGTGGACCCGTTGTCGAAATGTGTGTCCGAGAATTTTATTTTCAATAACATCGCGGGAAATAGTGAATAATTTTTTAATTAAACGATAAAAAATGTTAAATTGAAATGGAATATGTATTTCAGACATTGTGAAATGTGATAGATTTAATAAATGAATGATATTACAGGTAGGTCCATAAAAATATAGTACTATTTTGACGTGACTACGCCTTGGCCGGATAACCGGCCTGCCGTGTCTGGGGACTCGATGCTTCTTGGCCGGATAACCGGCCTACGGTGTTGAAAGAGTTAACTACCCTGTTTGCCATGATAATGAAATTATTGAAAAAAAAACAACAACATATTTTTGAAATGATTAGGCAGATTACCATTATAACCAGCAAGGATACGTAGCGAATCTCACCTGTGTGGCTTCACTGGACTGGTGGGAAGTTTCAAGAGTCTTGAGTTTGGAACTTGCCTCATCATACTTGGTTTCTGCAACATGTTTCAGGCCATAGATACTATTTGTTTGTTTGTTGAGTGTCTGCACTCAGCAATATTCCAGCTATGTAAAATAATGGAGTCTAGACCAGACAATCCAGTGATTGACAGCATGAGCATCGATCCATGCAATTGAGATCAATGAAATGCATCAACCAAGTCAGCGATCCGGACCTGTTAGTCGCCCCTTTTGACAAGCATAGCCGCCTTTTACGTCATGCATGGGTTGCTGAAGACCTTTTCAACCAAGTAAACAAGCCTGACCACCCGATCCCGTTAGTCCCCTCTTACGACAAGCAAAGTCGCCTTTTATGGCAAGCATGGGTTCCTGAAGACGTATTCCAGCCAAGATCTTCACAGATACTAGATACTAGCTGAGATTAGTGAGTGAGTGAGTATGGTTTTACGCCGCTTTTAGCAATATTCCAGCAATATCATGGCGGGGGACACCAGAAATGGGCTTCACACAATGTGCCCATGCCAGTTGGGCTAGGGGCAGCTAATTTTCATTCTGATGCCCACCCTACTCCTTGCGAGCACCACCAATCATATCCCAGTAATGTGCGCACACAGATTTCCCAAAGATCTACACATTCCCCAAATTGAGTATAATACATAAATCAGGGTCATCACAAATAGGTTTGTTTGTTTGTTGCTTAACGCTGCACTCAGCACTATTCCAGCTATATGACAGCTGTCTGTAAATAATCAAGTCTGGAGCAGACAATCAAGTGATTGACATCATGACCATCGATCCATGCAATTGGGATACGATGACATGAATCAACCAAGTCAGCGAGCCAGACCTGTTAGTCGCCCCTTATAACAAGCATAGCCGCCTTTTACGGCATGTATGGGTTGCTGAAGACCTTTTCTACGCCAGATCTTCATGGGTCCACAAATAGGTACTGTACCAACCTGCATGTTGTAAAACCATCTAAAGTATAGGTTCTTTTTACGTCCAAGTAATCCATTATTAGGTGATCACCATGCAGAATTCAACCTTGTATGTAATGTATATGTTTGCACAGTACTGCATCATAATATATTCAATGGCGTTTGGGGATATGCTTTCACATACTAAATACATCAAGGTTAGAGTGAGTGAGTCAGTATGGTTTTACGCCGATTTTAGAAATATCCAGCAATATCACGGCGGGGGACACCAGACATCTGCTTTACACATTGTACCCATGTCAGGAATTGAACCCGGGTCATCGGCGTGACGAGCAAGGCTTAACCACAAGACTACCGGACCGTCCAAAGCAAGGTTAGACTAATTCCAGACTAATCACCACCATTGTTACCTATATCAGTGAGGCGTGTCTGTAGACCACTCCTTGTCTCAGTCTCAGTCTCAAGTTGACTGTTGCTGTTGATCAATTTCTTCTCAAGTTCAAAATACTGTTGCTCTGTTGATAAAAACGAAAATTAATTATGAAATCATAACTTTTTCATGGTACTAGAATTGTCAAAATTATATTTAGGGTAAAGTAAAAACAGCCATAAATAGATTCAAACACATTGGTAAGTGAGTTGGGTTTAACACTGCTTTTACAGTATTCCAGTTATATCACGTCATTTCAGCTTAATGTGGGAGGAAAGCCCGAAGTGATGCAGGTCTCAGACGTTTACCACTTCGGTGGAACCCACGAGCATGGTATGGTGCTGACAAATCTAGAAACATAATCGGGGTGAACCGGGATTTGAACCCACAATCATAGATTTCTGGCGTGCTGCAACTCTGAACAGCGAATAATGGGGCCTTAGACGACTGGGCCACCCATGCCCCCTAAACACATTGTCACGAATACTGATGACTTATAGTGACTGAGTGAGTGGTAGTTGTCATATAGTATAGTTCTACCCTGTTCCATGATAAACAGCAATATGACAACTTGTTCACAGTTAGAGAACAGTCATTAGCGGAAAAACGATTGATAACATTATTGAGGCATCACAAACTCCCAAGGCAATACATTAGGTACGAATTAATATCAATGTTTTTACGCCGCCTTTAGCAATATTCCAGCAATATCACGGTGGGGACATGAGAACCTGGGTCTTCGGCATGCGAACACTTTATCCACTAGGCTACCTGACCGCCTCATATGGGTAATGAAAATCGACATTTTATTATCAGCTACATTATTCTGTTTGCATGGATCAAGTACTTCACAGTCCAGCTAATTTCAATAATTATTCATGCAATACCTACCTAAATCAATTAGGCTATGGTGTTGACTAATTACTTTGATGACGCAATGTTCTTTTGATTTATTCATTTTATTTATTGCTTGTACAGAATGCATTCATATTCTGAGATTGGAGGTGACTTATCATCTTGCTGATGTGTGTTGCATCATATATACTGAACATTCCTATCCATTATGCCAGTTTTTGGTATCTAGAATGAAGGGGTATGAAAGGAGGTCATATTATGTGCAGGGTTTTTCTACATAGTTAGTATAACAGTTATTTTTAATAGGGCTGGCTAAAAGATTGATAATCAGAATTATCGTTGATGGGAAGAAATATTAACGATTATCGATATGACAATTGTGTCATGGATAATATCTTACATGAATTATTGTGATGAAATAAAGTTTACATTTACTAAACATGCTAAAACAGACTTGTTATTGTCAATCATGTCAACTGCCGAAGATGTGAAGCGGCTGTTTTTGTTGTATCTTAAAATGTCCACAAAGTAACCCATGCATAAATGTGCCACCACTCACCAGTGGGGGGAAATATGTTGTTTTCTTTCAGACTTTGTTTGGCGAAATTTGCTCAAAGTTATTATACCGATATTTATAGATAATTGGTTGATATTTAATTGAATCGATAGCCAGCCCTAATTTTTATTGTATAATTCATGTAAACCATTGCATCATTCCCATTCTTTCCTTAGTGATTATCTAATTATATCAGTATGATATGTTTGTATTAAAATGAACTGCAAAGTAGACAGAAATAGGACCAATAACAAAATATGGGAGTAGGGAACTTTACTGGGCGCACTTTTTTGGATTTCAGTTAGAGTTGCATGGAGGATCCAACTCATGTTGCCAGCCTGAAGCTAAGCTATCGGAAGGCTAATGAGTTCACCAAAGTAGCCAACACCCTACCATGTGAAAGGGTGTTTGATCGGAAAGGGTTACCTAACCCTTATGATTGTAAAAGGGTGCTTGGTAGGAAAGGATAGAGTTCAGGGTAACCTACCTTAACCCCAACACAACTAACCATAATGATTGAAGAGTCATGTGAGATCTGTGAAGCGAGAGCCACAGTCGACATTCTGACCCAATTGACCCTATAGTGCTAAATGCGACTCGTAAATATTTTCCTAACATGAGGTGCCCCCAATCTGTTGCACACGTGAAAATATTACAGCTATCTAGTGTTGTAGAAGTCATTAAATGATACATCACATGATTTCAGGGTGACAGAGCATAGCATTAAGTCTCACCATAGGTATATGTTGCCTTATTGGAACAATGAATTTAAAATCTACCTCGAATCTACCCTAATTTCAAAACTACTGTAATAGGAACCATACCATTTTACCAGTTATTCATGCAACAGAGCAACTAAGAAATGAACACCATGAACAAAAACAAAGATCAGGAAATTTATTGAAACGTTTACAACCATAGGGACTCAGTATGATCTGCTAATCCCTGTTTTGTGAGGATGTGAATTTGATGGTTTCTACATGGGCGAGGGGGTCGCATTGTAGTTGCGATCGTATTATTGACTATACAACAATTATGATGACTATCAGTAAATAAAAGTAAACTGCTACATTAATTCAAAACCAACATGTACTAAAATCTTTGTCACGCAAGACAGAAACAGCGATCTACAGATCGTGACCAGTTTAACATGATAAATCAATGTTAATTGACTGATTGATTGTAGTTACTATTTTCACTAAAATGAACATGAATTTATAATCTTCTATCAACATGTGGTGTATTTGAATGTTGTCTATTGAAGGAGGTGTCAAACATTGAGACAAAAATTTAAGTTTCACAAATTTTAAAGACATGCACGAAAACGGAGGGTGTTGCGGGTGAACCGAATATATATATTGCTTACCCGAGTTTACGCGGAGACGTTCATATTTGGCCTTAAATTCGTCTACTTCAGCTTCTTTGTTTCCAAACGAACTCTCAATTTTTCCCTTAATATCTTCAGATAACGATTCTAATTCAGAAACGTCCAGAACTTTTGAAAGAAAGACAGTACCCGCCATTATGGCGCATGTGTGATTCCGGATGTGGAACTGTGGCGAGTACCAAGAACAGATAACTCTGTGGTACTTGTTCTGGTCAGACACGCACGGTACAACATTTCAATATGTTATTGTCATGACTTTTGTGAAAGTATATTTTTGGGGGTGTCATATCTTGTAAATTATTACATAATATGACTGAATTCCGTGGTGTTATTTCAATCTGTTACGTAGTTTGTATACCATTATCAATGATTATGCTTTGCCAATCATTTAATAATTAAAGTGTTTACCTTTATGTAAATACGGCATTGATTTTGGGTTTTTAATTGTTGATTGGAAACGTATTCTCATTGCAAAATAAAAAGGTATGTGCAAAAACTTTATCATATATTATATTATATCAAAATGACATGGCGCATATTCCAAAAAGATTCAAGGCCAAGTTGGTATCTTTGTATCAATTAAGCAGAAAACATTTTGTTTTCTTAAGTTATTATTTTAATAAGTTACCTATTAAATGATGTATAATTATGTTCAGTTTTGATTACTCAATGTTGAAGGTAGCTGCTGAGACAGAAATAATTGTCTGAGGTCTGCACAACTTATTGCTGAGGTCTGACAATGGTTCTCAAAGTTTGTGTGATTGGGGCTGGTATTATTGGACTGTCGTCGGCCATTCAGATACAGGAGAGACTCGGACAGCAGGACATAACTCTCGTAGCTGACAAGTTTTCACCTGAAACTACAGGGGATGGATCAGGCGGATTCTGGAAACCTCACATGCTTGGAGAAACTCCCATTTCTGATATTAGGTTAGAAATAATAATGATAATAATAATAATAACAACTACAACAACAACAACAACAATAATAATAATCTTGATAAAAAAATTAATGAACTTATACACAAAATTGATTTTTTTCATCCATGTTGTTTTTTTAAAAAGCGAGCAGGTACAAAGAAAGAAGATAAACCTATCGTATCATTAATTTTGAAATCATCGCTGTTGAATTGAGTCCTCTAAATATGAATTGAAACATAATGGCTTAAATTAAGCATGTTCTTGTGATTTGAAACCTGTGATTGACTAATCATATTTAAGTATATTGTATTCTCCAAATTGATAGATGTATTGTTGGCGTTGTTCTCAATGTGTTTGTCTGCCAGACGATGGAGTGTGACGACATGGCAGCATCTGACAGACATAGCAACATCGCCACTGGCAGCCCAGGCTGGAGCATCCACTGTGTCTGGCTACTCACTGTCCAGCAGGCCACAGTACCAGGTCAGTCACTGGGAATATTCACATTGATAGTGGAGGAGTGTATTCACATTGATAGTGGAGGGGTGGGTACACTGTCCAGCAGGTCACACTACCAGGTCAGTCACTGGGAATATTCACATTGATAGTGGAGGAGTGGGTACACTGTCCAGCAGGTCACACTACCAGGTCAGTCACTGGGAATATTCACATTGATAGTGGAGGAGTGGGTATACTGTCCAGCAGGTCACACTACCAGGTCAGTCACTGGGAATATTCACATTGATAGTGGAGGAGTTGGTACACTGTCCAGCAGGTCACACTACCAGGTCAGTCACTGGGAATATTCACATTGATAGTGGAGGAGTGGGTATACTGTCCAGCAGGTCACACTACCAGGTCAGTCACTGGGAATATTCACATTGATAGTGGAGGAGTGGGTACACTGTCCAGCAGGTCACACTACCAGGTCAGTCACTGGGAATATTCACATTGATAGTGGAGGAGTGGGTATACTGTCCAGCAGGTCACACTACCAGGTCAGTCACTGGGAATATTCACATTGATAGTGGAGGAGTGGGTACACTGTCCAGCAGGTCACACTACCAGGTCAGTCACTGGGAATATTCACATTGATAGTGGAGGAGTGGGTATACTGTCCAGCAGGTCACACTACCAGGTCAGTCACTGGGAATATTCACATTGATAGTGGAGGAGTGGGTACACTGTCCAGCAGGTCACACTACCAGGTCAGTCACTGGGAATATTCACATTGATAGTGGAGGAGTGGGTATACTGTCCAGCAGGTCACACTACCAGGTCAGTCACTGGGAATATTCACATTGATAGTGGAGGAGTGGGTATACTGTCCAGCAGGTCACACTACCAGGTCAGTCACTGGGAATATTCACATTGATAGTGGAGGAGTGTATTCACATTGATAGTGGAGGAGTGGGTATACTGTCCAGCAGGTCACACTACCAGGTCAGTCACTGGGAATATTCACATTGATAGTGGAGGAGTGGGTACACTGTCCAGCAGGTCACACTACCAGGTCAGTCACTGGGAATATTCACATTGATAGTGGAGGAGTGGGTATACTGTCCAGCAGGTCACACTACCAGGTCAGTCACTGGGAATATTCACATTGATAGTGGAGGAGTGGGTACACTGTCCAGCAGGTCACACTACCAGGTCAGTCACTGGGAATATTCACATTGATAGTGGAGGAGTGGGTATACTGTCCAGCAGGTCACACTACCAGGTCAGTCACTGGGAATATTCACATTGATAGTGGAGGAGTGGGTACACTGTCCAGCAGGTCACACTACCAGGTCAGTCACTGGGAATATTCACATTGATAGTGGAGGAGTGGGTATACTGTCCAGCAGGTCACACTACCAGGTCAGTCACTGGGAATATTCACATTGATAGTGGAGGAGTGGGTACACTGTCCAGCAGGTCACACTACCAGGTCAGTCACTGGGAATATTCACATTGATAGTGGAGGAGTGGGTATACTGTCCAGCAGGTCACACTACCAGGTCAGTCACTGGGAATATTCACATTGATAGTGGAGGAGTGGGTATACTGTCCAGCAGGTCACACTACCAGGTCAGTCACTGGGAATATTCACATTGATAGTGGAGGAGTGGGTACACTGTCCAGCAGGCCACACTACCAGGTCAGTCACTGGGAATATTCACATTGATAGTGGAGGAGTGTATTCACATTGATAGTGGAGGAGTGTATTCACATTGATAGTGGAGGGGTGGGTACACTGTCCAGCAGGTCACACTACCAGGTCAGTCACTGGGAATATTCACATTGATAGTGGAGGAGTGTATTCACATTGATAGTGGAGGAGTGTATTCACATTGATAGTGGAGGGGTGGGTACACTGTCCAGCAGGTCACAGTACCAGGTCAGTCACTGGGAATATTCACATTGATAGTGGAGGAGTGTATTCACATTGATAGTGGAGGGGTGGGTACACTGTCCAGCAGGTCACAGTACCAGGTCAGTCACTGGGAATATTCACATTGATAGTGGAGGAGTGTATTCACATTGATAGTGGAGGGGTGGGTACACTGTCCAGCAGGTCACAGTACCAGGTCAGTCACTGGGAATATTCACATTGATAGTGGAGGAGTGTATTCACATTGATAGTGGAGGAGTGTATTCACATTGATAGTGGAGGAGTGTATTCACATTGATAGTGGAGGAGTGGGTATACTGTCCAGCAGGCCACAGTACCAGGTCAGTCACTGGGAATATTCACATTGATAGTGGAGGAGTGTATTCACATTGATAGTGGAGGAGTGTATTCACATTGATAGTGGAGGGGTGGGTACACTGTCCAGCAGGCCACAGTACCAGGTCAGTCACTGGGAATATTCACATTGATAGTGGAGGAGTGTATTCACATTGATAGTGGAGGAGTGTATTCACATTGATAGTGGAGGGGTGGGTACACTGTCCAGCAGGCCACAGTACCAGGTCAGTCACTGGGATTATTCACATTGATAGTGGAGGAGTGGGTACACTGTCCAGCAGGTCACACTACCAGGTCAGTCACTGGGATTATTCACATTGATAGTGGAGGAGTGGGTACACTGTCCAGCACGCCACAGTACCAGGTCAGTCACTGGGATTATTCACATTGATAGTGGAGGAGTGGGTACACTGTCCAGCAGGCCACACTACCAGGTCAGTCACTGGGATTATTCACATTGATAGTGGAGGAGTGGGTACACTGTCCAGCAGGCCACAGTACCAGGTCAGTCACTGGGATTATTCACATTGATAGTGGAGGAGTGGGTACACTGTCCAGCAGGTCACACTACCAGGTCAGTCACTGGGATTATTCACATTGATAGTGGAGGAGTGGGTACACTGTCCAGCACGCCACAGTACCAGGTCAGTTACTGGGAATATTCACATTGATAGTGGAGGAGTGGGTACACTGTCCAGCAGGTCACACTACCAGGTCAGTCACTGGGAATATTCACATTGATAGTGGAGGAGTGGGTACACTGTCCAGCAGGCCACAGTACCAGGTATGTCACTGGGAATATTCACATTGATAGTGGAGGAGTGGGTACACTGTCCAGCAGGTCACACTACCAGGTCAGTCACTGGGAATATTCACATTGATAGTGGAGGAGTGGGTACACTGTCCAGCAGGCCTCAGTACCAGGTCAGTCACTGGGAATATTCACATTGATAGTGGAGGAGTGGGTACACTGTCCAGCAGGTCACACTACCAGGTCAGTCACAGGGATTATTCACATTGATAGTGGAGGAGTGGGTACACTGTCCAGCAGGCCACAGTACCAGGTCAGTCACTGGGATTATTCACATTGATAGTGGAGGAGTGGGTACACTGTCCAGCAGGTCACACTACCAGGTCAGTCACTGGGATTATTCACATTGATAGTGGAGGAGTGGGTACACTGTCCAGCAGGTCACACTACCAGGTCAGTCACTGGGATTATTCACATTGATAGTGGAGGAGTGGGTACACTGTCCAGCAGGTCACACTACCAGGTCAGTCACAGGGATTATTCACATTGATAGTGGAGGAGTGTATTCACATTGATAGTGGAGGAGTGTATTCACATTGATAGTGGAGGAGTGGGTACACTGTCCAGCAGGTCACACTACCAGGTCAGTCACAGGGATTATTCACATTGATAGTGGAGGAGTGTATTCACATTGATAGTGGAGGAGTGTATTCACATTGATAGTGGAGGAGTGGGTACACTGTCCAGCAGGTCACACTACCAGGTCAGTCACAGGGATTATTCACATTGATAGTGGAGGAGTGTATTCACATTGATAGTGGAGGAGTGGGTACACTGTCCAGCAGGCCACACTACCAGGTCAGTCACTGGGATTATTCACATTGATAGTGGAGGAGTGTATTCACATTGATAGTGGAGGAGTGGGTACGCTGTCCAGCAGGTCACACTACCAGGTCAGTCACGGGGATTATTCACATTGATAGTGGAGGAGTGTATTCACATTGATAGTGGAGGAGTGTATTTACATTGATAGTGGAGGAGTGGGTACACTGTCCAGCAGGTCACAGTTCCAGGGCAGTCACTGGGAATATTCACATTGATAGTGGAGGAGTGTATTCACATTGATAGTGGAGGAGTGGGTACACTGTCCAGCAGGTCACACTACCAGGTCAGTCACTGGGAATATTCACATTGATAGTGGAGGAGTGTATTCACATTGATAGTGGAGGAGTGGGTACTAATGACCAAATTCATGTTTTGTACCATTCATAATTATGATACAGTAAATTACGTTTATAACCAACAGACTCATAACAAACTGATGGATACAACAAACTGGTCTTTTTAGTCCCGACCATTTGCTGTGTATAAGTTGCATACTTATAACAAACTTTGTGGTCCCTTTGAGTTTGTTATAACCATAGTTTACTGTAGTTTATATTAACGATATAGGCGGCCAACATCACAAGTGGTTAGATGTTGGCTTATTATGTGGATAATAATATTTATAGTGTACAAATATTAATATATTTCTTGGGCATATGCTTTTTTTGTTTAGAACCTAACTATTTAGATAGGTCAATGTTTTAGAAAAAAAGTCAACAGAAATAGAAACAGTAAGCCATCTGAGATTTTGTAGTGAGTCCTACACTAATTGTCTGCATGATTTCATCCATCATACAGCGTTCATGAACGAATGGCAGAACCTTGAATATATGAGATGTAGAGATGAAACCTACTTGTCTTCAATATAAGTTCAAAGTGTCCAGGTGTTATAGGGACACAATAATGCGGACAAATATTTCCATTGTGTTGGCCGTATGTTGTGAAATGTGAGTGTGGATGCAGTTCTGACGTTGATCTGTCTGTTTACGACTGCAGGAGGAATGGTGGAAGGACCTCGTGCTGGGCTACCGCCATCTCTCCCCCCGGGAGCTGCAGATGTTCCCTGATGCAAAGTAGTCTCTTTAACCCCTGCCTTTGTACTAGTGCTGCTTTCCTCACTACTTATCACTATTAATCCCTTAGCCTTCTGGGGATTCTGGCTTAGAGTAGTTGCCTGGCAACCTTTGCAGGTCGTAAGAATCAACTTGATGGATCTGGTCATCATTGCTTTCCATATCAGTTTCTGGATCGACTGTCAGTTTGATTATATGCATGCTGCCATGATTTAGCTGGAATATTGCTGACTGCAGCATTAAACAACAAACAAACAAAACAAACTTATCACTAACTGTAGAATATCAACTGTTTCATTAGTATCAAATTATTGAATTGTTATTGGATAAGCTATGTTGATAACTTAAGATGTCCTGCTTTTTCAGTATGTTGTATCACGGACGTATATACGTCTTTGGTTGTATGTATTATTTGTTTCAGATCCGGTGTATTCTTCACCACTGTTCAGATAAATGCTGTAGCGTATATGGACTACTTGTTGAGAAGGTGAGCTACCCCAGGTGATCCCTCTAGACCTATGGCCTGGTCTTACAACCAGCAACTGTATTGGCCTTACCCCAGGTGTTCCCTCTAGACCCATGGCCCCGTCTTACAACCCGCAACAGTATTGGCCTTACCCCAGGTGTTCCCTCTAGACCCATGGCCCGGTCTTACAACCATCAACTGTATTGGCCTTACCCCAGGTGTTCCCTCTAGACCCATGGCCCGGTCTTACAACCAGCAACTGTAATGGCCTTACCCCAGGTGTTCCCTCTAGACCCATGGCCCGGTCTTACAACCATCAACTGTATTGGCCTTACCCCAGGTGTTCCCTCTAGACCCATGGCCCGGTCTTACAACCCGCAACAGTATTGGCCTTACCCCAGGTGTTCCCTCTAGACCCATGGCCCGGTCTTACAACCAGCAACTGTAATGGCCTTACCCCTGGTGTTCCCTCTAGACCCATGGCCTGTTCTTACAACCAGCAACTGTAATGAGCCTTACCCGAGGTGTTCCCTCTAGACCCATGGCCCGGTCTTACAACCATCAACTGTATTGGCCTTACCCCAGGTGTTCCCTCTAGACCCATGGCCCGGTCTTACAACCAGCAACTGTATTGGCCTTACCCCAGGTGTTCCCTCTAGACCCATGGCCCGGTCTTACAACCAGCAACTGTATTGGCCTTACCCCAGGTGTTCCCTCTAGACCCATGGCCCGGTCTTACAACCCGCAACTGTATTGGCCTTACCTAAAACTGTCAGAAACCCAGTTCCTGTTAGATTGGTATTTTGATTGTCCAGTCTTCAAAACCTGATTTTTCTGCATTCAGTTCAATTGACTAAGACTTTTGAGTTTAGTTTTAAGAATTACAATTTTTGTAGCTCATGTGTTAAATTCAATATTTATATCTGAGAACTGTTGTTTCCATTGTTTCAGATTTCAGAAAAATGGTGGAAAACTTCAGATGAAAACTATTACCAGCATTGATGAGGTTGCTAATAAGTTTGACTGTACATTATTGTTTTAATACTCAGTTGAAGTGAAGCAAATGCATACAACTTCAGAAAGCAGTTAGGTTCAGGACAAAAGACATCCAGAATAGGGCTGGGACGGGTAACTCGGGTACTCTGTTACCCGGGTTGGGTGGATACTGAGGAGGGTGCGAGTACCCACAGGGCACCCAGACCTGTGGTTAGTCATGTCATATATTGTGTAATAACAACAATCATCTAGAACTCCATGGTTACACTACAAGTCGCTGAAGTTCGCATTTCTTTCTGACTATTAACTCATTCCTTCTGACCTTTATAGGTTTGAATAAAGATAAAATTTCAGTCAACTTCAGTGTATACATGACCATATTGTTTTATTTGTGTGTCTAAATACATATTGCCAGGGCTATGGTTAATCTATTCCAAATCGGTACCTGTCTTTTGAGACTGACAGTGGTTATGCGGGTAGGGTCGGGTAATAGAGTGACGGGTACCCGGGTAGGGTCAGGTAATAGAGTGGTGGGTACCCCGGTAGGGTCGGGTAATAGAGTGGTGGGTACCCGGGTAGGGTCGGGTAATAGAGGGGTAGGTACCCGGGTAGGGTCGGGTAATAGAGGGGTGGGTACCCGGGTAGGGTCGGGTAATAGAGTGGTGGGTACCCGGGTAGGGTCGGGTAATAGAGTGACGGGTACCCGGGTAGGGTCAGGTAATAGAGTGGTGGGTACCCCGGTAGGGTCGGGTAATAGAGTGGTGGGTACCCGGGTAGGGTCGGGTAATAGAGGGGTGGGTACCCGGGTAGGGTCGGGTAATAGAGGGGTGGGTACCCGGGTAGGGTCGGGTAATAGAGTGGTGGGTACCCGGGTAGGGTCGGTAATAGAGGGGTGGGTACCCGGGTAGGGTCGGGTAATAGAGGGGTGGGTACCCGGGTAGGGTCGGGTAATAGAGGGGTGGGTACCCGGGTAGGGTCGGGTAATAGAGGGGTGGGTACCCGGGTAGGGTCGGGTAATAGAGGGGTGGGTACCCGGGTAGGGTCGGGTAATAGAGGGGTGGGTACCCGGGTAGGGTCGGGTAATAGAGTTATGGGTACCCGGGTAGGGTCGGGTTATAGAGGGGTGGGTACCCGGGTAGGGTCGGGTAATAGAGGGGTGGGTACCCGGGTAGGGTCAGGTAATAGAGGGGTGGGTACCCGGGTAGGGTCGGGTAATAGAGGGGTGGGTACCCGGGTAGGGTCGGGTAATAGAGTGCTGGGTACCCGGGTAGGGTCGGGTAATAGAGGGGTGGGTACCCGGGTAGGGTCGGGATAATAGAGGGATTGGTATCCGGGTAGGGTCGGGTAATAGAGGGGTGGGAACCCTGGTAGGGTCGGGTAATAGAGGGGTTGTAGTAAATTTGGACTCGTCCCAGCCCTGAACCAGACATTACTTTCAATATTGCTTTTGAATGTTTTGTTGTTTTATTTGGTTTGTTGTATAACGCCGCACTCAGTAATATTCCAGCTATATGACAGCGGTCTGTAAATAATCGAGTCTGGACCTGACAATCCAGTGATTGACATCATGAGCATCGATCCACGCAATTCGGATATGATGACATGCATCAACCAAGTCAGCGAGCCGGACAACTGATCCCGTTAGTCGCCTTTTACAACAAGCATATTCGCCTTTTACTGCAAGCATGGGTTGCTGAAGACCTGTTCTAACCCGGATCTTCATGTGTCTTCTAGAATGTATCACATACAAGGCATTTTAGCGAAGCAAGACCAATATCAAGTCAGTTGTATGTATGCTGCAGGTTGCCTATGACTACGACGTTGTTGTGAACTGCAGCGGCATCAGAGCCAGGCATCTACTCGGGGACCTCGATGTCGTGCCAGTCAGAGGTCATCTCACCAGGGTCAGTGTTACACAAGTACAACATTAACTGCATCTCCCACTGTCAGCTGTGAACAGTATTTCAGTTACGTCATGGCGTGTCAGCTCATTGTGGGGAGAAAGCCCAAAGTGATGCATGGAGGTCAATCAGTTATTGGTGATGGCAGACCAAGGATCATAATTGTGGTGAATCAGAGATTTGATCTCAGGCGGCTGGATCCTGGGCAAGCAAGGTGGGATGGCTTCCACCACTGGGCCACCATGGTCCCAATCTTTTCTAAACTAAACACAGATGCACATTTGTTGCATCCAAGTCACAGCTTCTGAACTCTTGTAGTTCTGGGCCCACTTGCACAAAGCGATCTTAGTGCTAAGATGATCTTAACTCCCATACTTTAACATAGGCTTACAATAGTTGTAGTGCTAAGATCGCTTTGTGCAATTGGGCCCTGGTCTATCGAAGTCACTGCTTCAGAACTCATGTATTTTTGGTGTTTCCAAGGCAACTGAAGACCATCAGGCCAATGCTAGTGACCTCTTAGAGCAGCTTCTGTTGCAGGTTCGGGCTCCATGGGTGAAGCACTTTGTCTTGAGGCTGGATCCTGGAGAAGAAGCATTTGTGTTGCCGGGGTAACTCAAACATATAAAACTCTGAAGAAATGCATGCATAATCAGGAAAAAATATCTACTTGTAGTGTAACCATGGAGTTTTATTGTTATTGTCATTAAACAACATATCCCGTGCCTTACCATGGGGCTGGGTAGTCCTGTGGGTACCCGGGTCCTGCTCAGGGCCCAGCCGATCTGAGTTCCCATCCCAGCTCTACACTGCACACATGGCAACATAGTCAGAAGTCTTCGGTAGGTTGGTTTGTTGTTTAACGCCACACTCAGCAATATTCCAGCTATATGACGGCGATCTGTAAATAATCGAGTCTGGACCAGGCAATCCAGTGATTGACATCATGAGCATCGATCCACGCAATTGGGATACTGTGACATGCATCAACCAAGTCAGCAAGCCTGATCCCGTTAGTCGCCTTTAACGCCAAGCATAGTCTCCTTTTATGGCAAGCATGGGTTGCTGAAGACCTGTTCTACCCCAGATCTTCAAGGGTCAGAAGTCTTCATGAATATAAGAAGGAAACAGTCTGAAATTTCTTACTTATTTTATATTTGTCCCCACCTATCAACCAGGTCTTTGTACCTAAAATCTTGAAAAATAAATTGTCAGATCAAAAAACCAAAAATAAAACAAATGCATGAAAGTGAGGCAATAAGTGTTCTGGCTCTATTATATATCATAATACTGAATACTGTTTATCATATGTCGTGGGTCAACAATTGGTGTCTTGTTGCCAGGGTGTTGACCTCAGTGTTAGGTGGTGCTGATGAGGTCGGCAACTGGAGTACCGAGGTCAGGGAAGAAGACAAGACGGCTGTGTGGCAGCGATGTTGTCAGCTGATGCCGAGTCTACAGGTAGTCACATTGGGTGTATGTCATTCATATAACCCATAAGTTGGAAATTAAAGTAAGATATTCACTCACTAGGTGGAAATGTCAGAACGTTGTAACGCCGGTTCTTGCCCCAGTCGCCCTGGGTATGAAAGATGAAGACACAACACTGATGTCGAGACATAGGAATAGGGAAGCAAGTATCAGAGGGACAGTATTTCCCATAATGTTTGGTTTGGTGAGAGGGCTAATTGGGTTAGTAGTGAATCTGGTAATGTTTGAGATGGGTAGATGGCTTTATATTGCATTGAATGTTTTGGCTTTATAGTGTGGTTGCACCGGTACCAGGTCGAGTACTGTGGTTAATGATTGTGGTTGTACCTGGTTAATGATTGTGGCTGTACCTGGTCAGTGATTGTTGTTGTACCTGGTCAGTGATTGTGGTTGTATCTGGTCAGTGATTGTGGTTGTACCTGGTCAGTGATTGTGGTTGTACCTGGTCAGTGATTGTGGTTGTATCCGGTCAGTGATTGTGGTTGTACCTGGTCAGTGATTGTTGTTGTATCCGGTCAGTGATTGTGGTCGTACCCGGTCAGTGATTGTGGTTGTACCTGGTCAGTGATTGTGGTTGTATCCGGTCAGTGATTGTGGTTGTATCTGGTCAGTGATTGTGGTTGTACCTGGTCAGTGATTGTGGTTGTATCCGGTCAGTGATTGTGGTTGTACCCGGTCAGTGATTGTGGTTGTACCTGGTCAGTGATTGTGGTTGTATCCGGTCAGTGATTGTGGTTGTATCCAGTCAGTGATTGTGGTTGTACCTGGTCAGTGATTGTGGTTGTACCTGGTCAGTGATTGTTGTTGTACCTGGTCAGTGATTGTGGTTGTACCTGGTAAGTGATTGTGGTTGTATCCGGTCAGTGATTGTGGTTGTACCTGGTCAGTGATTGTGGTTGTATCCGGTCAGTGATTGTGGTTGTATCTGGTCAGTGATTGTGGTTGTACCTGGTCAGTGATTGTGGTTGTATCCGGTCAGTGATTGTGGTTGTACCCGGTCAGTGATTGTGGTTGTACCTGGTCAGTGATTGTGGTTGTATCCGGTCAGTGATTGTGGTTGTACCCGGTCAGTGATTGTGGTTGTATCCGGTCAGTGATTGTGGTTGTATCTGGTCAGTGATTGTGGTTGTATCCGGTCAGTGATTGTGGTTGTATCCGGTCAGTGATTGTGGTTGTATCTGGTCAGTGATTGTGGTTGTATCCGGTCAGTGATTGTGGTTGTATCCGGTCAGTGATTGTGGTTCTATCTGGTCAGTGATTGTGGTTGTATCCGGTCAGTGATTGTGGTTGTACCCGGTCAGTGATTGTGGTTGTACCTGGTCAGTAATTGTGGTTGTACCTGGTCAGTGATTGTGGTTGTACCCGGTCAGTGATTGTGGTTGTATCCAGTCAGTGATTGTGGTTGTACCGGGTCAGTGATTGTGGTTGTATCCAGTCAGTGATTGTGGTTGTACCTGGTCTGTGATTGTGGTTGTACCTGGTCAGTGATTGTGGTTGTACCTGGTCAGTGATTGTGGTTGTACCGGGTCAGTGATTGTGGTTGTATCCAGTCAGTGATTGTGGTTGTACCTGGTCAGTGATTGTGGTTGTACCTGGTCAGTGATTGTTGTTGTACCTGGTCATTGATTGTGGTTGTACCTGGTCAGTGATTGTGGTTGTATCTGGTCAGTGATTGTGGTTGTACCTGGTCAGTGATTGTGGTTGTACCTGGTCTGTGATTGTGGTTGTATCCGGTGTGTGATTGTGGTTGTATCTGGTCAGTGATTGTTGTACCTGGTCAGTGATTGTGGTTGTACCTGGTCAGTGATTGTGGTTGTATCTGGTCAGTGATTGTGGTTGTACCTGGTCAGTGATTGTGGTTGTACCTGGTCAGTGATTGTGGTTGTATCTGGTCAGTGATTGTGGTTGTACCTGGTCAGTGATTGTGGATGTATCTGGTCAGTGATTGTGGTTGTACCTGGTCAGTGATTGTGGTTGTACCTGGTCAGTGATTGTGGTTGTATCCGGTCAGTGATTGTGGTTGTACCTGGTCAGTGATTGTGGTTGTACCTGGTCAGTGATTGTGGTTGTATCCGGTCAGTGATTGTGGTTGTACCTGGTCAGTGATTGTGGTTGTACCTGGTCAGTGATTGTGGTTTTATCCGGTCAGTGATTGTTGTTAAATCTTTCAGGATGCACAGGTGGACCATCACTGGGTGGGTTTGCGTCCCAGTCGGTCCCGGGTCCGGCTGGAGACAAGTCACATGACGGTCCAGGGGAGAGCAGTACCAGTAAGTGGAAATTCTGCCATGTTGGTTGGACATGTCTCACGACATCATGCTGGACATGTTGACCGCTGACATCAAGACTGATGGATACTGGAAGTGATCTCATGACCAATATAGACATCATAATTTAAGAACGAATATTGTAAATTTACATTTGCCTGTTTATGAGGTCATATGAAGGCCATGAAAAATTCTGTGGGAGGTTACTGACGAGAGATTTTCATTATCCAAATGAAGCTATGGTAGTGAATAGGTCTAGCATATTTATCCTGAGAATGATAATGGAGATATGATTCAGTGGATAACCAAGGATGTCTAACTGTGACAGGTGATTCACAACTACGGCCATGGTGGTTCCGGAGTGACGCTACACTGGGGGTGTGCTGTGGAGGCTGCTGACCTCGTGCTCAGAGAGATCCAAGCCAGGAGACCCATGGCCAAACTCTGACCTCTACCTCCTGCAGATCTGAGGCAGGAGACGCATGGCCAAACTCTGACCTCTACTCCGGCAGATCTGAGGCAGGAGATGTGTGGCCAAACTCTGAGGAACTGTACAGCTGTCTATATACCTGTCTGTCAAGATGTATAACTGTCTATATATACCTATCAGTGCTTTATCCACAACTCAGGTCAAATTTGTTTACATCTATATTTACCAAAGATCTGTTTATTTGTTCTAAACAGACAGAATGTTTTTTCTGTGTTTTTTTGTTCTTGTCTGTGAATGTGAAAATATTTTTATTGAATGTATTTCATTGGTGTGTTGTGAGATGAGAAGGATGCTGTATTGCACTCTCAAGGACAAGGTTATATCCTGCACACCGCTGAGCAGGATGGTGTATTGCACTGTCAAGGACAAGGTTATATCCTGCACACCGCTGAGCAGGATGGTGTATTGCACTCTCAAGACAAGGTTATATCCTGCACACCGCTGAGCAGGATGCTGTATTGCACTCTCAAGGACAAGGTTATATCCTGCACACTGCTGGGCAGGATGCTGTATTGCACTCTCAAGGACAAGGTTATATCCTGCACACTGCTGGGCAGGATGCTGTATTGCACTCTCAAGGACAAGGTTATATCCTGCACAGCGCTGAGCAGGATGGTGTATTGCACTGTCAAGGACAAGGTTATATCCTGCACACCGCTGAGCAGGATGGTGTATTGCACTGTCAAGGACAAGGTTATATCCTGCACACCGCTGAGCAGGATGGTGTATTGCACTCTCAAGACAAGGTTATATCCTGCACACCGCAGGGCAGGATGCTGTATTGCACTCTCAAGACAAGGTTATATCCTTCACACTGCTGAGCAGGATGGTGTATTGCACTCTCAAGACAAGGTTATATCCTGCACACCGCTGAGCAGGATGGTGTATTTTACTGTCAAGGACAAGGTTATATCCTGCACACTGCTGAGCAGGATGGTGTATTGCACTGTCAAGGACAAGGTTATATCCTGCACACCGCTGAGCAGGATGGTGTATTGCACTGTCAAAGACAAGGTTATATCCTGCACACCGCTGGGCAGGATGCTGTATTGCACTCTCAAGACAAGGTTATATCCTGCACACCGCTGAGCAGGATGGTGTATTGCACTGTCAAGGACAAGGTTATATCCTGCACACCGCTGAGCAGGATGGTGTATTGCACTGTCAAGGACAAGGTTATATCCTGCACACCGCTGAGCAGGATGGTGTATTGCACTCTCAAGACAAGGTTATATCCTGCACACCGCTGAGCAGGATGGTGTATTGCACTGTCAAGGACAAGGTTATATCCTGCACACCGCTGAGCAGGATGGTGTATTGCACTGTCAAGGACAAGGTTATATCCTGCACGCCGCTGAGCTGGATGCTGTATTGCACTGTCAAGGACAAGGTTATATCCTGCACACCGCTGAGCAGGATGCTGTATTGCACTCTCAAGACAAGGTTATATCCTGCACGCCGCTGAGCAGGATGCTGTATTGCACTGTCAAGGACAAGGTTATATCCTGCACGCCAGTGAGCTGGATGCTGTTCTGCAGGTTGTTTTTTTAATGCACCAGGGCTCTGTTCTACAAGGCGATCGTAGGGCTACGACCATTGAAAATCTGTGTTAAAGTATTGGAGTTATGCTTTGTGGAACAGGAACCAGCTGTAGTATATTGTGTCGTAAAGGCTATATCCTGCACATTGATAAGCAGGATGCTGTATTGCAGGTTGTGTTTGTGTTATATACTGACAGTAGCGTATTGTGCCTTAACTGTTGTATCCGTCACATGGATGAGCAGAATCCTGTATTGGAGGAGGTGTTTGTTATATATACTGACTGTAGTATTGTGTCGTAACTGTTGTATCCGGAACATCGATGAGCAGAATCCTGTGTTGGAGGAGGTGTTTGTTATATATACTGACAGTAGCGTATTGTGTCGTAACTGTTGTATCCGGAACATCGATAAGCAGAATCCTGTGTTGGAGGAGGTGTTTGTTATATATACTGACAGTAGCGTATTGTGCCGTAACTGTTGTATCCGGAACATTGATGAGCAGAATCCTGTGTTGGAGGAGGTGTTTGTTATATATACTGACAGTAGCGTATTGTGTCGTAACTGTTGTATCCGGAACATCGATAAGCAGAATCCTGTGTTGGAGGAGGTGTTTGTTATATATACTGACAGTAGCGTATTGTGCCGTAACTGTTGTATCCGGAACATCGATAAGCAGAATCCTGTGTTGGAGGAGGTGTTTGTTATATACTGACTGTAGTATTGTGTCGTAACTGTCGTATCCGGAACATCGATAAGCAGGATGCAGTATTGCAGGTTGTGTTTGTTATATACTGACTGTAGCGTATTGTGTTGTAACTGTTATATCCTGGAATAGTGTGGCTTGCATCTCTCCACCTATGGAATCACCCTACAGAATCACCATGGACAGATGTACACATCTTAAAGGATCTGTTTGAGTTGATGGAGCATGAGGTAGAGAGTCATCCCAGCATCGATCTCAATATGTTTTACTGGAGTACTGGTGCACAGGCAACCATGTGTCCCATGAACCACCTAATACCCCATTCACATGCGTAACATTTACTCACGTAAGTAATTTTACTCATGTATAACTATACATACGTGAGTATATGTAAATTTACTACGCGTTCACATGAAAATCAACTTAGGTGTGTGAATAAAGTATGTAAATTGTGTAAGGCACACATATTCGTCAGTCTGTCCACGACTTTCAACACAAATCAGGTTGTTTTCCAATCAAAGTTGAATGAGAAGAGAGTTAATTCACTGAAAATTTTCGCGTGAAGCAACAGGTGTTTGATTTAATTTGTACACAAAGTTTTGATTCCCTGAAACCAAAAGAAAACGCTGTCCGCTCTACTCTGTATATACTCATAAAAGTTGGCAATTATTGACAATTTGGTTGGTGTTGGCAAAGAAACAGATGTTAATTAGATCATAATCTTACATTGACATAAACATTCACATTGCAACATATACATATGGTGTTAATATACTGCCCAAAACAGTGTTACAAGTCTCACAATACACCTCAAAACGTTACTTTCATGTCTATTGATGGTGTTAACATACACCCAAAAACAGTGTTACAAGTCTTACAATACACCCCAAAACGTTACTATCATGTCTATTGATGATGTTAACATACCCCCCAAAACAGTGTTACAAGTCTTACAATACACCCCAAAACGTTACTATCATGTCTATTGATGGTGTTAACATACCCCCCAAAACAGTGTTACAAGTCTCACAATACACCTCAAAACGTTGTTACTTTCATGTCTATTGATGGTGTTAACATACACCCAAAAACAGTGTTACAAGTCTTACAATACACCCCAAAACGTTACTATCATGTCTATTGATGGTGTTAACATACCCCCCAAAACAGTGTTACAAGTCTCACAATACACCCCAAAACGTTACTATCATGTCTATTGATGGTGTTAACATACCCCCCAAAACAGTGTTACAAGTCTCACAATACACCTCAAAACGTTGTTACTTTCATGTCTATTGATGGTGTTAACATACACCCAAAAACAGTGTTACAAGTCTTACAATACACCCCAAAACGTTACTATCATGTCTATTGATGGTGTTAACATACCCCCCAAAACAGTGTTACTGTGAAGCCACTCAATGAAAGTGCTAAAATACATACAAAGACGTCACCATCACATCTTCGGATGAAAATGTTATTATACACTCCAAAACAGTGTTACCAAGAAGTCATTCCATGAAATTGCTAAATTACACACCAAGATGTTGATACCATCACGTCATGAAATGACAGATAGAAACAATGTTGCCATAAAGTTTTTTTTTAAACAAGATGTCACTATGGAGTCATTTGATGAAAGTGTTAATACACTCCCCAAAACGTTACCATCACGTCTTTTGATGAAAGGATTAGCTTGAATTTTTCAAACCTCAGAAAAGAGCCAAGTTCAAATAATCAAAACATTTTATTTTTCAACTTTGTACACCAGTATCCAACACAACAAACGCAACAGAAAACCTTTTTTCCTTGATCCATGTCGCTTTTGTCACAAAACGGGGGGACCTTTGACATAGTTACATTTCTTTCTTCAAAGGTTTTGGGCAATTTGTCAAAAATGAAAGCAAATGCCATTTGAAGACCACTTATGTAAAATGATTGATTGTCATTGATGCCATATAAGCTCTGCACAAAAGGAAACGTAAAATTGTAAATATCTGACAGGGCTGCCGACATCCATATAAAAATGAATTGGGATTGGGATTGATTTGTTTTGAAAGAATCAGGTACTTCAGAAATTTGGTGAAAAGATGGAAAAATCACAAAACATGAGAGCCTGGCACTGAAACACACCAACAAGACATGCACGTGCAACATCACTTGGGCAATGAAAACGTTGGGTTTTCATTTGCATGCCAATACAATCTTACAGCAAGACCGCAAACAGGAGAATCATCTTCAGCTGTATCCAGGGGGCACGGGTGGCTCAGTCGTCTAAGGCACCGCGATTCGCTCTGCAGAGTTGCATCCCTTGGGCACGCCAGAAACCTATCACGGTTCGCCCCGATTATGTTTCTAGGTTTGCCAGGACCATACCCTTGCTCGTGGGTTTCACCGAAGTGGTAAACTTCTGAGACCTACATCACTTCGGGCTTTTCTCCCACATTAAGCAGACACGCCTCGATATAACTGGAATACTGTGAGAAGCGGCGTTAAACCCAACTCACTCACTCCCTCAGCTGTATCCATGTTTTTCCATGTAGCACCAAGCACCATTACAAGGTGGTGGAACCGTGATCAGACATACGGGACCTTCCCAGATCCGGTCGACCTGTGACTACTAGAGCACAGGACATATTCATACAGCTACGTCACTTACGTGAAAGAACCACCACGTCCATCTCTACAACTACGGCAATACCTATATTGTAGGATACCAGCCCAGACAGTGAGGAACCGTTTACGCACTGAAGGTATTCGCTCAAGACGACAGGTTCGAGGTGTCATTTTGATGGACCTGCATCGTAGGCTGTGACGTTGGGTTCAGTGACGAGTCACGTTTTACGCTTCAGACGTCTTGGGGAACGTTATGCACGAAACTGCATACATGAAGTGGACAGATTTGGTGGTGGTAGTGTGATGATGTGGGCAGCCATCTCCTACACTGGAAGTTGTGAGGAATTTAACGGCACAGCGTTACGTGGATGAGATGTTTCGGTCACGCGTCCTTGCCATTATGCAGCAAGGGAAAGTCACTTTAGGACGTTCAAACAAGAAATAGACAGCCCCATTGTCACAAATCGTGCTCGCCTCCTTGCAGATCTGCTTCTTTATGTATTAGTTCGTATTAGCAAAATCATGGGGGAATTTGTGAAAATTTTGAAAACCTACAACTTTATGG